TATTTCTTTTTTGTTCTTTAGGAACGGATCCCTAGAAATTTGGGAAAATGAATGCTAATATTTTTTTCGTTTGAGCAATCGTAGTGGTTTCGGATTTTTTTGGGAGTTGGTTTAATCAACAACAAGTTAAAATCTTTCTCTTTCTGTAACTTGCAGCCTCAATTTGTTGTATCTGTTCTTCTTGTCTTCTTGCTATTGTCAGTCTTTAAATTTTTTGATGGCATTTGTTAGCGAAATTTTTTTTGTGCAACAGTTGTTCTGATATAATTATACTACTATCTCATTTGTTTTAATGATATACAGTACTTTTTTATAAAGTTTTCTAAAGGTTTATTGTTATCTCATGATGAGGCTTTTTTAGAATTTTTAAAGACTTTCTACATCTGTACTTGATTAACAGTGAAAATTTTATTTTCAACAACTAAAAGAAACTTTTCGGAAGGATTTATTTGCTGACAATTTTGCAAAATGATACTGCTAAGAGTTCTTTCAAAAAAATTCTTTTTCTCAAAAATTTCAGTCACTGAAGCACATAATTAAATATAGTTTAGATTAGTCCCAATTCTCAATATTTTTAAAATTTTAGATTAAGAAAATGCGTGCCTTAAAAAACTCTGCAATGCAATATTTATTGCACATCAAGTCAGACTTCTTATTAATAAACTAAATTGTTTATTTAACAATTAAAACAATTAAAACAATTAAAACGTTCATTAGGCAGGCATGTGTTCAAAATTATTCCTTTTCCTTTTTAATTCATTTTTGAGTTACGCTTTGTTTGACTGCAATTATTCTGAACGAACAGCACTATAAAAATAATCAGTCATCTCCTTTGTCTTATAACCAGACCTCATTAAGTTCATTACGGTTAAATTGTTTTAAACAAACAGTTAATCATTTATTTGTGCTACAATTGACTGTTGCATCTTAACTATGATCCCAGGAATGAATTATCTTCTTTCTGCAAGCTGAAAATCATATGGTCGTGGACTTTCTGTCAAAATTCGCAGAATGAATGATTTGTTTTCTTTCCGCGCCACATTTTACACGTCAGAGAAGAATTTCTTTTCAACAGCTATGAATTCAACATTTCATCGTGATCTATCAATATAAATTTCTTCAATGGAAAGAGAGATTTAACAATATATGAAACTAGCACACATTCATGATAACGTCACTGATAAGTGAAGCAGTGAAATAGTCGTGCAAGATTGTTGACAGATGTCGTTGGAATCATAAGAAAAATTTCATTCTGGTGCTTGCGTTACAAAAAAAATTGAAAATGTTGAAATTAGTTGAGGACAGTATAGAATTTTTGAATTGTTTTAATTCCAAAAATTTTAAGCTCAAAAGAAATTGTTAGGGACTTCAAAAACTTCAAGTTGTATTCATGTCTAAGATTCTTTAAAAACATGCAAGTAATAAACCCGTTATCATCCTTTTAGGATTCAGAAAACGAACTGATCAAAAATATGCCAAATAGACTTATAGCCAAAACTAAAAGAACCGCAACGGATTATATGATTTTGTGAAGTTCATTCAATTCAATTATTTTCAATGCAGAGATATTTTCTCCTAATACTGAGCCGAATATACCAAAAAGGGGGGCAATGGATGATATTACAGATTATATGCTCAAATCTTGCAAGTGAAAAATCTTTAAATTATTGAGAAAAAATAGTGAAAAATCTTTAAATTATTGAGCAAAAATAATCACAGAGAAAATACTACCTTTCCAGTGAACATTATCTAAACTAATAGAGTTAATCTAAAATTTTTTAAAAGCAAATCAACTTCGACATTTTGTTTAAATCAATAATCTGCCAGAACTTATTTGTAAGATATGTTGAAGTTTAACTGACAAATAAGAAATTGAAATTTGTCAGTTTTAGTTTGATGTCAACGATCAAATAGAAGTTGTTTTTAGACAACCAGTGGAGGAATTAATGTCAAACATGATAAAGAATTCGGATTTCTGCAACAAGATCAAGGTGATACTGTGCAGAAAACAGAAAAGAAATATTTTCAGAACATACTTGTCATACTTAGAGCAATGTAAATTAATGCATAAAATAACATCTGATCAATTTTAATTTTTTAACAAGGCATAATTTTTTTGAAGTTTTATTGCCATTTTTTAAATCGAACTTTCAAAAAGTGGAAAATTTCATCTTTGATTGACAATATTGATTTTATTTCATGCCATTTTCGAATGTCACAAAATATTCATGTGCTTACTGATAGTTCCACAACTGTCACTAATGCACATGCCTCCTCGAAATGAAATGAAGTTGCTGATCAATAATATGCAAATATGTAATTAAAAAGCATAAACATTTACTTCTGAATCAACTTCAAATATTTTCAAAAAAGAATTAAATTAAATTAAAAAAAATATATAGTAAATAAGAAACGAGTAATTTTTACTTTCCATACCAATTGTGATAGTTGCACTTTATAGCTGACAAGTTAGAAGCCGAAGAATGCTGTCCACTTTCTACACAACTCCATCACGAAAATGGAAGCAAGAGTTGCTTCAAATGCGATCTCCTTCCTGCATTATGTAATCGTCGTGTGATCACGCTTATCAAAACCTATCTTCTTAGGTATTAGAGAACTGAAAGAAACGAAGAGCTATGTAAAATATTACTTAAGATTTTTTGTAATACCATTTAGATTAATTTATCCAATTTTCTGGTTATTCTTACGAGTGAGAGAGAATTGAATCTCATCAATAAATGAGCAGTGAAGAAAAGTGATATATACTCTACAATAGATTTTAGATTCATTATAACATCTCACTGTGAATAAAAAACATCATAACGTGTAAAACAGTTTATAAAAGGATAAAGAAAAAACGGATCAGATTAGAATATTAAGTGAGGTTACTGCATTAATTTCACGAAAACCGGTAATAATTTTATAGCCGTGCATTTCAATTTATTCGATTTTCTCATTAAAATATCGTTTTATTCAATATTTCAGGTATGTTGAAATTATTGAAATTTTCAACAAATGTATCAACAAGTTATTTTAAATATGTTGAAATTATTGAATTTCGACTTCATAATTACATACGTAAACTATATTAGGAGTAGGCAATGCTGCAGCAGTAGTTGATGTCCAGAAATTATAATCATACTTTTAATATTTCGATTTCTTTTTATTGCTTTGTGACTGACATGTGGAGTGAGAAACATGCAAATTAATATCGCTTTATTAAATTGACAGTTTTTTGATAAAAATTTTGTTTGAAATTTGGTTTTCTACACTTCCGTTATGGCAAAAAGCAGAAACTGATGGGAAAAACGATTGCTGAAGCAAAGAGGAATGTATATCAGACAGGAATTTGAAGGTTTTTGTTACAAAAATCAGGTTATTAAATTCAAAAATCACTCGTAGGGGTTATTAATTAGGTTGAGGTACATGTTGCAGTTTACGATCGGATAATCTGTAAGAGTCAGTCACCTTAAATTAAGAAGGATGCAATTCTATCAGTGATTTTTAATTAATATTAAGGAATGAAATGCAATGTTTTACGAATTCTTCTAATTTTCGAAGGGAAATCTTTTACAATTAGAAGAAATGGAATTATATAATGGTATTAGCATTTAAAGAACAAAAATTTCCAAAGTCTGAGCTAACCTCCGAGAGGGACATTTACTATTCGATCATGAATAATGTATAATTTCATTACTATCGATCCTTCCATCTGTACAGAACGAAGTGACTGAGTTATATTGAGTTAGTGATCAAAGATTCTTTGGTTGATCGCAAAACACGATAATGTTTGATTCAGTCAAGTTCAGGAATGGTTCAGGAGAATAACATATGTTTATGTTATTCTGCAGTGAAGTGGGAACGCTGTTATAATGAAAATCCTTACTAATAAATACAGTAATTGAATTAAGACGTCATCTTCTAGTTTATTTTAACGTAGCAAACAGGTAAGCAGTAATAAGCAAAGTTAAATTGTACATTTGAGGGAAAATATTTCTTTATTTACTCTTCGTATTTATTCTTCTCTTTTACAAGTATTTACTAATTCCTTAGGGACGCGAATAATTTCTTATCTATCCTGAAAGTTTTGTCTTTTCCTTCATTTTGACAAAGTGCAAATTAGATTACTAGAAATCCATATTTCAAATTCAAATTTCGATTTTTAAATCTTATGCCCAAATTGGCTCTTTAAAAATTGCTCAGAAAAGTATTTCTAGATATTAAAAATTGCAAACTTGTAAATGTCAAATATTTGAAATCAGAGAGCTAACTCATGAAAGCAGTTTAAAAAAGACTTATTTCTACCTCTTACAATTTACCCACTAAATGGATCACATTAGCAAATATTTTAAATATCTCCATAAAACTTTTCACTTTTCAGCTCTGAAAAAATTTTAGATCATAGATTATACAGCGTGAATCGATCTCCGTTCATCTATTATTGTTTGTCAATCTTTAAATTAGTTTTCTTTTTTGCATCCTAGCAGATGGCTCAATTCCTCTTATCTTCAACCAAATTCATTTTTCATCGGTTTTAGTAATTTTAATATATTTATTATAGCTAAATATTTATTCCGATAAATCCTGAAACAACGCATACCTTTCAATGATACACTATCATAAAAATGCAAACATCTATATTTGCAATTAATTTTATTGAGAAAAGAGAAGCAAACTAATAAGAAGAAAAATTCGACAGGGGATGGTCGGACTTCATGTTGAATTTAAACCTGGCAACTGCACTGTTAGAAATCGTGATTTTTGCGAAGGTTATCTTCGTCATCTTAAAATACCAACTGAAAAAATGGCTTCAGTTGAAGCTAACTTTCATCTATTTTCTCATCTCACCCCTCCATTTTCAGAAGTTTCACTTCTAATTATTTTGTAGTACCTAACATTTAATTTAAACAGACGTTCGATTTACGTGTATTGATAGAAGTTCACCTTAAGAATATGATTATATTTTGAAATGAAACGACTTATTCCATGCCCAAGCTTATTCACTCCTGCTGATAGTGGTAAGAACATTTCGACGTTTCTGCAACATCAACCGCTAGATCAATCTTCAGGTATAAACATTCATATAAAGTTGAAGGTACATCGGAAACATCCAGGAATCGGATTTCTGCTACATTAATAAATTTGGTTACAGTTAAGTCTTTTAGTCTGCTTACAGCATCAGATATGTCTTCATTCCTAAAATGTTTATCATAACGTTTGCTATGCGATCGCTCGATTTTTCGCTCCCAAAATTTCATCTCAGCACCTAACAAACATGAAAGTTACGACAGTGAAACGCTGATATTTCCTTCCGATAGCTGTAAAAACACTGCAAGGGCGTTGTTTCATCTTAGATGACGAAGTGTAAACAATATATATCATCGACAATCTAATCAAAGAATGACTTTTTAGTAAGCTAAACGATCCTGAAAAGTAATTGCACGTCTGTTCCAAACTTCCAGTAAGAAATTTAAAACCGTAAGAGGAAATAAAAATGTTTCAGGTATACATCCTTATTTGGGAATGCGATCATCTTTTAAACGTACACTGATATCACTGTAAACCGACATAAAGAGATAAAATCTAGAACAGTTCGTTTCGACAAGCCAATTGAGCATATTACGAAATTTTCAAAAAGGTCAAAATATAGCTAGCTGAATTGAATGATACGGAAAAGGCCATACAGATTAGCAATTATTGCCAGAATGAAGAAAATACTGACAATACTTGCCTTATAAAGAAAAAGGGTGGGCAATGAACAAAAGGTAGAGAAAAATGAAGTGGTTCATTTTTGTGATCAGGAAAAAGCTTTTAAGCAAGAAGAGCGTTTAGAATGTATTTGGAAATATCTGAGAATACAAGAAGGGAGAAGGATAACACGGGGAATGTTCAATGATAGTTGCTTCACCGATAGGACAGGCTAATGAAACGTTTGATAAAGAGATTTCTTTCGATACCATCAGAATAACTTATAGCATCAGAATAACTCTGTTGGTTACTTTGAGAAGCGGAGATGTACTAACTTCATGCATTACTGACCATGCTACGCTGTGGATGGAACATTTATCGATGCACAGATTATACTAAAATGGATTGTACTATATCGTAAAATTAATTCGGATGAATTGCACAAAATAGACTTCAATTAATTTCAAATTAATATTAAGTATAATTTGTTTGTTTAGAGTTGACATTTGACACATATGTGATAACATATATATTTGAAGGCATTAATTTATTAAATGAAATGAAAAATGTTGAAAATATAAATTTAAAAGAGATTAAATGATCTTAATATTAATTCTAAATTAATTGCAGTCAATTTTGTGCAATTCATTAGAATTAATTTTACGATATATGGCTAATTAGATAATATTTTTTCACAGAAGGATGATGAAAGTTTCTGGAGGAGTTACTTAATTTTACTCACAAAGAACTTATGCATATCCACCACATAAAATATGATTAAAAATTAAAAGTTTCATCGAAAATTTTTGTCTGGTTATCATGTATGGATTAATTTATAGCTTTATCAAAAATTATTCATTTTGCTTATAGTTCATCTTGGTCATATCACCTGTAACTTGTCATCGTCTTGAATTGTGGTATTTTTTCTTCAGTTTCTTCATTTCTAAAAGTAACAACTGCCATTTTTATTACTCAATACCGCATATTTCAGGATTCTTGATATGTAGAATGTTTAATGGATTCTATCCATCAAAATAAAATAATAAGTGGTAGTAGATTTTTTGAGGTTACGATTTTTGTTCGTTGGCATCCCCTAATCATTGCTACAATCATAATTGTAGGATTTATAAATGTTTCCGCTAATTCAAACGATAGTACTCATTGAGGTACAAGAATGATGAATTGTGGCAATTTTTTGAAAATTGCAAATTCACTTAAATTTAGAATTATTGAAGTGACAGCTTATCAATCCTAATTTCAGGCTAAATCTTAAATTATCGCACATAAGTGGAAGATATAAATTCGCTTGATTTATTCAATTATAACTTTTTAAAATCTTTCATGCAACATTTATACATCTACATTTCACATCACTCCACATTTTTCAAATTATCAACAATTCGATTTTTTTATCCAAGGAAATGCATAACACGAAACTGTCAAATGATTCATAAAGAATGGTTCGAAGTGAAAAATTCAATTTTCACAAAAAACCTAATGCAAACAAATCTGCAAGCAATTTTTAATACTAACACCTTTTTTCTTTCATCCCTGATGTTCGTATCTTTTTCTACAGTCTATTTTTTTGTGGGAAGAATCCAGAAGTACCCAACCATTTTTCTATCACTCTGATTGAATTTTGAAGTTTTACAAAGTTTCAATGTCATTTTAAGCACAAAAATGATATCGTGAATGTTTCCTTACCTGTTTCTCTCCAACTAAACGCTTTATTTATTTGATTAATAACAGAAAATTGACAGTTACCATTTAAGCCACTGATTGAATGTATTGAGATTTGAATGCACTAAATTGAAATCTGAGAGATATTGTGGATTAAGTTTCATTCTAACTTTAGTTCCAAATATAATTATGACTTTTGGAGTTGAATTTAATAAGAAATAAAAAAACTAATCAGTAAAGGGTATGTTTCAGATTATAGATATCTGATAAGCCGATGAGATCGATATCGATGACCTATGAGAAGTGATGCAGAATGGTGCTGGTTCTTCCATTTACAAATCGATTTTCACAGCAAGTAGTAATCAGTGCAATGCACCTCATAACGATATAGCTTCAGGTGTTTTTAACAATTCAGAAAGAGATAAAGGAAATAGGAATATTGCCTTTTTTTTTCCCTTCTTCTATTTTTTCTTTATTCTCACTATTAATTCCAGAGATTCTCACCTCCTTTGCTAATATCGGGTCGTTTATTCGGTAATGCATTATTCATTACTTTGTCAAAAACCTTTCAAACAAGTTTTTACTTAGCAGAGAAACTAAATTATCGGAGAAAATTGAACATAAATAAATGAAATTAATAGTGCTCTGAATCAACAAGAGCTACTTGCAACAGAAATGAGAAAGCATCTTCTGAGCGCAGCTGTTCCGACGAAGGAACTGTCAGCAATGTTCATTTCTTAACGTTTGATCTTTTTTATTCAAAAACACTCTTAAAATCAGCAAAACAAAAAACAAATTGTTCAATTATATCTATCATTTTAGAAACAATACAATAAAAATTCTTCACATAATATTATTTCCTTTGAAAGTGTTCCCGGCTGACATAAAATTAGAAAAGAAAAAATTCTGTAATTATTGCATGCGAAGGTTCCTTTCTAATTTGTAGTAATTGTGTTAAAGTTAAGGATAAAAGATCAAGAAAAACTTTCTAAAGTTATGACTTTGGTTTAAAAATTATAATAATTTACTATTCATAGTTTAGGAATTTGGTAATTATAAAAGTGAAAATAATAAAGGTAATCATATAAAAAGGTGAAAATAGAAAATTCAAGTTTCAACTGAAAGTTTGAAAATTTTGTCTCCAATTCCTTTATGTTTTCATACTATCAATTCGAATTTCCTTGTCTAATTTTTTTTTACTGTACTGAATGATCAGATAGTTCGATACGGTTGGTTTCACTAGCAATTATGCAAAAGGGAACTGTGGAATCTCTGTAAGTTATCCTTGAAATAAAATATGAATATGTGTAAGTTCGTCGAACTAAACAATTCCTATTAGTGGGAAGAAAAGATTGAAATAGAATATATGTTTTCATATTCCTGGAGTGTTTCTAAAGATTATTTTAATTTGTCGAACCGTTATGGAAAAACATCCCTTGAGATTGGAAATGAATAATGTTTCCATCTCAAGCATACTGCTTTTGTTGTCTGTTCTCTCTACAACTTCCTAAAGTTCATTTTTTCTTCACCATGAATTTTTGAATTAAACAAAAAGCCTACGCCGGAGAAATCTATGATGGGAAGGAAGAGTTATTTAGAGAACCAATCAGTTCACCGAAAAATATTCAAAAATTCACCCATCATTTTTCCTTTTATTTCGTTCTTTCTTTGGGAAGGTCTTTTTCTCCTCTCGTATCATCCAAGCTGCATATTTTACTTTTATATATATATATATATATATATATATGTTTTTTGAAAGTAAATTGACTTAAAAATGAAAACGAAATTGGTTTAAGAGGAAGAGATGAAGAGTAAGGAAGAAGCAATACAAGACGATTTTCTGGCCTTTTAAGTGCAGATATAACAAGACTCAGCAGCAGCTATATAAAGACAGCAAAGCTTAAATGGGCTGAAGATGAACTTTGTCCAACCAATATGTTCGTACTTAAAGCCTGTCGTAGAATTCCTTTAAATCGAGAATATTTGAATCACACAAGATTTTTCTTAAATAAGAAAAAGAAAAATTTCCGGTGAAGGATTCCAGAAAATTAGCAATATTTTTCATTAATTTCTATATTTCATTTTGTATTTTGCTACAATTTTTTTTTACTAGCAAACGTTGTAATTTCTCTGTTCTGTTGAAATTCATATGACAACAAGCGTTGTTGGACGACTCGTCAACGCCATCCATTTAAATGCAACACATCCAAAACCAAATTCTTTACTTGCATTCGTCTGCAAGTTAGGTAAAATTTCTTGCATATATTATTTATTATTGTGTAAAACATTTATTTAAATATCTTTTCTTAGAATGCTAGAAAATGTGCACGTTTATGTGAAAAGTAATTTTGGTTGTAAAAAAATTTATCTGAAAACAACAAATTTATGCATGCTATAGAAAAAAGAAATATATTTTATCAGTAATTAATTAAAATTATCATAATGAAAACTGTTAAAATTTCGTAATTAATTACTGATGACATCTCTCATGCACTGTTATCGAAATTGAAAACTGTTCAAGTTTTCATTATGATAATCGTAATTAATTACTGATGAAAATGTCAAGAAGTTATTTCTTTTTTTCTCTCTTTCTAGATCAAACATAAAATTATAGAAGTAGAAGAAAAACTAAAATTTATAATCAGTACCATAAATTAAGTTAGCGCTATCTGTTTAGTTTTCCAAAAATTACTGGAATTGATTTTCCTACAGAATTGAAGAATTGTTATCTCTTTAACCTTGTTTTAGTTAATATCTTTCATGTACTGTTATCAAAATTTGATAATTAGATTTCTTAGATCGCAATCTCTAATTTCATTTTCCTCTCACTTTCTTCTTGTTTTTTTTTGGGACAGATTTGCTTCTATCGCATTTGTTCATTACATTATTGCAACTTAATTTTGCCATATTGAGGGGAATTTTTTTTCTCCAAGTTAATAATTGAATTTTGTTTGTAGAAACTAAAACTATGAAATTGATACTGTGAAATAGAAATATGGGTTTGTTACATTTTAAGAACTTTCCTATATCAGTCTACCACGTTTCAGGTGATCTAGAAATTCTTGGCTTACATATATATCTCTTACACATATCTCCACCCAAGACCTCACTCATATGGCAGACTTTGTTCTGATTTACTAAAAAGCTTCTAAGTGCTTGCAAATTAAATTTGTCAGTTTTTTACATGAAGCTGTAGAGAAGATGTAATTTCTTCGAGTCATATAGAATCTTCAAATTTTAATTATTTACTAACATTAAGATATGGCTATCGTTATGACTTTACTTACTTATTTTTTTGCAAATTGTAGTGCAATGTTGATGGAATCCATTTTTTTTCCCATTTACATCAGTTGCTTTTAGCTTCATCGCATTCAAATAATTCCTCAATACATGGGTTTGCAATTGATGATGAACCAATTGCTTTATTTCGATCGGAACTTGAGAAACTACAACATATACTACATTTCCCCGAGGAATTAGCATTTCAGGTATAAAAAAATACTGATTCTAAATCAATTTTTAAGATCAATCGATTAATCATTAATTAATGGTTGTCAGTATGTGTTAAAAAGAAAAAATTGTGAGTAATTTTTATAACTGAAACCAATTCATGTTTATCAGATTATTTGATAAATTTTGATTTCTTTAATTATTTGATTTCTTTAATTGCTATATTCAGTTCTTCTATTGATTCTTCCATTAGATCAAATTTGTTGTCAGATGACCCAAAACTGTTTCATTTTTCTGTATTTCTCTCCTTCATTTTTTGCTGATAACTTTACAAATACATTAAATAATAGTTTATTTTAACTGGAGTTAAAAAGAAGTATGATGTTGTCTTTTCATAAATTTCTTTAAAATTTGGAAAGATTTAGAAATACAGTTCTGTGTTTTCTTTCAAAGAAATCATTGCTAGAAACTTATCCTAACATTTCCGAAATTTACTGATATGAACTTTGATTAATCAGACTAATAAATTAATTTTTGAAAAAGAAAAAAGTGTTCAAAATTAAGGGTTCATATGTAACAGTGATATGTATGCATGATTTTCAGTTATCAGCAATTGAATACCAATTATTTTATGAAATGCAACCGATGGACTATGTTCATTATGTGAGCTGCGATCTAACTTCAATACCAGTTGCAGACAATCCAAGTCCCATTCGAAATCTCGTCAAACGCTTGTCTGAGATATGTTGCTCTTTTTTTTTTAAATTTTCATTACCTGTTTGTTTTATCATTTATTCCCTACTTTATCTAAATTTGTAATATGGAGAAATAAAGTTAGTTGTGAATAAATATGTTGAACAAGTTAACCACGATGATTAGCTTGAGGTCAGCGATCTTATATCATCTTTTAAAGAGGCCTCGAATCGAAACAATTCTTAGATTATCGATAAAGCCTCATTTGCTCATAATTGCAAGAAAGCTTTATTTTCATCGAATGGCTGATTTCTTATACTTAGGAAATTAAAAATACTTATTATTCGATCAGTAAACCAATAAGCCAAATTTTTAGATAAAAAAATTTTTTTTTTGTATAATTTCAACTGTTGAAAAAATAACGACGATCAATAATTTATCAAAAATTTCGTTTTTCAGATAAGTTCATGGATAACCCATCTTATAGTAAGCATGCCAACATCTGAGGAACGGCAAACAACTCTTACTTCTATTTTCCGAATAATCGATGTATGCTGGAATATTGGTTAATTTTTACTATCAACTTGTTACCTTTTCTATTTTGCAATTCCTGTTCACCTTTATTTTTTCATTTCCTTATCAAAATTTCGAAATGTTCTCTTCTGCTTCAAAATTAATTTTTTAAAAGTTGCTTTCATTAAAAAAACAGCTCTTTTTACAACAATTATAAAGACACTCTATAAAAGTTTTTCAAATATTTCTTAAAGAATTCAATGAACTTTGATATTTGGAAACTAAATCTTTAAAATATTTTATATTTTTGAGATTTTCATTAATATTTAAATTCATTTTGATATGATTCTGAACTGTTTCGATCTTTTCTATCTTTCTTAATAGGATCTTCTCAAAAGATTTATTTATGCATGTGTGTCTATGTCTGTATATATGCATGTGTGTCTATGTCTGTATATAAAAATACATATATATATATATATATATATGTATTTTTTTGAAATAGAATGATATAAGTTGAAAAGAAAATATGAAATGATTAAGAACTAAGAGGAAAGATATCTGATATAAATTATTTCTTTTGTTCAGAAGGTTTTTTCACATTTTCAGGATTTCTAAAATCGATAATGTTTTTCCTTTTCATCTTAGGTAATTTTAATGCAGCAGTTGAAATTTTGATGGGACTAAAAAGTGAAAAATTACTATCATTTTGGTTATCATTGAAACCTGAGAAGAAGAAAAAATATGAACAGGTTATTTATTATTGATAAAATTTTCATATTAATTTTCTTTTTCTTCAATATGATCTTAATCTCAAAAATCCTAACTAGGAAATTCCCCCGCAAATTTATAACTGACAAGGAATGAGTCTCGGGGATCGGTAATCATCTCCTGATGTTTCATGATCATCCCTTAATAACTAAATTCGTCATTTTATTATTGCAAACAAAGCGCCATTTTTGGTGAAGTGTCTCATATTACAGCAGAAATTTATGTTTTGATATAATTTTTATTTACAAAGAAAAGAAGGCAGGATGATGTACAAAATTTATAGCTTTGTGAGGCCCTGTTACCTAGCAATCAGGCTGCTTTATCCACAACTTATCGAGAAGCGATTCAAAGAGCTTTATGCATGCCACAGTGCAGGGTGATTCCTTTTTTCGGTGTTTTCTTGCGTGACCTATATGCAATAGTAAACGACATGCCAAGCGTTCTGATGACTGCTGATGAAGATAATAAAGACAAACCTGAGGTATCACTCCTCCTCTATACCATTAATTGGAATAAAAGAATAATAACAAACTCAAGAAATGCAATTTATTGAGACAATTTTGAATGCTTTTTATAGTTTATGGATGAACAAAGTGGTGACAGTCATTGCTCGTCCAAAACTGCTGTTAGTGGTTTGTTAAATGCTGATAAAATCAGTCTGATGGCTGTGGTACTTGGAAATTTGGAATTATTTTATCGTCATTATAAGAATATGTCCAGTTTTGTAGTGGATCCTAATGGGCCAAGTGTTGGAAAAGAAAATCCAAAACCTATGGCATGTTTACAATCTTAGTTTTTCAAAGCATACAAAAAAGAAAACATTTGATGTTTAAGAGATTTTGATCTTTCAACCAACTAATTTCTAGGGTTACAATCCGGTGCAACCAGTAAAAGGGGTTGTGAAAAATATTACTTTGGTACCTTTGGATACGAATCGTTTCGATTTGGATGTGATCCAGCGGCTTCATCATGGTACCACGGTTATTCGTTATGATCCGGATACAGGTCGCAGCACACTTTGCATCTTGAAATTGGATGCCAGTTGTAGCTTATTGTCATGGCACAAAGTTGGTTATTTAGGAACGAAGGAGATGAGAGATAAAGTATTTTCTAAATTGATGATTTTAATTAGGGCCCTCGAATAGGAAATTTCTCATTCAAAAATTTTGCAAATTTTCTAAGAAATTTACTCCGGATGTACATGGAATTTGCTGGTTAAGAATTTATGTCATTCAAACGCTTTGCTGGAATGTGCAAGCTAAAGTCCATCTTATTTATTGAGAAGCTTCCGTTCTAATGTATGAAAATAGCTTGAATGCATTCCAGGAAGTACATATCGCATCGGTGGGACGAATGCAAAGCGTAAAACCTCAAAGTATAACACCATTAGAAAGTCGCAATCCTCCTTCATCACCAAGTTTACGGCCAGCTGGAGTTGCCTGTACTACACTGGATTGTGGCTTTTTAAAACTTTCCTATGTTAAATCTATTGAAAATGTTGCTTCAAGCGATATCGACATTGAGGTTAAAATTACTGTTGAAGAATATCAAATTAAAAATTTTTTCTTCTTAAAACAGTGTTTTCAAGTCTAGTCGAGGTAGCAATAACTTGCTGTAGAATATAAATATTAAAAAGGCGACGGATTTGAGGATGTAAACAAAAAAATATGCTAATAACTTTTATTATTTTTGGATATTCTTTGTATTCGAAACAACTTGCATGGAAGCATTCTTCATTTTAAAATATTTCAAATTCAGAACATTTATCGACGCCACAGCAACGAAGAAATGTCTGTGCAGATGCATTGTTGGACAATAAATATTGGCTGTTACTTGTCTGATAATGAATTTTTGTACTTCATTGCACCGGAAAAAAGCGCTCAATACTGGATAACTGGACTAACAACTGTATGATTGTAATTTAGATTAAATGTAATTTAATGAACTGTTTGAATTTCGATGAATTAAGGGAATTTTTTTTAGTGATGAATTCTATTTATATCTGTTAAAGCCTGAAAATTTTTCATGTATCCGTTTTTGAATGGATGGAATTATGGCTCTGCAGTTACTTTAAATGTAAATGAAAAAACTTACAAGAAGATATCCTGAAATTCGCTCTTCAAATTTTGATAGCTTAGCCTTTCTAGATTGTAAATTACTTACTGGAACAACAGAAATACGCAGATCGACGAGTTCTATGGCTAAGGAAATTATATTTACAACTGTGCACTAATTACGAACAGTTTAAGATGATCGATGAAGGCGTAACATCTAGCCCACACCCTTATCAAGCTCTTCAAGCTTTTGGTGGTCGAGCCGAAGCTTTGAAGAGTTTAGGTATCATTATATGAACGTCTTGAAACAGTTTTGACGATTTGTTGATATTTTTGAAGATGCTTTAAATAATCTGTTTCTTGTCAGGTTTGCAAAGTATCGTTCCAAAATCACTTCAATCAAGAACGTTTCATTCTGCAAAAGTTACGGCGACAAAAGGTCGTTTAAAACAAATGACAAGTGCTGTTGCTCGACGAATGAAATTCATAAACCGTAGTAGTGTCCATTCACAAAGACCAGAACTATTTGTATTTTCGGAGGTGTTTTAAATATTCAAATTTTGAAATACCAATAATTTTTGAATATTCTGAAGTTTAAACTACTTCAAAATTCATGTCGAGATTTCATAATAATTGCTTGAGAAAGAGGAAAAAAAAGGACGTTGATATGACCTTCGCTTCAGAACATGCAACTTGAGAGAAGTTTGAAGACTCGTGGATTATATTTTAGTCAGAAGGTCGCAATACATTTTTATGGCTGCAATTTTCCTGTCCTCCTAAAAGCTTTGATTTTCAGACACGACATCAGTCACTTCGAAATCGTGTAAGTAGCGAACAGTGCACAATGTTTAATTCAAGCACATCACGGAAAATATCGAGATCGTGTGACAGTTCTTCATCAACGGATACTGCTAATTTCATCTCTTGGCATAAATCCAGAAGGCTATCAGCAAGAACTTTAGGCTCTTTCTGCTCTGGAAAAATGAAAAAGTGAGTGTGATTCTAATACGCATCATAGCCTCCGAATTATCTAGAAATATGTTTTAGAATATTAAAAAAAGGAAACTTTACATTGTGGGCAAATCTCGTTATTATTTAATTACTTCCATTTTACTAAAATTGATCAGTTGTTCTTTTTTAGTAGTATGAATATCCGGAAAAAAACGGAAGATTTCTAAATGCGCTGTCACCTTTTTTTTATAGAACAAAAGTTTCCGAAGATGCAAGTTTAAGCCTAACAATTTCCAAAGAGTCTTTGGTGTCTTTGAAGTCGTACGAAGAAGAATATTCGGAAAAGCCTGTTACGTTATTTGAATTTATTGAATTATACAAATTATTTAGTACGAACATGCGAACAGATCTAAAGTAAGTTTATTCATGGTAAAATATGTTTTGAAATATTTGAATTCCTATTAAAATATTTCAATGATAATGATTGTGCAGGTGTTTTCTTTTTAGAGATATTTTCAACGATTTCTTTGTTATGCATGGATGTGACAATGCAAGTGAAATTAAGCGTGAAGACAATCAAAAGACTTCACAAATGGAACCATCGATTTCAGATATTGAATCTATACCATACGGTTCATAATTCAATGTAAACATCTGGAAAAAATAAAGATGGCAAAATTTACGTGGAAAATTATATGTTGATATATAGCAGCATATATATATAATATTTCAGATATCCTTACAAGGAATACTTCTACAACAACTCAACACATTAGTGAAAAGCAGCAGAAGGTATACAGCGCACTAGCTCTTGCTAGTTTAAACAGGTGTTTTTGTTTTTTTAAAAAAAAAAACGATAATTTGAAATTGATGGTTGCTTTTTTTGGATATATAAAAGATCGAAGTGAATAGAAGCAGAAGCATTTTTGCTTTTTAGACTATTATTATAGCATCATTGAAAAAATGTATTAGTTGAATTATTTTATAAAAAGAATTAAGAGAGATAGTCAAATTAAGAGGTAATTAGTGCCTAAACATCTAGAAATATCGAAAAAACCCTTCTTATGATTTGCAATATAAATATTAAAAACCCCGATTTTTTCGTGTATTGATGAGCTTATTGGTAGGTACAGTTTGAAATTTTCGTAAAGAGCATATTATTTCAGTACGGCCTTAACGGATACAACAAGATGTCCATTTCTAACTCCCGCAACGTTGAAACAATTTATTGAAATATATCAGATGGAAATTGTGGATGATGATTATGCTATTAAAATAATACAGGTTTTATGAGAAGTGTAACGAAAGATTTCAAGAAATTATATGTCATGTATTTCATAATTTTCTATTAAAAATTTTTGTTTTTCAGGAGCACGAACCGAATCCAGCTTACCGAAGTAATCAGCGACTTTCATTTGAAGGATTTGTGCGCTACATGACAGATTCAACCAATTATGCATTTGTACCTGAAGCAATTAAACCTGATCAAGATGCACTTCACTATCCATTAAATTATTACTATATTTGCTCAAGTCACAATACTTATCTCACAGGTCATCAGCTAAAATGTGAATCATCCACTGAAATGTATCGCCAGGTTGAATTTCTATGCACATCATTATTAATTCTGCTGTCATTACTCATTGAACTATTTCTATATTTGCTCAAGCTATCAGTAAAAAAGCAACTTCAAAAAAAAATTCTTGCTTATTGCATTTCTTTTATTAACCAAAATATGAATAGTTGACGTTGCATGGAATGTTGCTTATGCTATTCTTTAATTAAATCATGTAAAGTTTCGAAATAAAGTTTGCTTAAAATTACAGGTGCTATTAACTGGCTGTCGCTGTGTTGAATTAGATTGCTGGGATGGTGAAAATGGCATGCCTCAAATATTCCATGGTCATACTTTAACGTCCAAAATTGGTTTTCGTGAAGTACTCTGTGTTATCAAAAAAAGTGCCTTCGCTACTAGCAATTTACCTGTTGTTTTATCAATCGAAAATCATTGCTCACTTCAGCAGCAAGGAAGAATGGCCCAAATGCTTAAAGTTCGATTTCGATCTTTTTGAACTACGATTTAAAAAATTCACTTTACTCAATATTTTATTTGAAGCAGTGCTCATATTCATTTCAGAATTACTTCGGAGAAAAACTTGTTACATATTTTTTGTTCGAAGCTGACTATAGTAATTCTCCACGACTTCCATCACCGTGGCAGTTGCAGAATAAAATTTTAATTAAAAATAAGAAAATGATCGCAGAGCCAAGTGCTGGACCACGAATGGATAAATATTTTATCAAAAATGAAGACGATACGGTTATCGAGCAGATAGAGTTTGTTTATTTGATAAAATAACTTACTTTTCCTTACAACCCCTTTAAGCAAAATAATTTTTTTTTATAATGAGTGCATAAAATTTGCAGTGGATTCTATGGAACAGATGAAGATGATCTTGAAGAATTTTATGATGATCTGGATGATGAAGAAGCAGGTTAGTTACATTTTATTACTGATTCCATACAAACCTCAAAACTTCTCAGTAGATGTAATTTAAAGTTAACTGTTTTGATGTTATGCAGATTCGGAAAGCCCGAAGATAATGAACTGGTTGTCAAGAGGTACAACACATGAATCGTCCAGTGAAACTGAAGAGGAGCGCAAATATTCCGTATCCAGATTAACGCATGCTGTTTGTTTCAGCTTCTAAAACTTTTGACGATTCAAATGATTCAGATGTAATTGTATTATAGCAGTATCTTTGAAACACTGATCAAAATTCAAAAGACTATATAGGGCTGTAGAAATTTTAATTTATATGTACCATAAAATCATTAGTGCCATAAATTTGGTAATCTACTTCATTTTTCATTTTTAACCGGTTGAATCAATCTGCCGTCTGGTGTTACACAGCTGATCAGTCTAATCAGTCTAAAGTTCACGTATGCTGCATAAATCACGTCATCTCACGGTATATGACTTTGTTGTGAAATTTCTTTGTTTAATTCTAGATAAGTGCACCATTCGATTCGAGAATAAGTAATGAATCATTGCCAGTTAATGGAGAAAGAGTGTTGCAGAGATCCATTAAGAAGATACCGGGACCTCCAGTTGCACCTGAATTATCGGACCTAGTGAATTATATGCAAGCTGTTAAATTTAAGGCAGAGTTAACCGTTTAATCTAGCCATTTAAAATTCTTTCAACATAATTTTATACTCATTTCTAATCTTCAATTTTGCAAAAATTTTTTTGTGTCGTAGAATGATATTATTACTTGTTGATATTTTATTACTAGCGTTTTCATAGCATTCCATATATCTCTTAATGCCATTTAATGATGAAGAGAATTTTTCAGGGTTTTCCGGGAATGGTCGATTTTGTTCGTCGACAGGAAGAGTCTGCGAAATCCCTGGTATTGGGGACGATTCGATCAGGTTCTAATTCATTGTCAATAGCAACTCCTACACGACGTTTGCGAAATGCTGCATTATCCAACGGAGAAACTAAATTAAAATTCGGAGAGGAAACTCAATTTTCTGTCACTTCATTTTCAAAGCCCAATAGTAATGCATCGTGCTATCAAGTTACGTCACTTAATGAATCATCCGCCCGGAAACTTTCAAGGTGATTGTTGCAACTTAAAAATCTACAGATCAAATATTCATGAAGTTACAGTTATCTATAACATTTATAAAACTGCAACTTTGAATAAATTGATTTGCTGAGCATTTCAGGAAACATCCACTGGAATTTATCGCTTATTCACGCGAGCAGATTGTTAGAACGTATCCTGGCGGTATGCGCATTGATTCTTCCAATTTCAATCCAGTTCAATATTGGGCATTTGGTTTGCAAATGGTTGCTTTGAATTTTCAAACTACTGACACAGCAATGGCTGTAAATACAGCAATGTTCGAACAGACTGGGAATTGTGGATATACTTTGAAACCGAGAATTTTATGGGACGACTGTCACCCATATTATAATCGTTTCAATCCGTTCTGCAAGGATACTACTTCAATATCTGCTCTACGCTATACAGTTACGGTAAATTCCTGCTCGTTTCAATTAGTTATTGCTATTTTTGAAATCTTAATAAATCAAGTAACTATAAAAGAAAAATAAAATTGATCAGTGATCGAACGCTATGTTACTTTTTGGATTTTTCATCAAAACATATAGATTCGTCTGTAGATTCTATCTGGGCTGTCAGTGAGCAAAGAACATTAGCTTGCCTCTCTCATAGATGACAATTTAAAACAAGAGTTTAAATTGTAGATGAAACAGGTGGATGGAATAAATAACAGCAAATGAAAAAATTCACGTTTAATTGAGGAAGTCTAAAGCAGTCAATATCTGAGGCAATAAATATCAAAATTTAGACATTTTGTAGAAGCTTCAGGATACGGGTTTGAAATTCAAGGTCTAGTGTGTATCCATGGATTCACTCACCTGTCCCGTAACAATAAGCATTTTAAAGCTATGTTATGTAAACATTGGTTATATTTTCATTGAAACAGTCCACAATAATTTTTTCATGGTCCTTTTTCGTGCTAATATCTGAATTTGAGTTTATAATTTTCAATCCTTTAGATAATATCAGGACAGCATGTTTGTCCAAATCAAAATGTTACTTCAACTTATATTGAAGTGGAAATTATTGGAATACCAGCAGACTGTGCCAAAGAAAAGAGTAAAGCAGTTAGTCGAAATTCGATGAACTCAATTTGGAATCACACCTCAACATTTCGGATCGCTTTCGTTTATCTCGCTTTTTTGCGAATCTGTATTTGCGACAGCACAAATGGCAGGTATCTCTTTACCTCACTTTTTTTCAAGATATATGAATTCCAGCATTACGAAATCAGGAGTCTTGCCAATTTGACAGACTTCATATGTATATTTTATTAGATGTTTGGCACAACGAGTAGTTCCTGTGCGTTGTATTCGTGCAGGATATCGCCATCTTCCGTTACGAACACCCGCAAATGTACCGATGGATCAGGGAACCGTATTTCTCTATTCACATTTTGAACAAGAAGAACATATTCATTTGTATGATGAAGACAGTACTATCAACTGTAATACAGATCAGCAGTTGCATCCCCAGATACTTAATATCAATCCGGTTCGACTTTGCATGATAATTATCAAATGTCTCTTGCAAAAATTGCAATTTGTTAGTATTTCAATAATTACAAAGTTTTCACAAATAAAATCATTTATTTAAGATGGCAATGATAAAAACAGTTTCCATTCCCAAACGACAAATTTTCATACTGCGAATATCGGGCATATATAACGACGATACATCGGTTATTGTGCATGCTGAATCATTCAGCACAGTGCGAAATATCATAGAAATGGTATGAATGCTAGTTAAATTTGTTTGTATTTAGTTTTTTTTTTTTAATTTTAATTCAGCTAAATTAAATTTGAATATTCATTTCTAGCATAATCCTTCATATAAACTTGCTGTAGGCACTCACAAATGCGGGTAAAAATGCTGACACAGCTGAGGAATATGTTTTGGTTGAAGTAAACAGCAGTGAAATATTGAGTAACAGTGATGAACATAAAAATATACAGTGCGAACATCGCATTTTACCATCCAAAGAACTGGTCATGGATTTTGTTGCATGCTGGAATGGTTCCACGCGACGTTTCGTCGTCAGAAAAAAAGGAACGGCAAGTTTATGCTTCACAACAGGATTGTGTGTAAAATTTTATACAATTCACTTGTAGATTTCGAATCAGTGAACTTCGAAATGATTTTATGAATCAGTGAACTTCGAAATGATTTTATGAGACAACTTTTCAATGTTTGTTCCAGGATCCTAGTAGCAGAACATGGATCAGTTCCATAATCAAAGCTGGTGTGGGACCATCATCATCATCAATTCAGTCACCATTGTCGGACAGAAAAGCAAATAATCGTTCTTCAGGACAACATGCTGTGCTTCATAGAATAAAATCTTTGGATCCAGATGTTTCTAATGAAAAGAAGGTTATAAACGGTAATATCTGTTGCAGTTTTGAAAATTATTGAAGAAAATCGAAGTCTGAGGATTTTTGTCCTTAGACTACACAGCTTTTTTCTAGTTTTCAACGGTTTATTTTATGAAATTAATAAAAAACTTTGATTTAAAATCAATTATTTCATTTTATCGTTTATAATCTATCCTTCAAGATTTGCATCCACTAACGTATACAATGAGTACAACGAGAACTTTTCTGGTATGTGTTCATAACGTTAGTCGAAATCAACCGTACGTCATTCTTCGGGCAAATATTTACAGCACGGCTAATGATATCATCAAAGAAGTATCTTATAATTTGTATTAAAAGAATAAAAATAAGAGAACATCCATAGTACTTGTAAACTTAAAAGGTTAAAGGTATTTACATATGAGAAGATATGTTTCAGGATGATTTAGGCATACGAAAGAAGTAACGCTTGTCGTGAATTTTTATCTTTTTGATACTTCAATATAAGTTTAGAATTCTTAGTTTCTACTTGGTAGAGACGATGATACACTCACGTCAACAAAAGAAAAGAAAAGAGGAAATAGTAAATATAACCATCTGCTGTAAACGAACTATTGTGAGGGAAGTACTGAATTATCGTCTGATAATTAACGCATACGTTGTAAGATCATCATAAAGAAGGGGAAAAGTTTTCTCTTATCACACTATTCGGACAGGATGCCTTACTAACTTGATGGATATAATAAGTGAATGATCCATTCATATTAAAATCAGATGATATTCTTGACATGTGAGTTCTAGTAATTTGTAGAGAAATTTGATTGACAAAGCTTACAGTTCAATTTAAACAAATGTCGAACCCACTGTTGGAGCAACCGTTGATTTCATATTAGACAGAGTGTATCTGAGATAAATACACAAACCAACTACATATATCAACCAAAATTTGACAAACACATTTACAGCTTTTGCCTGTTTGTTAAATTCTTTTAAGGTTTTCCTGAAATCAAAACAAACGTATGTCACTGAATCAGAATATGTGCTGGTTGAAGAAACAATGAAGGAAACAAATTCATCTTCAACTACATCACTGAAGCTGAATATTCCTGGTAATAATATTTTATTTGGAGTGAAAAATACTGAAGGTTTTAGTTGATCGTTGTGCTAAAAATTTTTAGAAAAAATATGCCAGTGGCAAAAAAAAAATTTTTAATCTTGTTCTTACCGTAACTTTTCAATCAATATTAAATAGAGAAAGTATTAAAGTTTGAATAAATTTTAAGAAAATATAAGGCAAGAACATACAATGACAATTTGCAGCAGGAAAATCTTCTGAATCTAAAATTGTTTCAATGCGAGTGCTAGCATCAGATGAAATTGTATGGAAAGCACAAAATTCATGGAAGACATCTGGACGTTTCATCTTGGAAAATCGCGAACATACCATTCATTCAACTAGAGAAAAAGTGAGAAGTTTGTTGCAAGCACTTGAGAATGCGCATGTGAGAGCTGGTTCATCACAATTCGTTAAACATTAAGAAAATGTTGATTTGAACATTTTCATTCATCACTAATTTTGCTCAATTTCTGTATTTTCCTTCTAATTCATCAGAATTATTCCCCATCTACTTATCATATAACAACAATTGTTTCAATTGATCATTTACTTAAATCAAACTCAGTGAAAGAAATGAAATCATCGCTAAAAAAGCGCTATCGATACAAACAAATCTCAGATGAGATTTGCGCATTCAGATATGTTTGTTAATTTTTGCTATCGAATTTTTGAACTTTTGCATTGTTCCTATGGAAAAATCATTAATCTCTATTGCAGATATAAATTCTATTTATATTTTAGTTATTTAATCTCCGTCGCTTCCTTCGTTACTTCACTCTGATACATGCATATGAACAAAAGCGCTTGATCAAAAAAAAAGAAATACGTGCAAAAATTTTTTTGTGACACCTGCTGATAAATGTTTTTCTGATATTGTGTAAAATGTAATTTTTACTCAGGATGCTCTTAACTGGGATTTATTAATAAAATTTTCAACTGTATATCTTTATGGATGTTTCAAAAGAAATGAAAGAATTATTTTCTGTTATTCTAAATGGCAAGCATTCGCTTCCAATCCGAACTTCTAGAATTTATTTTCAAATATTTCAAATGTATGCAATCGTCCATTTCTTTTAATGATATTATCATTCATTGATCTCATTCGCTTATTCTAATCCGATTCCGATCAGAAACTTTCGGGGTTTTCCTGCAATATTGTAATGATTAAAAGATCAAAGATGCAAAAGTGCAGAATGAATAATTAATTGATAAGAAAACCTTATTTTTCAAGTTGTATTCCCAACATTTGTGCAATTTACTTTGGAATATGTTTTAAATTCTAAATAATTGTAATGTTCTTAAAGGTTCAAGTACTATTTTGCTTTTCTTTTCCTTATATTTAATTATAATTCATATGGGTCGGGGGATGAGTTTACGAACTCCCAAATTTTTCAATGTTTAAGGACTGCACATGCACAAGCACAAGTTATATACTCTTAGAGTAACTAACTGCATGAGAAACCTGAATCTATATGCAGAGACATAGAACGAATATGTAACTTCAAAGAATTCGCTTGAAGAAAAATGTTGCCTCACTCTTGGATAGGAATAAATTTTCTCTTTGTAATGTCATCCTAGATACGATATTTTTAAATTTCACACAGAATTCTGACCACTGACTGTTTCTGGATCCGTCCTCTCCCATCATTCCATCTCCTTATTTTACTTGGTTTTCCCACTCTTCACAATTTCTGCTTCTACTTCGTTATCATTCCCCAATGCCGGATTTTTATTTATGTCTTTCTTCGGTGCTATTTTGCATCCTGATTACGACTTACTTTTGTAACATTTCGCTCAAAATCAGCACTATTTATGACAAAGAACAGAATCTATGCTGCTCTTCGACGGATTCGAAAATGTAGCGAAGAATTGGAAATTCACCGATTAAAACTAAACTGTTCATACTCAGATCATACACTTTTACATTCTCATAACGCAAAATTACTTTAAGTTTTAATATAGTTCCAAGTCCGCAAACCACAATTGCAACCCTCGTCATTTTTTCTGCAATTGAGCATATGCTGCATGCTCCTTTTATGAATAAAATTTTCCGGCATGAAAATTTTCAGTCCTGTATACCTCTAATGATCTCTACTGCATGAAAAGCATGAACTGGACAGGAAGAGAGAAGAGTTTTATAAGAAGTGAAACAAACGTTAATACAATGAGCAGTGAAGAATTTTCATAAGTTATACAAATACCACTGGACTGGATCACAAATGACGACGATAGCCTAACAACCATTAAACATACAATACCAACACTTTCACTTAAAAAAAATTGTAATCAATGCATAAGAAATGTGGCATATAATGCATGGGACAGTCCTTCTAATTAACGATATCTTTTTGCCACATTATAAAAGTGAATTATATTGAAGGATATATTTTAAGATGTTATTCCTATTCGAATAGTTTCTGCACAACCTTTCTACAAAAGCATGTCTTGCTTGCTATACTGTGTGAGGTGCAAGAAGCATGAAACAGCTTTCAAGAAAAGCGGGAAATAATGCAAATCTTTGAAAGACAGCAGAGAAAACAGGGAAGAAAAGTAAAAATTTTGATTTTCTCAAATAGCTGAAATTAGTAGGGACGCTAGGAAGGACAAAAATAAAACAGCTCCACACTTAAGATACAAGATAAGCTGAATTTTTTCAATTACTTAGCTTGATTATATGACACTATTTACAGTTTATAGGAAGTTTAATAATTTCCAAAAAAAGCAGCAAATGAAAAATAAGCAGACCAGAAGACTTTGCCGTATATTACTATGCTTAATTTGATTATGCACTAAGCATTTTCAAGCAGAATTTTCTTTAAATAAAAGATGCCTGATTACTTAAATTTGGCAGCTTTATTCCAAACAGCACTATAACTAATATTCAAAAATTCTTCCCATAAGGTTGATTATTACTAGGTAAATTATTGCACCTCTGTTCACAAGAGGTATACTTTTTTGAAATGAAGAATTCAAAAAGCGGAAATGGGCAAAAAGATATCTAAAATGAAATAAATTTTTATACAATAATATGACACATGCATTATGACGAATCCTAAGTGGTCGCATCATCTTCCTCTGTTTGCTCGATGACGCAACCGCTCAATTTGATTCGGACTGATTTTGCTTTTGGGTCCTGAAAAAAGGTGAAGAATTTCAATAATATCTTGAACATTATGCTCGTAAAACTCCAGTCTTGGATAATTTCTGCTATCCGGTACTGTACCTGAAGTCTACATTCCTTCCCTAAAAGATGCATTTCTCCCTTATAATGTTCACAATTGGGCAGCTTTTTCTCTATGATATTATTGGCAATGACAGTAAAGAATATTCGAATTCTTTGTCACTGTTTAACCGTTCAAGAATCTGTCAATCTATCAATAATAAAAGATCAAATCAAAATGATCATTTGGGTTCACTGATAATGGACGCAAGCAATAATTTAATGTAGGCAAAAGCACTAATCAGGAATCAGGAAAGCACCACAAATTCTTTTATTTTTTTAGAAATATTGAAAGTATGAGGATATAACTAACCCTGACAGTAATTTGTGTATCCATCAAATTAATTTCCAAATTCAATGGAACACTGGCCTTTTGATTATCATATATGAAAGCAGAAAGATGCATCAGAACAATATCATCAAGTGTTGCCCGAAATCCCTCAATTTGCATCTGAAATATTAGTTTGAAATTGTCATAAGTAACAAGTGCTTCAACAAAACCCATCTTCTAGCATCAATTATACCATACTGATAACAAATATGCATATCTAGAACTTTTCTCTAGTAGAACCTTTTCTCTAAGTCTGTATAACGCAGCTTAATTCACCTGCACATGTTATAAAAATTGCAAAATTTGACCGAATGAGATCTATGCACTACACTCACTTCTCAGCCGCAATAAATCACTGCTTTCAAAAGATATGCAGATAAATAAAAACAATGAAACTGATCAATTTTAAAATTATCTGTATATGCTTTATGAAATTTCCAAATTTAGGCTTTCGTGCTGAAAATAATTGCTTTCAGAAAAAAATGTTTTCAGAAAATTTTGAACAATAACAAAGAATTTTCAGAAATCTAAAAGAGCGCAAGAAGTACAAATTTTCAGGAAAAAAAAACCAACTTTTATTAAAGGAGCTTGTCCATTGGGTAGTGAATGAAATTGAAACTTAACGGTAGTTTTATCAGTATTTGTCGAAATACTCCCAGAAGGATAGCAACTTTCCTGACTATTTATTGAAGCATAAATTTCGTCCAATTCCACATTGAGATACTGCTTAACTGCAATTCTGTAATTTGGAAGCATAGAAATTCAACGAAGCAATGCGGTCATTTACAAAAATAGACGCCAACACGCTTTTGCAGTTATTCCGTAATGCATAATATACCTAAGTGAGATTATTTTCAACAAGCTTAATATAATTAGAACAAGTTCGTTAATGCTAAAATAATGTATTAAAATATGGGGGGGGGTCTTCAAGACAATTTCTCTAAGCTTATTGTAAAAGTTAAAATACCGCACACCTTGACTCGAACAAAAAGAGAAGTCGGTGCCTACTTTGTCTCCTTCACTTACCTCCTTTATTTTTCCACTCCATTTTACCTTATTCATCGATCTGGAAACCCTATTCCACTTTGCCTCTTCTAATCACTGTCTAGCAAATCTCTAAATCTTAAACGAAAAATTTTCGAGAAAAATCCACCAACAAAAACTTTAAGTAACAATCATCTATCGATATTTTTTATTAGTGATGCAGATTAAATACCACCGTAAGGACAGAGTGACCAACGGTAGTTAGGATATTTAAATATTACATTTTATGTCGTCATCACTGCAAATTTCAAACATAATTTGAAATACTTGACCATATATATTATTTAACATCGAATGACAAAAATCTGAATTTTTCGAAACTCACTTCGTAATGTATCCAGCTCCCTGTGAAGCATTATTAAGCGATGACACCACCACACTCATGTCGTTCAGTATTGCAGAAACAACATTCACCTACAAATCAATTTTACAAAATCACATTCAAAAATTCCTACTTGTTTATTTTCTAATTAAATTCAGCGAATAATATGCAGGAAATTAAAGATAGTAAATTTAATTTATAAATATTTATATTTGAACTCTAATAACGGCTCATGGAATTACAACCTGCTTTTTAAATTCTTTACAGATTTTGTTCCGCTTCGGTATTGCTTCATCAGCTAAGACTTCTTCGCCAACAACAATTTCTTAACAGAGAAAATGGTTAATGCTTAACAATCAGAGAAAGTATGTACATTAATTTTCTACAATGATCATAATTTTTTCGCTTTGATAATAGCTTTTTTAACTCCGTATACATACTATCAGGATGGTACCGACACCTTTCATCCGCTAGTTAAAATAACGCATATCTACGATAAAGAAGTACGAAACACAATTCCGTACAACCTTATAAACTTTCCATTTTCTAAACAGACGTTGATAATAACTAGACCAAACGCGTACTTCGAAGACTGATGTGAAAACAGAGAAAGCAATATTTTTAACACTCTCAGCATCTCCAAGACTTGATTTACTTTAGTTTTTTTGGCACTTAATGTTCTGAATATACTAAAAACTTACCATCAATAAAGATGTCATCCTCACCAGTATCTAACACCATTAATTGCTGTTCTTCTTCCGAAATGTTTGTTGTAACCGACATTGTCTCATCTGATGCACTTTGTAATTCTGCAAGGTGAATAAGCTTTTTCTTTAAAGTATCATTTTACTTACAAAAAATTGAACAAATTACCGGAATTATAAACAGTGGCATAAAAATTCGAAATGAACAATTATAGTTTTCATTTTTGTTTTTATTTCAGTCTATGCAAAAGATTAAAAAAATTAGAAAATCGTAATATTATTATTACAATCGGTGTATTTTATTTTATGGATTGCCAGTATAATTTTTCTAATTATCGATTTTATCGTTTTTAAGCACTATTTTCAATGGTTGGAGCTCAACCATTATTTTCCATTGCTGCATATAAAACTAAAAAATGAAAACATTAAACAATTGAAATATAACACAAACCGCCATCCATCTGTTGTGGAAATTCCGGAAAAACATCCTCATTATTATCCTGGAATGTTGTTGCTGTATTTGCATTAGTCTGCTGTCGAGAATAACTGATAGGTGTTAAACACGCTGCATGTAGTTCCTCAATTGTACCTGTAACTATATATTAATAATCCAATAGCCCAACACAGATGAACAAAAATAAAATATGCAAAATTTAGAGGATTATTAAAGCACTACTTGCAACATATATTTTATATTTCAAATCTTACGGAACAACTAATACAACTTAAACTAGTCCAAAACTGGACTGAAAAAAATCATTATTACAGTGCATGAACTGCTATTGCCGAATTTGACAAAGTGAGCTTGGAAGCAAATTGATAAATCATCCGGATGAACCAAATGAAAGGAAATGAATGGTTCAATTTTCAATAAATAATCATTCTTCAGTCGACATTATCAAACCAGCCTTTTTGGAACATTTTTTGTCCATAAGAAATCTAACTTTTTCCTTTCAAACAATTCAGCAGTCCAAAAATACTCCAAATACAGGGATATATAAACTTTAGTGATAACCAGCAGTTGCATTTCTTAATCTTTCACAAGGGCCGAAAGCTAATTTTGCAGTTGTTTAGTTGTAGGAAAAGCTGTACGAATATTCAGATGTTTGATCGATTCATCTGTATCATTGAAAAGTCACCAAAATAAAGCCTTTTATTATACCTAAGTGATAATTAAGTAGGAAATCGTTGATTTTCCTCCAATTTCTCAATGAGTGTATTCAATCTCATAAATAAAAAATAAAAATAATGGTAAATTCAGCGAAGATTGTACTTCTAAAGTGTCCACTAAATGCAATACATTATGATGGTGTTGACATCTTAGAAAATCCATTCTATTCTTTCTTACCGTTAATCAAGTGAAACGAACCAAAATTTTAGCATTCATACATTATGAATTACCTTTTTAACTAGATTAGAAATTACTATAACTGCAAATTATCAATCTGTGGGAGAATGGCCTAAAAGAATCCGATTTTGAAGAATTTATGACATCAATAAAAATTTGTAACATGGCACATCGCATCATAAATAAAATTTAAGAAAAACTTTGGATATTAACCATCTCAGAATCGATTAAATTTTTACTGACTAAATTATTTATTAACAATTGATTTAAATCATAAACAGTTTACACCTATCTTCAGCTTATGCGTAATTAAAAGGAGTAACTTTCCATGTTTTTAGATCATAAGGGCGAAAAGCTTCGCATTCAGTAATTTAATTTCACTTAATCGACTAGATCTCAGTAATAATCAGATAACAACACTGCCCAAGTTGACGTTTCAGAGAATGTTAGAAATAATTCGGATATTTAAGTGACCAAACAGATCTGATGAGGGAAACCTGAATCGGAGGAATGCAGTCATCCGCTACTTTACTCATTCATTATTCGTAAGTTCACTGGCAAATCTACACAAATTTTAAATTAACACCACACTTTAAAAATCTTAGGAAATGAACGAAGAAGTAAATGTTATTTCCATTTCATCTATCGATATTTTAACTAACAGATAAATTTAAACGGAATTTAAGGATATACCTTACTTATAGATGCTCTATCATTAAAACTCACAGTGAAATAAGAGATCAAGATTCTTTCTTTACTTTGTTTTTCTCTCTTATATTAGTGAATTTAATTTCCGGCGGACCACAAGAAAACGAACTCAAACTGATACGATAGTAAAATTAGACTATTTACTCATTACAAGATTGGTTCGCTTTCTATTATAATAACTTGCAAGATTTCTCATTTTTAAAAATAAGCTCTTTCAACCCTTATTTCAGATTTAGCACCGCTCGGCAATGCTTGGCGGAATAGCGCTACTTTCTATTTAGCGTATAATGAAACGAAGGTGAACGATCATTTTTGAGCATTGTTTATTCATTTTAACTGTATCCGATACCCGTTCCATCTCTCCTACGCATTTATTATAATATTTACAACAGGTCTGTACTTCCAAAAAGAATATATTATCAAGAAAGATTTAAAGTTTTTTTAAAAAAAAAAACTTTAGAAAGAATTCAGATAAAATCGCCATTTTGCATTCACATACTCGTATGTAATGTAACAATTTTTAAACGATTATTGTAGCAATCCTCGTGACGCCATTAATTAAAAAAGTTTAAAGAGATTGAGGAAATTAAATTTTTGATTGATATCATTTTCCTATGCTGTCGTCTATGCAATCCAAATTGCAACAAATATTGAATCGATGATTATTATTATGCTTTTTTAAAAATTATTATTGTTGCTTTATTATTGCATAGTTACTCACATTTTTCAGGCAAACAATGAATGAGAATTAATGCATTCGATGGAAAAAAGTCATTGTGCAATACCCATTTCTTCCCCTTTCCTCTCAAAAGTTTGTTAAAACTCTTTTAAAATGAAAATTTTTTCATAACAGCCAGTATTTACAATGGGACTGTGTATAGTATAGTTTAATTGTCCAAATAAAGCTGGTAAATGGAGAAGTTATTTAAATGTGAATACAAACTCTCTTACAGAAATGATTACGAATAACGGTGACGTAGGTTGACAGATTTGTAGAGTGGTTTGCACAATGATTATTGGATTGTAGAAGTATGTGAAGTGCAGACACGATCAAACTGACTGTTTTCTTTTCAAAAACTGTGGTGATCAATTTGATTTCAATTGATGTGATGCCACAGCGATGATATAGAATGTAGAATTGAAATCAGTTACTCGATCTACATCTTCTTGTATTGATTGTTTATCGAAACTACTATTTTTGGTGAGATGGAAATAAACGAAGAAAAGAAGGGCAAAAGTGTGACACAAACCAAAAATTGGTGTCACAAATACGACCTGACCAAATGATGGATACCATTCCGAAAGTTCTCTTCTCCTCGTACACTCACAAAAGAATTGAATACACTCAAACCTTTAATGCCAACAACACAAATTCTTAAAATGTTTCGCATCAGTGAACTATTCATTTTAGCCATTCCTCAGTGTGTTTGTTCGTCTACAACTTGAAATTAGATTAATTTATAAAAAATTATGATCTATCATCGTTCCTATCGATTGTATTTTTGCATAATTCCAGTAAGGTGGCAACAGATAGCTTCCGCACTTGACGGTCCGAAACGTCAAACATCAAACGTCAAAACGACAAGGGCGGGGAAATAATGGCTTTGTGCACGACTATCAGAACAGTTATTGTAGTATCAAATGCATGCGTGAAGATGAATAGTGGGTTATTGACATGGCTAAAGGCAATTTAATACCTTTCAGTCGGTGAGGGCTACTAAGGGTAGGAGCTGACCCAGTGACCTAAATTGTTGGGTACCCCGCATACAGAACCAATAACGGGTATTTACTCTGACAACAGGTACTAAGTAGGTATCGAACCCACTAACTTTCACCTGCTTCTTGCTTTGAGTTTTACTTACCATATTTAAATAGAATGCTATTAGCCAGAGAGACAAAATCTTCCACTTCGAAATTTTTGCAGAAAAAATTTCATTTTTTGATTCTTTTCGCGAAACGATTTCAAATACCTCACACAGGCAATCCTCAATATGCGGTATGCAGCATAAAAATAAATTTCAAAAAATCACTTTCAATCCTCTACTCTATCCAAAAGACGAATATATTTTAATTCTTTTCTGTTCCACATCCTATCAGCTACTGATGACGTTCATGCCTGACAAAATTTTTTGGCAATTTAGAATAAGGTTTCTTTCTTGAAATTTTATGAGTCTTTCTCTTCAACAATTATTCGTTAAATATTGAATGAATGTAATCACACATTTGTTTCCATTTTTGAAATAATAAGACTCCATGAATACTCGGCAGCATCTTTTTTAAGTATTAATCAAGGTAAAACATACGTGACATAAAACATGTGAATACTAGGCTATATGTAATAGACTAAATATATGCAAATGGGCAATATGGGAAAATGTCTCATCTGTGCCACTGGAATGCATCTTCCGTGTCAAAAGAAGTGGGTTACATACCACGCCATGCAATTATTCTTTTCTTTTATTTTAGATAAATTTTGAAGGCCAAATAGCGACATAGAAGTTCCAGTATCAATTTCAAATACAATTTTTCAGTCATTTGAGCATTTGGAAGTATCTGTATCGAAAATTCTGGAATTCTGTGCTGTTCAGGCGCGCTTATATATGTGGATCTTCTAGATTCTTGATCCTATGAAGTGCAATTACGAAATTGTTAACGGCTCAGTTCATGTTACCTAATTTTTCTGTTTCAACTGCTATTCGAAACGGTCCATCGCGTAACTTTATAAACCTATCGAACAACTGTAATAGGATGAACTGCTTATTTATGATCTGTTTTGAGGACGATTTTTCCGGAATTAAACTATGGTAGTGGGGTGACAGCGACCAATAATTTATTTTCTGTACCTTAACACTTACTTTTTTTATTTTGTATTTCAAGTTGATATGGTTATCTCTTCATCACAACATTTTATACTGCTAACCATTTTCGCATATTATGTGGCAGCATTTTGCCCAAATCTTGATTCATGCACCTGTGATGATAAACCTGATGGATATTATATCGAATGTAGAGGTCTTATCGATGTATCCTTGTCTGATATTATACAATCATTAGGTAGACGACAAGTACAAAGGCTTATGGTCACTAATGCTTCATGGCCGGTGAGCTTTTTCTAGGCTTATTTTCCGGTGTAGAGAATTACTTCCTTTAATATCCAATATAAATTCAAAACTCAGTCATATCAGGTTTGAGAGCAACATTCATCTTACTTGACTCCTATGATTCCTTGTTCTCTGGAATTCAATTCTAGGCATCGAACCAAAAAACAGAGCGTAAGATTGGTTGAAAGTTGAAAATTTTTACATTTCTCTAATCTATAATAAATTTTTCCGGACTATTAGGCACTTTCTCTCCCGAAATTGGTATTTTTTTCCTCTCTCTAACCGTAATGAAACTCCGAGTTCAATTCAAGAAAAGGCCTTAAAAAACCAAAAAAATCACATCACCCTTTTTATGCATTTTTATTCAACCATTATAGCGCAAATAAACATGTCAGTCACCTATTTATTTTAAAAATCTTTTAGAATAAAATGATTTAAATTTTAGAAAAGAAAATGCAGTTTGAACTAAATCAAAAGAGTGAACTTAAAATGTACACGATATAAAATTCAAACGTATGAACAAAAATGAATCCCTTCCTTTTTATAATTTTAGAGTTTCCAATTTAGGTACTTGAAGAACTGCCATCAGCCAATATACGGTCTCTCCAGTTAATCTCGTGCGGTATAAGGAAAATTATGAATGCAACTTTCGCCAAATTAGCAGATAATTTGGAACACCTAACAATTACCAAAAATATGCTCACAAATATGACATTGCTTGGTTATTTATCAAAGTTAATTTCGCTCAATCTCAATTATAATCAGGTAGTCTATATTTCAAAAATACACACAACAGTATGATTGGAAATTTTGAAATTAAAAAAAAGTATTTTAGTTAACAGATTTATCAGATAATACATTGAAAGGTGCTGAAAGTCTACGGCATTTACGTCTTGAAGGGAACAAAATTTGCTCACTTTCAAGGTAAGTTCTAATTTTCTTATCGGCCTCATTTTAGAGATTATAATTACGGCGAATTGTAATTCTTTCAAGTTAGCATATATTTTTTGAGCTCATGAAGTGACAAATTTCGATATGTATCGTTTTTTTTTTAACCGACTCTATTTCGGAAATTACGCTCAAAAAATCAGTTTAGGAAAAGGTTTTATATGTACGGTAAAGTCAGCTACGGCATTGTAAAATAAGCTTTTTCATGGGCTAGGTTAATTTCGGTGATTATATAATTAATGATAATATTACTCATTAAAGCTGAGGCAAATGAGATGTAGATGGCCTTGAACTAATTTTATTTAAGAATCTATTGACAACTAACAACAACACGAATAACGAGATGGAAATTGGCAATCAACTATTAATAGCAGAAAATTAGGGGTGTAGAGAGGATTTTTATGATTCCATAATACTTCGTTCCAAATTTCTCTTCTCTATCTCTTTGAACATTTTGTTTTATTATTTTCTGTTCACAAAAACTGACGTTACTGTAAATGGGGTTATGTATAAAAATAAGAAGGGCCTTGATATTTGATGAAGTCGTCACAAACTAAGTTCTAAAACCGAGTTTTAAATCGAGTTTTAAAACAATATTTGAATTTTTCTTTAAAAATGAGCTGAATTTCGATATTTCAGACTAATTTTGCTCTATATCTCAAGGTTGATTACATGCTAATTAACATCCCGATGAATTTAGAAACCCAGTGGATTGAAAAAATGATTGCCTGTTTCTGCTTAGTTTTTTTTCGACCGAATGATGGAAAATAAGAGATAATTACCGCAAATATTTCAGTAATTCATTACTGGATATCAAGAACATACTGGAATTACTGGATTTGAGTGATAACTGCCTTAGCAATATACCGGCGCAAAATCTAAGGAATTGTATCCGCCTCATGTATTTGGATTTATCCCATAACGCCATCAAGGAAATTGCTAATTTCGAACTTATGAATTTACCATTACTCAAGGTAAAATATTAGAAATTAAAATTGATATTGATTTTGAAACGCTTGAAATAGAATGTTCCACGCGTTATTTCGATAATAGGATGTTACCGAAACATAAAAGCATTTGCTCTATTGACTCATTAGCAGTTAATGAGATTCTTTTTCTCGAAAACAGTATCTTTCAGTCTATTTAACACATCAAGTATAAACTAATCTGTAACTAATTTAAGTAAAATTATGGCACAGAAGTATTCCGAAAATTTTTATAGAGAATTTGAGGATTAATGCAAACTGATGATTCCTATAAAATGTACTTTTTTATGACTTAGTGACAAACATTTAAAAATGAATAATACAAATGGGAACTAAGAGGACTAAACAGAAATGAGGTCAACACATACTTACCCATTATAAAATACAGCTGACCGTCCTAATTTGCACAACTGAAATGAAAAATGAGTGGCTTTTGAAATTTTAAAACAAACACTTCGTATTGTCTTACTTGAATAAAACAAAGAAACGAGATGTTTCCACAGAAATTTTCAACACACACTATTCGTGCCTTTTTACTCGCATATATTTCATTTTGACGTCAATTTTGTTTGCATTTTTTACTTTCATTTTTTGTACATATATTATCATTACTTTAAAGATTATAAATCTTATCTTTCCGCTTGTGCAACACAAAGTTTTCAGGAACTACGAATAAATAACAATCAAATAAATTACATAGCACCGATGGCATTCATGAATGTACCACTTCTTGAACATCTATACTTAAAGAATAATTTAATTTCTTCTATTGAAACGGAACGTCTTTTCCAAGTCTTCGAAAATCTTGAAGTTCTGGATCTGTCTCAAAATATGCTTACTAAGGTAAAGTTCTACTGAAACCAGGTATAGCACGTGACTGGAAGATTGATTTTAACAAATGACTTGAATGTTTCAAACTTGATAAATGACTTACGCAATGCCATCATTTATACCACGCTCAATAAAATAATACAAAACTTATAAGAAGCAACTCAATGAGCATTTCAGGTACCATCATTCAAAGAATTATCTAATCTACGACAGATTCATCTCAATCACAACAAAATCTCAAAAATTGAGACACTTGCATTTAGTTCCAATAGAAAGCTTCAGCTTGTCAGCTTACAGGTTCATTAATTACCTTCAAACAGTAGCTTTTTAAAACTTCGTAGATCATCTTTACCACAATGTAATAACACTGCAAACTAATTAAAATTATTTTTACAGAGCAACCAAATTACAGCGATGTCACGGAACAGTTTCGATTCATTGGATGAGCTTGTTGTTCTCAACTTAGCTAATAATGCAATCAAGAAGATTGGTAAGCAATAGCAACTAACCATATCACAAAAATTAAACAGTGATTGTTAAAGTTCTTTTGAAATAAAGTGTCTGAAAGACGTAGCTTTGTTTTCTATTTGCTCTGAATATTTGAACTCGTTTTTCAGAACGCGTGATGCTCGATGGAATGCGAAATTTGCAACAACTTAATTTACGAAATAATTCACTTAGTGTGTTGGAAAATTTAACGTTTACATCAGTTTCACAAATAACAATTCTTGATCTGGCACACAATGGTATCCATACAATTGAGAAGAATGTATTCACCCCGCTTAAGGATATGTTCTGGCTCGACCTATCATCTAATCTCATCAAAACATTGCAAAAGGATATCTTCAAAGAAAAGATAGCTAACATTTTGCTAAATGGTAGATTTAAAATAAAATAAAAATCTAGCTTTTCAAACTCAAATCGAACTTTGTGATTCCATTAAAATTGGAATTTTTTCATAGCAGAAAGTATTAAAAAAAAATTTTTTTAATATATGTATAATATATGTATATATATTTTGAATAAACAGCAGTAATTTCAAGATAATCCACTTTACTGCGATGAAAAATTGGACTGGCTGGTGAGTTATTTGGTGGGAAATCAGGTGCGAACCTTCTTACCCCATCAGACCGAGGTACTGTGCGCTGGACCGGGAAAATATACCGGTGTTCGACTAAAAGAACTGATGATTGTGAAAGCCAATGAAACAATGAGCAAAGCAAGGCATACGTTTTATGAAAACGATCTAAGTGATGTAGGTAAGCACGGTTCAAAATAAATATTCCACCATTCAGTGTTAAATGTATTAATAAACTCCTTCTGATAATGAAGTTTAATAAAATGTAGGTCGTGATGTGTTAAATGACATTCTACCTTTTGAAATTTATGATTTGCTCCCTAATTTAGCATCTACACAGCCGACAAGTCTACTCGATATGGCATCAATTGGTGTTTTCACCGACACTATCTCCTCAATTCAAAATATCCCCGGTATCAATTACTTACCTAATGTAAAAGGAGAGCGCACTCTTGATGCCCAAAAATTTAACAATGCTATTGAACAGGTAATTTCTGTTTTATATGGAATTTAAACATTATTGAAAAGATCCAACAGCACATTGGATTTGTTTACGTCTGAGTTGTTGCATATCGTAATAAAAACTTATTTCCAGCTTTCTTCACCACTGCATCGTGCTGCAACTGGGAAACAATCAGGACCAGCGGATATTGAACAATATATACAGACTATTCCGAATTTAGTTGTTAACGTACCCGGCGTAGGTGACGTCGACATAAGCAAGGTAAAAAAAAATTTAAAAGAAAAAAAAATCCAAAAACAATTAACAAGCACTCTTACGTTGCAATTTGTTCTGATGCGTGAAAATGCAATTAAATGCAATTTCCATTTTCAAACTCGCATTTTACTATAGTATCTTACGCAAATATGGTATATTAAGCAATACCCAAGATTTATTTGTGATAGATAAGGATAACGAAGCAGCTTACTACAGATATATCAAATAATAACAGGTGGTACATTTGAAAAAATCCTCAAGATAAGAATGTGAAATTTCCAGGTTCCGCCAGGTATAGTAGCATATGTGTTGCGAGGTGGACAAATTCCGGGCTTACCTCCAGAAACTCTGGACAAGATTAAGAAGGAGTATCTCAAACGCACATCAGAGACCGCCAAACGCGGAAAACTTGTGACCGCTGAATCCCATTATTTACCATCACCGGAAACAATACCACAGGCACATGCAACTCAAATAATGCAAGAAGTTGATTTGTCATATCCTGACCGACAACAAACACAAAACATACAGGTTAGTCTATAAAATCCGACAAATATTGTTAAGAATCCCTTCCTCATGTTTTTTGGATTGTTATCAACACAACTTGTATTACCGACAAGTTTTAAGCTAATCATCAATAGTCGGAAAGTAAACCCACTTTTTGTTATTTTTCAAACAAATTGCTGAATTTTGTTGCAATTTTTTCCCAAAAATTTTACGATTACTATATATCACAGATGGGGATAAGTAGTGTTCCGGATCAGTTGGAAAACTTATCATTGGAAAAATCGAAAGGTTTATCATCAACAGTAATAGAAGTGATGAGGATGTTGCCAGCCGGTTATAATATCAGCAAGATACCAAAACGGGTGATTGATGCTCTATTCCGCGGCGAGATACCCGATTTTACGCTACTTCCCAGTGAACTTCAACAGCACCTTTTCAGAGATGGACATAGACTGATTGCTGCGTTGTCCACCGATGTAAGTTTTCATGTTAACTATTTAAGCGATTTAAATTCTTTATGGGATCAATTTGAACCCCACATCAATGATACAAATTGTTTTAAAAAATTTGATAAATCCCATTAACGTCAGTCCGACTTGATTGACAATTCCTGAATCCACTTAAAAAATAACATTTGTACCAACCATATCTTCTTACACTGTATTATTCGTAATTTTATTTTCAAGGCTAATAAGACAGTGGAAGAAATACTACACAATTTGCCGACATTCAGACGTCCAATAAAGCCTACTTTCATTCCATACGACATCAATGAAGTAACGAACGATCTTACCCAAACTAAACAACGAGCTGAGAAATTGGTTCGGGTCCAGTATTACACTGCTTTATTACTTGGTTAGTTCCAATTATTTGAAAATTGATCTATATAAAAAAACAATCCAAAATTTATTAGTTGCGTGGAAGTAAAAGTAATTGACAGCATGAAGCTTAAAGATGGATCAATGTTATATATATAGTTGAAATCCAAAAAAAGATGAATAAATAAATAAAACGAAAAAATAAGGAACTAATTAGACAAACAAAAAAATTTTTTGAATCAAATCCAGGTTTTGTTGGAGCAGCTTCTGTAGCAGTCTTGGGTTTAATATGTGTATATATGAAACGAAAACGCCTAGGAGACACAGAAACAAACATCGATGAAGATTCACTAGTGAATCCGAGTCAAATGCCACAACCACAACAATCAACAAGTGGATCAAAGATAGATACTCCTCTTACAAAACATCATCAGCATCTTTCAGGAAGCTCTCGCACGTTTAAAATTTAGAAATAAAATTATTAAAATTAATTCTAACATTAATTTTGCATTCAGAGCATAATATGTGTGATAGCAAGAATTATCACCAGTTCCTGTTCCTATTTTTGAATACCTTTCCGGTGAAAAAAAAAAACACGATACTGTAGCAATTTATTAGGATTTTAATGAAAAAAACGAAACGTGTATGTCTATTGTTATGTGCTCGACTTTGTTTCAAAATATGCTGTAAATGTTGACTTAATGCCCTTTTAAACTATACTCTAGTCTGTACTTTTGTCTTTGCAAACCTTGTTGTTTTGTTTGTAACTGTACAGTATTTTCATATTTTTTCTTGAGTTTGAATTGTTTCAAAATTCCAAATACCCATTTAAAGTATGGATTATTCGTCAACCAAGTCCCTGACGTAGTCACCCTTCGGAACCATAACTGGTTTTTTCGGAGGTCATTGAAAAACAAAGTTTGAAATCCTGATAAAACTGATAACCTTATTCTTTTTGATCCCAGTATTTTTTAATGAGGTACAAAAGACTGAAAAGGAGTTCCTAGATTAATGCCGCTATCAATTTTTCAAATTCACTTTTGTAAAGCTCTCAGCGTTATATTGAATTGTTCACTAATTGTTTTCTTCCAGCTTTCAGAATTGTTAATTCAGTTGGCTGGAAAATTGAAAAACTGTCACGACGTGACACTAAGCACAGAAACTTCGATATGGACATAAGCATCAATAAGTGTTTACCTTACCTGTCAATTTGTACGGTATTTACGCAACTCCTATCCATACGGTTCTGAAGCTAATATAAAAAAGTACTGGTACGGTTTGAGATAATAATGAAGACAATGCAATAACAGTAGCGAAATTCGAAGTTTTCCATGTGCTAAATCTAAAAATTCTGGAAATTCTATGACTGACCATATCAAACATTTTCAATGTGCAGTGAACAAAAAGGTAATAGAAAGAATGTATTTTTAATTGTGAACTGTAATTCTCTTTCCTTTCTTCTATGCTAATAGTTGTTGAACCACTGGAGATACCATCTGAACTGGAATATTTGTGAAGTGTGGAAAATGATCTGACAAGTTCAGCAACTCCACGAGCTAATAATTTTGAATGATCTCCAGTAAGTATGCCAAGTTTAGTAGGCACCTGATGTGCAAGCCATAAAGACCCAAAAATTAAGCATAATCGACTTTAAAATAATCATTCATTACAGTGTAACTGTGAACTGTAATTCTCTTTCCTTTCTTCTGAGTTAATGGTTGTTGAATCACCACAGACATAAACTGAACTCGCGACCTTGAAAAAAGACCGCTCCATAAAAGTAATCTTCCATTTTTTTGGCATTTTTGAGAATGTAATGCTGTCAATTAACTTTTTTCCCCACAATACCAATCAAGGATAACTACACAAACGATTGTAGCTGTTGCACATTATTGGATTTAAAATCTGTAAGGTGAAATACAAATAAATAATGCATGAGTTCAAGATCTCACCTGAAACAGCTACCGTGCTCTCTTATTCAAGCAGTCCTCGTCTTGAACTCTTTTCTTGTTTGATTTCTTCGTGTTATATTAAAAATAATTCTTTGCTTTAAAAAAGTAAACATTTTTTTAGCAATTAGTAACGGATATGCATGTTCAAAATTCAAGCTTTGTATAACTTATAAAAATTCTCGCTTGTTTTCGGTCTTCAATTTCAATGCAAACGAATTTTTTTCTTCAGTTAGAACTTTCTAAACTTGGTACTGTTTATAATCCCAATTCCAAAACGATGAGATTTTTATTGACATAAAAACTGTACCGCAATTTTTTGCAACCTGATTTGTCAATCATGCATTATTGAGAGAATTATCGTGAGAGGGCAAGCCACGATAATCAGCCAACATGTGGTGGACTTATAGCAAGTTATAGAGGTAAACCCTTTCAAGAGTGACCTTCTCTACAAGAATGACCTCCTCTACAAGAACCTTCTCCATCAATGCGACACACCTCGCTTCAGTAGATCTTATCGATATTAAAAACTAGAGTGTTGAATTGAGTGTTGCAAACCCTTGTCTTTTTAAAATGACTAATGCATCTCGAACACAGAGATCAATTTCAAAAGAGATGGAAAGAACCGACAAAATGCTACAGGGAAATTGAACTACTTGACGACCTAAAAACAGAATTTAGGAGTGCTTTTGGTTTGGTTAAAGGGAAAATGGGAGGTAACGGTACGTCAGAGGAAAGAGCGAATGGAAGGGAGAGGAAAAGTATGGTAGGGAAGACAGGCAAATAGCTAGTAAGGTACATTCATCGTCGACCTTGCTTGCGCATGCGTTGGTTGATGGAGATGGAGAAGGTCCCCCCGTTCCGTTTCTATCTAACCATTTAACATATTGAGCTGCTCTCCGGTGTCTACAGGTGCCGACTGGGCATGAGAATTTGACGGCAACCCCTCCCCTCCCGACCACCAACCATTATCTGTATCTCACAATTTTCGAGCCACTCAACCTGTATCCGCTCCGATCATCATCATAGATATATCACACAAATAACACAACCATTATTTATCCGGTTACTTCTGCTACTACCACTGTAACTGCACTGTGCATTTCTGTCAACACCAATAGCACATGTACCATTACCGGTAAAACAGATGTCACTTTACACGGATGCTTATTTTACTTCTCGATATTTTATTTCGGACGAACAACTTATGCCACGATCTACCAAATTCATCTCAGTGCCGGAATCATCATGCAATAACCTTACAGTTTCGCATCCTCGCATAGAAGCACTGACGCTTGTAACGTGCGCTAACACCTTTTGTGACGATTATGAAGGAAGCGGCACTAGTAATCGCAAAAGAGATGATGAAGGTGAAAGAATTAACAATAATAGTAGATATGCAGCAATCGGGAGATCCTACAATAGCGATGACGTTCATAATGGTGGTGGTGAAGACAGCAATAATAAAGACTACGATAAAGGTGACAATGATGACAAAAATGTCGATTCCACGCACAAATGGCGCAGAATCAGAATCTGTGATGAACGATCACGACAACAACGAAAGTTGGAGGGACATAGGGAAAAACAGTGGTCGAAAAAACGAGATACAATCAACCAGTTTATTGGAAGTTTTGTCCTATTTGTCAGCACTATGCGAATCTCGCTGGCTTGTCCTGAAATTATTACATCAATCTGTGGTTGTGAAGATTCACAGAACGGTATAATCCTTAAATGCTCACAAAGTAATGGATCCCAGGTTGTCTACATGTTAAGAGCTAATCAGATCAATTTGGGTCTGATCCAACAGTTAGAAATGAAACATTCTGGACTGAAACACATTCCTGCTGGATTTTTTTCTGCATTATTTATCAAGAAACTGGATTTGTCATATAACAGTATTACAGATATCGACGAAAATAGCTTCCTGGGGATGAACAATGTTTTACAGGAACTTATATTACATCATAACAATTTAACACAGTTACCATCTAAAGCACTAACACCATTATCAGCACTCTTACGGCTCGATTTGTCCAATAATTCAATTGGCGATATTGAAGCGGAGCATGCCTTTCCAAAATTATCGAAGGTTCTATCTTTGCTTATTATACTCATTTATGCACTATATTACTATTATAAATTCTAAAATGGAAGTACTATGCTTATACCTGAACGACACAATCCTGACGTAACCTTACTAGACAAATGTATCTTAACATGCATAATTTTTTCTCTCATTTTGTCTTAAATTCTTAGGAATTAAAGTTGAAAGTAATACTTTTCTAATGATTACTCAATTGAATAGTCACACGAAAAAACGACCTTTTCAATACATGTTTGATTATCGGATGGAACTCCCATTGTGTGTTACCATTTTTACGACTGCGGAACTATTATGATCACAATTGTTTGAGTTTTACTGGCTCTTTAATCGTTCACAGTAATAATATGGTAATCAAGGTTGAAGATTATAAGAAATCGATGGAGTGAATTAGCGATCTGCCCCCACAAAAATCTTATGAAAGTTTTTTTTTTTAAGGAACTATTAAGTTCAGGTTAAATTTTTGTGTTCCCTCCTTCAGTACTCGAAAATTGTATCAAAAATAGTCAAACAAATGAGTAAAAATAATTTGCAGTTATATGATGTTAGCTTAGCGAATAATCGCATATGCCAGATACATACGAATGCATTTGACAATATAAAAAACAGTGTGCAAACGATTAATCTTGGCAGGAATTGTTTGAAGGAAGTGCCAGCACAAGGTAAACTCGTATTTTATTTACTTTTTGGTCAAAACTAGATTAGATTTTGCACCTGTTTATGTACCATAATCAAAATCAAACTTATTAAAACTGTTGGTGCTTTAAACTTTTTTGTTCACTTGTTTATTAAATATTTATTTGTTTTTATTATTTATTTATTTGTTTTTATTTTTTTATTCCATCAAAATTGCTTGAATATGTGTCAGTGAGTAGGATTTAGTTATTTAGTAAATTTAGCAATGAAAACTTAGCTCAAATTTTCATACAAAATTTGGACAATCCTCTCAAAGCATTGACGTTTTCTCATAATCTTGAACTGAATGATGATTACTGTTTATCGACTTAATTATTTATAGCAATTCGAGGATTCAAACAGTTGATGGCATTGCATTTACACAATAACAACATCAATTCGCTGGGAGCGCTGTCATTCTTGAACTTACCACTAATTAATTTGCTGAATTTGGCATCAAATCAGATCTCAACTATTCATAAACAAACATTCCTCAATGTACCTAACCTGCGATACATGTACCTGACCCGAAATCGAATAACTGATGTTAGTAAATCCGTCAGTTCTTTTACTTTCTCGTTTTTTATCTTCAGCCCTCTTGGCTTTTCAAATAAAGCAATTACAAAAAAGCTATTTTCCTGTCTTCCTTTTCCTCTCCTTCCTCTCTTCAACATTGTTTAGAATATATTTTCAACCATTTTAAACATTCATGAAAGATTTTTAAATATTTCCTCAACAATAACTACCTTTTATACTATTCTAGATCAGAATAACATCAAATGGAATAAATTCACTGTTATATTTTGAAAACAAAAAAAATCTCTCCGCTGAAGTTAGCAATGACAATATTAATAGAGCATAAATGACTGATTTAAATCTGGTTTCAGATCATACCATATCAGTTCAGTTCATTCGAACAACTTGAAATGCTTGATCTAACTGGAAACTACCTGACTGAACTACGGGAAAATTCGTTTTCAAATTTGAAAAATTTGCGGCAACTATACCTAGGTGAAAACCGCATCACCAGCATAAAACCAGGTAGTTTTGCAAACAATTCAGTGGTAATTTTGATTCTGAATTCAAACCGCCTCGTGGAACTTCAAGAAGGAATGTTTGACGGATTGACTAAATTGCAGCAATTAGCCCTCAAGGATAACCAGGTTTGTTTCCTGCAGCATTAAAAGAAAAATTATATCAGTTATTTTTCATGAAAAAATTATGACAACTATTCTTATCAACAGTTGAACCATTAGTTCCTTTCCAATCCCACATTATTGCAGTTTCAACTGCAGTACCTCACTATAAAGTATATCTGACTGTCAAACTTATTTGATTTTAAACAGTTGAGGAAAAAAAGGAAGACAGGACTATATTTTGACATATGTATGTATACGTTAAAAAAAATATATATATATATATAATTTTAAAGGAAAATGTCCGATTTAATCCATGTCAGGAGCGTTTCTGAATTTCTGTCCTCAAAAAATGAAAGAGATTCCTGGACTTTTAATTTCAAAATCTAAGAAACTAAAAACAAATGAAATTCTTTACTAATCACCAAACAGACATTAAATCCTTGTGTTGGAAAATTATCCACCATTTCAAATATACCTAGAGCTTATATTTTCTCAGTTTTCAAAATTCTGTTATTATCCAAAAAAACCTATACATTAATACGATCTCTAAAGGAAAAAAGAAGTTTCAAAATTTGTGAAATAAATATCAGAAGTCCAGAAATTATAAGTTTTTCTAAGCACTTGCTCTCAACGTTTCAGAAACATATATCGTTCTGAATAAACTCATATAATCATATTAACAAACAACAGACAGTCCAGTAAATAAATATGTTTCAGATCCGGTCCATCGATCAGAATAGTTTTTATTCCAATCCAGGTTTAGCAATGCTTGACTTGAGTAATAATGAACTGATTGATGTACCACCTTCAACATTTCTGGCTCAAGTTAACCTATTCCTTATCGATCTAAGCAATAACAAACTGGTTCGTACACCCTACGGAGCATTCAGTAGACGCGTAAAAACAGTACTTCTACAGGGTTAGTACTTACAATTGCTGAATTTAGTAATCAAATGTAACACATTTTTAATTAAGTGAAGAACAACTGGTAAGCATTATCTGCAACATAGTACACAGGCTTTTGACTCAAAACAAAATCAGCCTAACAAAATTTAATATAGAAAATCCTTTGGTCTGTTCGGAACGGGTGCACATGCTACAACAAGGTGTAGGAATCTACATAGCAAGCAGTGAAGACGTTATTTGTGGACCACATAAAAATCCTGGTCGAAATAGCACCGGAAATACTACTGATGCTACAAATATGCCGTCAACTTCTACCTATTTTATTGTTGATGATGGAGAAGAGAACAATTTTAAACAGGGGGAGAAATTCTTGCCTCCTAAAATTCCACCAGTTATTCGTCCGCTCTCCAGTATCGATAATGAAGTTCGTTTTATTTCATTTCAATGTTTTCAAAATTCCTGAAAATCACTGAAACTTTTAAATGAAGCTTTGAGTACACACAAAACAAAAAACTCAAGTATATGTGGGATGATGTTCCCTAAATTTATTTCTAAAAATCAAATATACCTCATAATTTAAGGTAAACAAACTAGAAACTAATGTTGGCGAGCAAGAAAAAATCGGTACAAATAAAATGATTCCAGTAAGACCTATTAATCTACCCCGGCAATCATCAGAGATATTCAGCACTCATGCTATTGAAAGTCAAGAAAGCACAATTCCTGAATTTCGGGATTCTGGCACGAAAATATTTGAAGACAAGGTGTTGGAGGATGTGGAAATGCGTAACAGAAACGGAAGTCAGAATCATCAACATCAGTTTGATAACACTAACATAATACATCCATTTCCGGTACCATTCTTAAAACGCCCCTCAAAACTTTCAAAAGCATATGTAGCTGCACCCGGAACTACAACAGCCGCAGATCCAATATTTGCAAATAACAGAACTTCCAGTGAACAAACACTGCCACCCAGTATCGTTATCGCCAATAATGTAGAGGAGTCTGACCATACGACTTCAGCACAGAAGACTGATAAAGATCATCACATCGATAAAAATTTTGTGGAAAATACAAAGGAAGCACAAGAAAATGGAAACCAGATTTTTTTTGATTTGGATAATACAGAAAGGTGAGCCATTTCACAGTGCAACCACTGAAGTTATATAGTAATTGAACAACTCAAAGCGTCCAAAATATAATGAGAGCATAAAGTTGATGAGGAAGATTTCGAAATTTAATTTTTCTTTATCCTAGTGATTTTAGAATTCTCTAAAAAGTAAAAATCTAGGAAATCTCAAACATAATACATTTCGTTGTTTGGATAAACACAATTTAGAATTAGAGTCAGATTTGTGAAATCGATATAATGCCCAAATTGATTGGTGGTTTTTGGTTTAGCAAATGGTGCATCTTTTTCCTTTTATCAGGCTCGAACGTGTAACAGCTCCATCGGTTATTATCTTGATTTGTTTAAGTACCGTTGCCATTGTTATGGCTGCCGTGCTTATCGGTTTGTGTGTTGTTAAACATCGCCGTTTGCAAACTTGCCATGGCTCGATGACAACCGACAGCGCCGCACGTACTAATGCTTATGTTGCTGCTCAGCTCGATATGATTTATGGAACAGTAAGACGGAATCGGTGAGATTCTAGCATTTCTTCAATAAATCACACTGAAATTTTCTGCATGAAGAGTGTTCTTTTCAGCCAGACACAACCGACAATTAAAAATCTCGTAATTGTCGCAAATTTCAGAAATGCACCGATGCTAAATCGATTTGATGGTGGACAACCATGGATTTATACGCCTGCTTCGTACGGAACTACCGGTTACTACAAATAGAAGCTTGGGAATCAATATCGAGAAAACTACGTATTTAGATCATAAGTACTAAGGTTCGACGCTCAAGTTTCCTTTTTCTTGTCAACAACATTCCATGTAACCTTTTTGTATCTACATTATTGTCCGGATATCTGAACATCGTTTTCTCACTCCTTAATTTAAAAACTTTATTTTGATAAGTCGTGTGATCGAATTCATTTTTTAATTTTCCGATTCGGGATTCTTGTTCAGTTGCTTTAAATATTACAGTCGTGATTCAATTCTAAAAAACACTTCACCTAATCTATTTATGCATTATTCCTAATTTGCTGTTGGTATTCAAAACATATAAATAAAAGAAATCTAACTGATGGGACAAATATAAGATTTTTATTCTGTTTTGTAGATTCTCATTCGAAAAAATTTTTAATATTTTAAATCCCCATTGAGATCAGCAAAAGCACGAAAAACATTTTTTTAACGCTGTTTTGAACAGAACGGAAAATCATTCGTTACCTAAGGATTAAGAATGATGTAAACAAGACGAAATGATTTGATGGCAGAGATAGAAGAAATACAGGGATCTGAATTTTCGCTCCTCAATGTTTCCAAAAATTAGCAAAATTTAAAGGAAAAAAATTGAAACGGAAAATTTTAACAAGGAAAATTCGTCCCTGGTTGGCCATCCTCTGTTTCAGTCTTTAGTTCTGCGATGTCCAAGAAAAGTATCTGAATTGATGACCAGAAATATTGGGAAAAGTTTGCAGTGAAAATAAATTTACTAATCAGAAAATGGCTCATCAAACCAAAGCGATGGTGAGATAAACGTGGATGTGATGCGAGTCGGATCGTCCGGAGAAATCAGTCATTATTACAGTGTGATAGTATTCCGCCAACGGAATTCGAGCGCTTTTCTCGATATAGAGTAGATCAGGGAGTGGCAATGTCAAATCTTGTCATTTTGAGCAAATGAATGACAAGTAACTTGCAAATTATAGCTTTTGAAGATATGCTGAAGTAATTTACACTTAAGAATAATCTTAAACAGATAATTTCATCTGTGAAATTAAAGGATGTGGGGAATCTATTCTTGAAAATTACTTTAATTGATTGAGTTTTGCCTTAGCTTCATTCTACTTTCAACATTTACACCGTTTTAAAAACTGGGTTACCAACCAAGCCAATAAAATTTGACCTGATATGATCGGATCACACATGAGGTGAATCAGTGGGACATAAGTGATACAACCAGAAACTATTAGTCTTTGTATCTTTTCGAGGTACCTACGGTTATCTATTTCGGAGAATATGTTTCTTTCTTCATAATGCTGCACCACAGATCGGTAATAAATTCATGATTTTCTATTAAATGTTTCAAGTCCAATGAATCAATAAATCATTTTCTGAGATGGTGATAAAGATGTATACAATCAGATATTAACAGAAATAACACAAGATGTATTTAAGGTACTCAGCCAAAATAACATGAGTCATGTGAGACTCTTACGAAAAGTTCATTCATTGTAATATAACGAAAACTGTGTCATTCATCACTGATTACCAAGATGCACATACAATTTAAAAGTTTGTTTTCCAGTAGCACTACGACTGTGTATATACAGAAGTACTATTGTATAAAATTTCGTGTATCACAAAATAGCACGGACAAATGGTGGCGAGAAAAGCAACAGCCACAGACTGGCCTTGACCTGACAACATTAAGGCGATGGCTGATGATGCTGAATTGTTTGGATGCATAGCACAAAAGGTATTGAAATATGTGAAGCGAAAAGGGCGGCGACCTTCCTGGTACCTGTTACCTCTGTAAACTCCCGCCCCACATTGTCCACTCAAATCACCCTTCATCCTCAGTCACCTCGCCACTTACTATCAGATGTAAATCGTTCTCATCTCAAGCAGAATCTACCTATTTACTCACGTACATCTTGTTTCAGAAAAAACGTGAATGAAAATAAATTTTTCATCGGGAACTGTTGGTTAAGTACCGTCTCCACAGCAGCTCTTTCATAAGGATTCCCCAAGTCCTATATCATCATCTATCAAGTACTCGACCGCTAAACTTATTTTAAAATCCTGATTTCAATTCTGAAAAATAATGCAATACCGAGTGATTCTACTTTTCTGTGTATTTGTCAATTATGCAGTAGCATTTTGTCCGACATTTCTGAAGAATCAAACAACTTGTTCATGTTTTGCCTACATTGATGGTGTCGTGATCCGATGTAGTGGCCAAAATGGACCAGCTGTAGTGGAACAGCTCAAAAAGACACCAATTGAAATACGAGAACTAGCACTTGAAAATGCTAACATTGTCGAGGTTAGATTTTGAAAAATTACTCGTTTCGAAATGAAAGAAAATGAAACTCTAAGGTGATAAATTTGATCGAATAGTTGAAGTAATTTAAGATTTTGCTCTCTCAATCCCAAATTCCAGACTTCACGTCAACATTTTTTTACTAAAGTCTGAATTGTGCAACACAGATCGGACGAAATGCGTTCAGAAATTTGCGGATTAAGAAGTTGATTCTCGACAATAATCGTATCCGTGCTCTTCACCCACAAGCATTCCGCGGTCTGGAATCTGTTATGCTTGAGCTTTCAATTTCCAAAAATAAGCTAACTAGTATTCCAACCGATTCGCTTATCGGAATGCGTGCTCTACGCGTACTTAGCTTACGCTGTAACAGTATTGGAGATATTAAGGAACCTGTTTTCCAGAATATGTCCAGCATGATCGATTTAAATCTTGAATGTAATCAGGTAAATTTTATGGCTTTCCATATTTCTTAAACAAATCTTGCAAAGCTGATAACATTTAAAACAGAATCTCAATATCCTCCACTTCTAAACTAAACAAATAAACTATTAAATCAGTGAATAAAGTAATACTAATAAATAAATTCACTCAGATCTGCAACATCGAAGGACCGGTGTTTAATGATGTGAAGGACACTTTGCAAAACCTCATCCTAGATAACAACTGCTTGTCAGCCGTACCTTCTGAAGCTCTTCGAGGTCTGGATAATCTTATTGGTCTACACATGAAATATAATGAGGTAAGCAAACTAAAAAACAATGGTCAAAAAACTCAAAATGTGACTTCAGGTCGTAATGTACGACGAAACAAAGACTACTAAATAGATCATTGCGAAGTGCTTCTTTTGTAATTAAAATTTTAAGTTCAGATTAAACAACTGGAGATCATGCAGTTAACCAATCTAAGCAGTCTAACGATACTCTCACTCACCGGAAATAAAATTTCTACGATTGAAAGTGATTTCATGCCACAGGCCGAGAATCTTCGCTATCTTTATCTCAGTAATAATAATTTAGAAACCATCGAGGCAGGAGTGCTGCATCAATTCAAACAAGTCCAGGCAAAAATTTTATTAATTTTTGCAAAACTGAAATAAAATTATTCCGGTTCCAAAGCTACCAAAAAGAATCTGATACTTGTTAAGACTACAATACATTCTTTGTTATGCGAGGAAATTATGAAAACATTTCTGATAAAGAAGAAAAAAACCGTTGCTAAAGCCAAACTTTTACTGGTGTTCATTAATTGGTCTCTCAGGTCATCGATATGAGCTACAATTATTTTACTAAGATAACCGACGACATGTTCTCTGGCCTGGAACATCTACAACATCTTAACCTTGAAGGGAATCAAATAAAGGTTACTACTGAAATCACATTTTCTGTGTAATGCTTAATTAAAGGAAAAAATTATGCTAGGATACAGAAATTTGGAGTTGGTGAACCATAAAAATTCCGTTATCTCAGTTTCGCTATATCAAGATGGACAGAATTTTTCAGGATATAGCATCCGGAGCATTTGCAACAACGCCACTACTTCTATTATGGTTACGAAACAACTGTTTGGGATCCATATCACCAAACCTATTTCAAGGTACACCTTTTCTACGGCAGGTGTCCCTCGCCAACAACAACATCAGGACAATAGAGGTAATATAATACAATTATCTATAGAGTTATGACGCTACGCTGCCGAGAATTTTTTATAAAATTCAAACCAAATATTAATTCGTACATTTTCAAAACCCGTTAAAATAGAATCAAATTATGTTTCAGCCCTTAAGCTTTGCACACCTAGCTAATTTGCATACCCTAGACTTGTCGCATAATAAAATATACACCATCGAACCAAGTGCCATTATTGGTTCCGATTATCTGATGGTTCGGTTGCAAGGTTTGTTTCATCAATAATCTTGAAGAATTGTGCTAATTATGATTCAATAAATAGTTTAAAAACTTTCGTTTCAAAAATACTACATCTGTCCAAAAGAAGTTATAAAGATCAAAAGGTTATGGATTGAAATGACAAAGTTACTCAAATAATATCCCAATTCTTATTAATTTTATCCAGAAAATCCAATGGTTTGCCTACAAGATGGTTTCCACGTAATGAATGGCAAAGAGGCAATAAACCTTACAACGGAGCCCAATTTAATCTGCCAAACAAATTACACGAATAATTTGGAAGATTTATGCCCACAAAACAGCGATGTGCCACAACCGCCATTGTGCTGCATGAAATCTATGCCAAGTATTTTTTTAAAAAACTATAATCTGGGCAGGCTGAGTTATTAAACAGTTCGTTTTATAATCTCGGTGTTTACTGAGCAAACATGAAAATTTCCCTATGAAAAAATTTCTAAAACATCTAGAAATTTCTCGATTCAATTCCAGCTGACAAAATTTCAACATTACGTTTGCAAACAGAAACAACAACATCAACAACTACATCAACGCATGAATCTCTAGATATTCACCAACATAGTGTTCAGAGCAAAAAATTTAACGCCGAGAGGTTTATGCGTCTTTCACAACGACCTCCCGGATATCGAACATCACCCTTTCTACGATATCGTTTACCAGCACAAACGAAAGCCGCAGGAACTACTATGCTTGGTAAGAGCCCCAAGAGCGAAGGAACTCAAGTGAGCATTATAACAAATAAATCTTAGATTAATAATTATGTGAGTACGTAAGTTATTTGGAGAAAAGTACCAAGAATTTGGAAAAAGTTGAGTAAAAATGAATTTTAAAGCAAATACAGAACAACAAAAACTGTTCAATTTTCCGATTAGAAGTTACAAATATTTTTACAAGGCTGAACGACCTTCGAGATTTGACAAACATTTGGAGAAAATTCGGGCCCAGTTACCACCTTATATACACATCGAACCGAAAGATAAGGAGGAATTCGTGGAATTTATGTCAGACAGTCATGTGGATTCATTGCAAACGCAGGATCACAAACAGCAGTAATTTCCAGATTTTCTATGCTACAATCATGAAACCTCAAAAAACGGAGAGAATCAGAAAGGTGCTAATAAATTTGTTATCATGTAGCAAACCCATAAATTTATTCATTTTTGTACTTCAAGTTGCGTGCATATTATACTTCATAAAATAATAAATTAATGTAATATTGGAACCGTTGCATCATCACACGCCTTGTGTAATGAAGAGTTGAAACATCAAATGAGCTTACAAAAACTGTGCTGAAATTTGAATGAAGCATGCAAGAAAACCATATTTAAAAAAACTGATAAACAAACTCTATAAAAAGTCAGACATACAAAAATTCTGTAAAAAAAAAGAAAAAACTAGCTTTCTGAAGATATCGCTGGCGATTGCGGCACCACTGTTTCTTGAAGATCATACGGAGTTGGAATTGGTTGATTAGGTAGTATAATATTAAGTTCAATCTGAAATTGGTTGAATTCACTTAAAAAATTGAAATATTTGGCATTATCTTTTAGAAAATGTTGATGTAAATTGAAAAACTGAAACTCCATTACTAAGACTCCTTTTCAGTATCGTTAATAAGAATGGATATACCTCCTCCAAGAAGCAAACCATTTCAATTGTTGTACTATGTCCATTGTTACGGTGAGTAGAGAAAAATTTCCGATCACTAACAAGTTGATCCATGAAATTCGATATGCGAGAAATCAGATGCATGATTTGAAGAAACTGAAAATGATCAACCGCAATCCGAACTTTCCACATCGGTTGCAGTGCCACGCTTACCTGAAAAGCAAAGTTACCAGAACCATCCCTCTCCTTCCTCGACATGTCTTTTTTTTAATTTTGAACCTCCAACATAAAAATTGGAAAAAATTCAAAATATTTAAGATCGGAAAATTTTCAAAATCATGCACTCACATTAAAAAAAGCACTAAAAATGAATTTCGAATACCTAACCTTCATTGGCCTTACATCAAAAAGCGCATGAAAAGTGACATCAGCAAGCAAGGGCGTACTCCATTTTCCTTCTCCGAAATCTGTATTTATCTGAACCGGTGATGTATTTATCCAAATCCGCTCAGCTAAAACTGTTTTAAGTAATGAACAAAAAAATGGATCAGAACTGCTACAGAACTTTCTGATTTAAATTGCACAAACAAACAATTAATTTATGAATTTTTCCTTATTGATTAAGATATCAATCACATGGATAAATGACCTGGAAGAGATAGCTTAAATAATGGAAAGTCACAAAAAAGTATATTTTTAGGATCTTTTAAAACCAGAAAGTTGGTATTTTGCATTGAGTTCCTCGAAAACCCAAACTTCAGAAAGACAACAAAAAGCATGACGCTACCTTGGTCATCATCCTCAAACGAATTTTGATTCAACTGAAAGATGAATTCTTTCAATTGTTCTTTGCCAACCAGCAAGTCAATATAATCGATGAAATCAATTATATTCGATGAAATCGACTTGAAAAACGAATCTGATTCGTCGCTGGAAACTGCTTTGCAATTGGTAGCCAGTAAAGTGTTCATGCTTATCACAATTCTACGTGCGAAACGCTTATCCGGTACAAACGGCTCTCTTAACGGTATTATTATCTGGAATTTTGTCCGATTTTAAAATTTTGCATCTCTTTCACGTTTTATTAGATAAATATAAGAACTGACTCAAAATAGAAACAGAGAAATAAAAATAATGCATAAAGAAACAAGAATTTTAGTAGAGAATTTTTGGTTTGGTGATAGCGAAGCACATAAATCATCTTTCCTTAGCTGTCAACTTTAACACATCGAAAAGACCAACAAAAAATTGTTGTTTCGAATGAAACGACATTCATTACGATGAGTATTTTGTATGTACCTTGGGCATAAGCAAATTGACGCGTAGATAAGTTTTGGGTATCTTCGTGATTTCAGGCATTGCATTTGAGATTTGCTGCAAATATAATTTTAAAATGTCTGAATATAATCGTATGTTTTGAAAGTAAGTCGAAATTTTTCGAAATATTAGAGATGACTCCTAAATTTACCAAAGCATATTTAATGTCATCAAATACGAATAAGAGCCATCGAATCGTTCTTTGATCGATTACGAAAAAAAATGGACCAAGTAAAAGATGTGTGATGTTTGATGGCACTGAAAATCAGTTAATCAAAATTATGCATAAAAGTGATAATTAAATATCAACGACATAAAGCGGTTCACCGAAGATATCAAATTATTAAATCAATTAAAATTAGCAGCAACTACCACCTGGAAATTTTTCAGATGTCGGATGACAGAAAGAAGTAAATTCGAGATGGAAAAGAGGACTATCGCCTCCTATAGCAGTATTTGATTTACGATCTGACATGAATAGATTGAACAATGCTTCTTTTTTAGAATTCGTATCCGTCACACACTGTACAATAATATCATACATCCGTATTACGCAATTTTGAGACATTAACTTTGGCCACATATCAACTATTTGAGATTGTTCATTGAAGTCTACAAAAGAAAAATAACAATGTTTAAATGTGTATGTGAGAATCAAAACTGGAACATGGGAGTCAAATAACTATAGTCAAAAGAAACCAAGCAATGAGAGTCACATTTAAACCCTCACTTCGAAATTTTGTGTCCAAAGAAAAAATAAATTCAAACCCAATTCAGTGCAAAGCTTGCGCAAGTGAAATTGTAATACTTTGTGGACCCAGACAGCACAATGATTTGTATTATCATATCGAATCCAGTCACTGCGATCAGATACAGCGCTGTCAGCTGGATAAAAATCAACGCACAGGCGCAGTAGAGTTACTTGCAGTGCACCACAAGCAATGTCCCAATCTTCAGGATAACCTGAGACTTGATTAAATTCGTTTATTAAATTAATCAAAAATTCAAAACCAAAAAGAATATAAACGAATGAATTGGGATTAAGAGAAAGAAATTTAAAAACCAAATAGGAATGTGGAATAAGAACCAAAATTTAAATTCGCGTGAAAACTTCGCGCCACTTGCATTCCAGAAGTTACCGAAAAAACAACTTTCGAGAAAGAGTTCCCCTTTAATGAAAAAAATTTCTTTGGAAAATAAAGTAAAGTGGAAAAAAGTAATACTATCTGAGGTCTGATCATCATCACAGAGATGAAGATCAATTTTCCCAACATAAACATGATAAGACGTTCGCTCAACATCGAAATTGCGAAATAGAGTTGAAACCGGAATTGAAGAACACGATCTGATCACTGGCATTTTTATTTCGATACACTTTAAAGATAAATGATTAATATTGCAACGCTAAAGGAATTACAATAAAACTGAATGCGGAAAGCGACCAAGTATGAATTTCGTTTTGGTAATGATGCAAAGAACAAAAGGAGACTACAAATAACCAAACTATTTGAATAAAATATCCAACCTGCGTATGATGTATTTCCGACACTTTCTTGGAAGCTGCTCTAATAATATTCATGATGTGATCATAAAATGCGATGGCAGATCGTACTTGCGGTAAAGTAGCAATCCATAAAATATGATCCAATATTACCTCTATACGGCCACCAAGAACGCTACCATCTAAAAACTTCTTTTTTTCAAATTCTCTATTTAGTTCAATAATGTATCTTACTAGTTAAACAATCAAGGACCATGACATAAGTAATAAAATCACTATATTTGTTTTTTTTTTTTTTTTTTTTTTTTAATGATACTTGCATGATTTGAACTTATAAACTCATACCAGTAGTGGACTTTTTCACACTGATTCTACTCTTTCCGTTGCTGCTGATTAATCTTAACGGAGCATTTATCGCATTTCGTGATGGATTAGCTTGCGCGGACGCCTCAATACGCAATAATTGCCACGTGACCTGAGAAATGACCGCTTATAAAACTAATAAAACATGAAACATTAAAAGAGCAACGGGATCACAATAAAGTAAAAGATATTGAAACTAAGGGTAAATTAAGTGAAGCCTCCTGGTTCTCATAAAGTGGAATGTCACCAAACAATATTAGAATATCTCGAAAAATAGACCATTTTAAACATAAGCAATTTGTTGGTGTTCGTATCCACAATTCGAGTATATCGCAAATCACTGACTGTTTTCCAGGCTGGACTTTTGCTTTCAACCGCCAATCTCGAAAGCTACAAAGAAGACCTCATGTAAAATATCTTCCAGTACTTCCAATGAAATCACAGTTAGACATACAAATAAGATGTTTAGCAACTCACTGTCAGCGAACCCCGAAAAACACCAGAATCAAAATTTATCTCCACCGAATTAACATAAAGTGACATCCCTTCTGCAACTCGATTAGCAAATCCATATGTTGAATCTCCAAAGGCACTGAAGTAATATTTCGTTAACTCTGATGGATATTATATTTTACTTAAAAACTTAAGTTAAAAACTTTTACTTTACTTAAAAAGTACATACATATAAATCATGGAGATAAATAAATATACCTCAAAGGATTTGAGCCACAGCTAATAACTTCTTCTGAACTAAGTTCGACTTCTACCCGTATCCCATCAATGAACTAAAAACAGAGATTACAGTAGAATAAAAGACAAAATATTGAAGGTAATACTTTCCACAATGGAAAGACTTAGTTTGAATTGTTCCAAATATGGTAAGAATGATCGAATTTAACACCCAATATTAAAAAAATTGAACTTATGACAGCTATTATTACAGAAAAAGTACAAGCATGGTCGAAATTTCTGCTTTTTGTCTAATCCATCTAATTTTATTTTTTCAAATGCGGAACCAAAAATTTACTAGTTTAACTGGTTCTGATTTTAATTTCGTCCACGGAACCTTAACAGCTATTCTGTTGCAAACTGCTCGCTTAACACGTAACCAAGTTGGTAATTCAAGTACCTGCAAAAAGATGGATGTAAACAATGTTTTATTGAGGTTCTCATTTTATATTGTAAAACGACCGCCAAGAACTTTCAAGTGTAAAATGATAGTAGAACAAAAAAGCTAAAGATAGATTCTTACAGCTGACAATTCGTGTAGCGGATATTTCTGCTGAATAACAATCTTACTATCACATAATTTCTAACTTGAAAGATTAGGAAAGCGAATTATGCCTGGTAATCTATGAGTTGAAACCTTGGAATTATTCAACAAACAAGCACTAGAAACAAAAAGTTATTTTTGCCTTTTTATCTAATCCATAGGAACAAAAATATTCCAGAAAGAATTAAAGAAGCAGATACGGGAAAAAAAGAAAAAGAAAAAAAACTAACTTCACTTAAGACAATTTCGTTTAATTCGATGTTCTTTAATTCTCCTTTACCACTCAAAATCTGCACGCTGATCTGATCAGCTGTAATATTCCGAACAAATCTGAAATTTGGTTGGAAGAAATACGTCATTTTTCTTTCAAAAAGATATGTTCAGAAAAAGCTTACGAATTCAGAAAGTTTACAAAAAAGCAGAAGTTTATGAAAGAATATATTCAGAAATTACTTTGAAAGGTGCTTGATAATCCGATTCTTGATAATACTTGCCATTGTAAATTAATAGATCTCTTTCGCATCTATTACCTCAATACTCGCAAGTATTATCTTAAAAAAGAAAGGTGTTAGCGTATAAGAATTTATGTTTCCAACTATATCATCAATTAATTCCATAAATCCCTACGCTCGATAAAATATTTAAAATGTCTCTTAGTTTGGGATTATTGATGTCACGAATAGTAATGTACTTTTGACTTCCATTTAAGGAAACAAAAAAACCAACTGATTCCTGACCGTATACCAGAAATAGAGCTAATATTTTTGTAGTATTGGAACCTGGGGAAATCATTTCGGTCCTTGGCATAATAGAGCGCCATAGTTAGGAGGACTAATTCGTCGGTTTCGATTCATCTTTATAGATGACATCTCTATTTTAGGAGTAAAGTACAAATAAAAACTCTATACCTAAAATGAAAAAAAAAAATGCTCTTACTAGGTATCAAGAAACTGCCAATCGCCCTGCTAACACTCTCCAGCTGATAATTTCAGTAGATTTCCACACCAATCTCATAAAAATTCAAAAGAAAAATAACATCATTGACACATGCACACCAAAAATACAACCGAATCACTGTTTAATCCTATTAATCAACTCTGAGAGATGCGAACAACTGCTTGACCATACCGATCAATCAGAATTTTGGGCAAATTAAATGACTCATTCCATTATGCAAATTGTGAATATTGATAAATATCGCATCGGAAGATAAGCTCATCTATAATTCTAAGGAGAGGTAAACACATTGAACGTAATGTTCACCTTGAAATTGGTCATTTCTGTTTCTGCGTCCTTAAAGACAAATAGTACAATTAAACAAAAATAAAATATAACTCGTACAAGCCATTAGTACAAGACGTGCATATGAATTTGCGCGGAAACTGAATCCAACTCGCATTAAATGATAAAGATAGTTCTCATCAAAATGTCACAAATAATGCTGAGAATTTGGTTAGGTAGGCTTTAACACCTCAAACTTCATAGATGCTAATAACAGACTACAAATGATTATAATGAGCCAACACAAGGTGGAAGAGATATCACACCACTCGTCAATTGTTGGCTTCATGTCCCCCAGCCCGCGGCAGAAAATTCAAATGTTTGTCTTTGGAGTATACCCTGGAGGAGATAAATGCGGTATTTGTTGTGGGAAAGCATTGTACCAGGATATATTAGACGAGGATTGTAGTCATTTTTTTGTCATTAATCTTCCGTTGTCACTTATCACTGCTTATCACATACTGCAATGAAGAAAGCATGTGAAAATGTATGATGACATCAAATTTCAAAGATGGAAAAAACAAGAGAAATATCTAACCAATTAGCATAGTCAGGTAGAAGAAAAACCAAATTACTTAAAAATCTCGAGTGAACCAACTTATCTCTTCAAGTGCTATTGAGGATAGGGACGCTTTCTTTGCATGTACATTAACGCTTCATTAATTAATGGACTGTATCTATTTTGGAGAAATCAGTACTTCATTGACTTTTTGAGTTTCATTTCCTGGAATTGATTGAAATATACCTTAACTTCTTTTTTCAGTTGTTATTCTTCATAGTTTTTTGAAATAATTCTCAAAATTTGATGAAATTCCTCGTAAGATTGGACTTCCTTAATTGATACCGCCGAATGCAACCGATGCGGGCTGGAAAGGAGAGACAAATAGAATAAATAAACTTATCTTTTCTTCTGTTTAAAAGTAGCTGTATTGGTTAAAATGGAGCCATAACCGTTTAAAAATAGTTGTATTGTTCAAGTTAGAGCCATTTTTAATTGCGGCAGAATTACTGGTTGGTTGCTTCTCACATACGTCAATCCAAGGGCTAATTACTTATCCGACAAAAAATGCTGTGTTGTTAGAAATTTTTGTTATACAATTTGAAAATGTCAATTCTAATCAAAAAAAGTAGAAGAAAAACGCTGAATTTATAAAGGAGCGTAATGATACATGATTTTTATAAGGCTTAAATAAGTGGTTGTTTAGCAAAATATTCGCAACTTCAAGAAATTTTCCCAGTGTTCGAAGATAGTTTACAAGTCATGCGATAATATTTATACAAGTTTTTGACTTAAATATATTTAAATTTGTATTATAGTGTAATTTTTGCAACAGTTAACTGTTGTGTATAATCAACAATGTTCGCATCTACAGTAAAGTATCGAAAATGTCCTTATGCGACTCATTATCCTTTGCAGGTTGGCCTAATTAATCTCTTCCACAACGAATCAATTAAACTTTGCCAAATCAAATGCAGTATATTCAACACTTCTGAATTTCCATACTTCCTTTTTGTCTAAAAACAACGATCGACTTATTTGCTTGCTTTTACTGTTTCTCATGCGTAATTATCAGAAGTGTACGTCAGTGCAATGCAGCATCTCTCCTCACACCATTACAATAACTTATTTCACTTTGGGCCAACATCACCGCAAGCTCAGACATAAAATGCAGGCTGTAAATCCATTTATCATCCCCTTGTATCATCTGTTATATCAATGATTAATCGCTTAAACGACAATCAATGTTTGTCATTGTCATATATTTCCAAAAATAAACACTAAGTTTTTCTTCGGTTGATTATAGGATAAATTTGAATGAAAATAAACAATTATGTTATTAATAATTCATTCTATTTAGACTTTACAACCACCTGACGAGAATGGAATGAGTAAAAATTTCGATGTGCGATATATTCGTGAAGTGTAAGTTATGAAACTGAACAAACAGTATATCCGTAAGTGGGGAAATGTATTTCTACATGGCAATATGAAAAATAATGGTTTTCTGAAGACTATTAAATTGCAGAGACGAACGACTAGGCGTAGTTGTGAGATTATATGCAATGGTGGAATGTTCCATGCAGAAAATTAAAGCAGAAATTCTAATCGAGCATATTCGGGCTCAAATTTTGCCCTTTGATCGGACATTCGGAGAGCATCCTATCAACAATATTGGAAATAATGCTCAGGTCCCTAATCTGTTAAAAACTGTCTTAATTTATCAAAATTTCCATTAAATTCCTTGCTAAATCGTTTATAATGATAACCATTCCTTATCACTGAACACAAACAAAATTCGTTAATTAATTGGAAAAAGTGTGATTTTCGTACATTTATATTATATGAAAAAATGTTTTTGAATAGTTACAAACAATAGGTATCAATTTTCTTTTTATGCTCTGTCTCTTATCAGTTACAGTGCGCATGATTATAAATGCAGTTAGTTTGTAATAAAGTTGTCGCATATATTTATCACTCTTTATTTTCTGTTGCAAATATTATCTGTAACACTGCTAACAGGTTTATTTAATTTCTTACTAAATTAATTATGAACTCACAAAAAAGCAATTCTTACGTTCAGTTGGCCAGTTTTCTCGGGACAACAATAAGCACAATTGGACGACAATGTTCTCAAGCGTGCAGAGGACGCAAAGAAGAAATGCCAAATATTGCTATTATTATAATACGCGACCATCTTATTTATTGTGGTATTTTGGGTGATATGGTGTAAGAAATTACGTAGTGTACAGTAGGACATGTTGATGATAGGTTGTTAATTGAGTTAAATGGTTACTGTACAAAAAATTTTGATAATCATATTGAATTAATGCAAGAGGTAGACGCTGGTTTTCAGCGTATCAAATGAATAAAAGGTTGAGAATTTTTTAACAAGTTAATTACTGATACTATTAACACTGATATTGGACGTTTTTAATTCTTTAAGCATTTTTCTCCAAAGTTGATTAAATTAGTTTAGCTTTGCTTTGCTACGGAAAAATCCTGATTCGTACGCTAACAGAGTTGGCTCTCAACAGTATACGCTTTTCAGTAATTGCAGTACATCAATGACAATGGTATTTGCGTACTTCTGTTGTTTTAATTTTGCTTAAAATAAAGAGTAGAAGTGGAAAGTTTGACATTTTTTGTGAATGAAATTAATCTAATTAATGAGCTGTCTGGGTAGCCTTAATAACTTATAAACACTGTCACTTCGGAAGGGATCATAAAAGTCTGAAAGATTTTTCTAAGTTGTGTTACAGAAACGAAGCAAATCTGTAACAACAGGCAATCTTATAAATCTTCACATACATGAGGTAAATTTATTTATTAAACCTTACAATGCCTTTTTCCATTGCCTATTCTTAGAGCGCAAGAAGATAAAGTTGGAAGATGGCAACTTTTCTCATTCTTTTATTATTAATATCATGAGTAAGATGGAAAGTATAGTAGAAGCAAAAGAAATTAAATCTTCAGTTTTGCTTAATCCAAAATACCCAAAATTTGTAGATGCAACCATCAGACTTACGGTTTTTTGTATTTACCAAGGAATCAGTTCGAGTCCTATTAAAATCAGTTCCATCGCTAAATTTGTTCGCAAAAACCCACGGTTAGTGGAAAGGATTTAAAGTTTTTGAATTTGACAGAATTAAAATCTGCTTTTGTTGATGTCGATTTTGCGCATTAGTAGATCTAATTTAATTATAACACCCTTATTTGCAAATTTATGTTCTATTTGACTATTGGGATAAATATTTTCGAACTTTCCAGACGAAATAACATGGTTACTGCATTTATGGCAGGCGGAGATTTACATAAAGAATCCATATGAAGTACCTGCAGCTGGATTCTTACTTGTTAATAACTTATCAAAACTGATTGCGAATAATGGTACTCGTTTGGAACTGAATTTTACTGAGAAATTGTTGAAAGAGGAAGAGTTTCAAGCGAAAGAGATAAAAAAGCAAAAGAGGCAAAAGATGATGGAAAAAAGATTGGAACAATTGAATATGTTCAAAAAATCAGATAGTTCAACAAGTCAGTATAGGACCTATTTGGAAACGGAACTAAAAAAAATTCAGAAAGCATACACCAGAATAACGGAACTTATCAATGAATTACTTAATGAAGAACGTAATGAAATAATTGGTTATATGAAGCGTGAAGAAGAGATTTCAAATTTAGAAATGCAACCTGAGAAAGAACAAATGGTTTTGAAAGGAAAATTATTCACCCTGCAACAATATCAAAAAAAACAGCTAAATGAATTACAGCTTTTCTTGCTTAAAGTCCTGAAATATCAAGATATTGTACAATGTGAATTGCTCATAAACATTAATAAACTGGAGGAAAGATTACAAGTTGTTTCGTCCGAAACGAACGTAATTTGTGTTCAAAAAGCGTACTATGATTACTACCGGATAAGTCGTATTACAATGTTCCAGAACAAAATTGAGCAAAATTTAGAAAATTTGAAGAAACAAATGGAAGAAACAATTAGGGATGCTTGCAAGACGCAGTGGAAATTAAACACACTTAAGTCACAGGTAATACTTACTACTATTTTCATCTAAGCGGTTTTAGCACACCTATGTCAACGCTTTATTCTAAAATTTAAATTTCTTTCACTTTAACTTTTCAGAAACTTACACTTTTAACATGTAAATAATTCGCATAACATTCTGTAATCAGAATTGAATGAAAGATTTTGATAGGTACAACAGAACAAACTATGGACTAGACCAGTATTGGTTCAAACCTGTTGGAGAGGGGGTAATAGCGTGCATGATTTTTATGCAACAACAAATAGACGCCCATTTTGCAGTAATGGATTTCAACAGCAACACTGGCGCCGTCGTCCAAACAGCGCAGTATTCTGGAGAAATGATTTTAATAAAAATAATTAATTTATTTGATGGTCACAGATTCCTGTCATTTTCCAATTTTTTGCTCATCATTTGTATTAAATAAATGATTCTTGATACCAAAAGTTCTGTATTCTGCTTTGAAGTAATTGTGTAAAGGCATATACGAAATTCACTGAAAATTGTAGAAAATTGTGATATATGTTAAATGAGCTCGGTCCCGTTTTTATAAGCCTTTGAAGATTTGACACTGATAAAGAAGTTTTATGTATTAAGATGATATTGTACCATTGGAAATAACACATTACTTTGCGTGGATCATTATTCTAATGATTCTACTTTAATTCAATAAAGCAGAATTATTCTTCATGGATTATTTGGAATGTACAGTTCATTGCATAAATTACTTGTATTCAAGATTTTGCTAGTAGTAAGACTGATTTCATCCCATCATTAAAAACAGAAAAAAGTTTAACAGCGAAATGAGTCTTTAAAATGATTTCGTTGTCAAAATATTTTACTCAACAGACTGATGATTGTTTAAGGCGTGTCGTTCATATTGGAAGTGTGTAAACTATTAGTTAAATAACATTTTGCAATATATTGATTATTATTTATGCAAAAATCTTCCAGAAGCAGATATCTAGAACAGGATTATGTCAATACCTTGACATGGAAACCTGAACAGTGATTTTACTATTAATACTTTATATCTGTATTTTCATTATTCATACCGCATAATACAAAAAAAAAAAAATTTTTTGATATTAGCTTTTATGTATACCATCTTTTAAAATATAAAAAATGTATTGCAATTTCAAGTTAACTAAGCTTTTGCACAAATATCATTGTAGATCACTACGATCAAATCAAATTATTTGACTAACTTATTGTCCCAAAATTCTAATCATTGTTTACAAGTTCCTATCTTCTTTCACTTATTATTTTATAGGTTATTACTGCTCGGGGAATTTTTGTTGATTGTATATCAGAACTTGGCCGTAATTCATATCCGTATAAAATCAATATAGCTGGGCTACTATTGCAATGATAATATATATTTGTCTTGTATAGGTTTTTTCTGTAACCTTACAAATAAAATACACGATACAACACATCTAAAACCTCTCTACAAGTTCATTATTTTTGATTCCACATCATTATCACATTAGCTATCGAATTTAACATATTCAGATTTTCGGGATAATTTTATTTTTTAAGGGAAAAATTTTAAATAAATAAAATTTGCAGATATGAAATTAATTTAATATATTTCATGTAATTAAGTTTATAATAAAAAAAATTTATGATACAACAATTTTTGAATTTTCCAGACTAAACGCCTTGCTATCCTCGTATATCATCTATCATTCGATGATGGTGGAAACAGAACATCCATAGTTTTTACAAGTGAATTGTATTTCGTTTTATATTTGATTTCTATTGTATTTGAAAGTGATGAAACCAAAAATGCTATTATTATTAATATTTGCGCAAATTGCAAATCGCTTCTCTTAAAACATTCATTTTCTTTCTTATAGATAATTGATGTCAACTGGTTAAGAATGTTTTCGGCAAAACGAATTTCCAAAAAATGTCCATTTGCCAGCAGTTGCATCTTGAAAGTAAACATTATTACGAATTATTAACAATATGCGTATATGTGTGTGTGTGTGTGTATGTGTGTGTGTGCGTGTGTGTGTGGTGTATGTGTGTGTTCATTGAAAATTATAGAATTTGTTCTCTGAATAGATTTCTTACAGCAGAAAAATTATGACTTTGTATTTATTGAAATATGACAAGGATTTAAAGAAATCAAAATGTTGCACTTTTTAATCAATTAAGTCATAACAATTTATCGAATTATCCGTGGGCAAACTATTGAGCAGACTAAATTGCATAGTTTATCACTTAAACGTAAAAGAAAATTTCATTTTTCACTTAAATTATTAGTATTGAAAAAGGCTTTTTTTTCTTGCCTTTAATAATTTATTTCATTAATTTCTTGCTTCTGTCCTACTGAAAATATGATCATGTTTATGGTACTTCAACCACAACACTTACATTATCTTTCAGAATCCAATGCAGAGAACCGAAAAACACAGTAAATTTACACAAATACGGTACCTATGTGAAATGTGCGTATTATTTTTTATTGTATATTCTTTTTTTTGTTTTCACATATTAATAATGAATAAACTGAATTTGCCTAATTTTTTGGTACCTTAAAATTTATTTTAAGTAAAATAAGAATTTTTGAAATCCTGAAATTTATTCAGGCGAAGATTTTTTATTTCAGCGATACCAGAAATGAAGTAACAGTTAGAGTGTATGCGATGGCTGAAAGTTTTCAACAGAATTATCCTGCAGAAGTTATAATTGATGAAGTTAGAAAAAGAATATTTTCACACAGAGATCCTTATAATCTATTTTCAGAGAAGGACACTACCATTAATGATGTTAGTTGTTCTTTTTTCATTTCTAAAATTACTCGAAATTTGCACATTTTAGTTGTTTGGTCATATTTGAATTAATCCCGATTTCTCATGTTCACAAATTATATTTAACTCAACTTTGATCTTATAATTGAAGAAAAATTAAATTTAAATTTAAGAAGTTGGATCATAACGTTTTCAAGAACCCGAATGTACATTGAAAAGATAATTGATGTTTTACCGCGCTTACCTTAAATTTTTGGATAAAAGCAGTATTCACGACATTACTGTAAATAATAAATCCTAGGCAGGGGAATTTTTTAGGTATTCGGACTTCTAGCGACATTGTTGCAAGTAATCATCGAACAAGCAAAGGACAAATGCGTTGGGACAGAAAATGAAATGCCCAGTGTTGGCATTGTAATCATTCGCTCCAATTTACTTTGCTACGCTTTTTTTGGAAAAATTGTGTAAGTTTAAATGTGAATTCAAAAGTAAGGTGTAAAACAAGAGCCTAACTGTGTCAACTGTCTTCAACACCCTATATTCTTCAACAGTATCATAATCTAATCTTTTTTCAGATTTGCATTAGTTACAGAACAGTATTGCGCACTACAACTCGGAGAATCTAAACATTATTCGATCCTTTTCAATAATATTGAAATGCCTGTATGTGAAGAGCTCTTCAGTTCTATTTCAAGAAATTATTTATAAAATAAAGCAAGAACTTTGAAATGTAAAAGACCCAACAAAATATAATCATTGGTTGTAGTATAGTTACGATTTTTTAACCAAAGGTAATTTATGATTTTTGTGAAATCTGCTGCATATGAAGTTTAATATCCACAAAACGTTACTGTCAGGTGTTATTGAAGGCTTCTAACGACATTGTGGATGAAACACAGCAAATGGTTTCAAAGATCGATAATAACTGTGTAAAGATTTTCACTCATACGGTTCGTTTATGTTTTTCCTCACTTTAATTAGTGTAAGAGATGATTTGCGCAAAATGTTGCAATGTGAAATTGGCAATAATTAAATTAAATTGAAAATGTGACGACTGAAACTTTATTTGGAATAAGATGTACACGTTGGCTCACACTTTAGCTCAGTTCATGTGAAATAAACTAATTAATATCATTTAAAAGGTGACAAGTTAGAAATGATTGTGAAACACTGTAAGACAATTATAAAGTAGATAGGCTTAAAGATTTGTAATTAATCTGCACTGATGCATAAGTGAACATATAGATGATTGGAAAGGTTTGAAGAATATTTTATTACAAGAATAAATCATGATTTTGTAACTTGCCTGTCACCTTGTGTTGCCAAGGGTGTCCACAAACAGACATATGAACTTCTTTTTGTTGATGCTTCCTTCAATAAAATGTATGTTTTATAAACTTTTGAATTGTCTTAGCGGCTGGGAAAAAGAAAAAAAAATCGCTCTTTTTACTTTCGTAAGTTGCATTATTGCATTGTTTCGGTTTATTCTTTATAGATCATGTTAATAACTTCTGGCATTTTTCTAAATTCTAGATTGAATTTAATGATATTCGATTTTTCTTATTTACTGTGGAAACAGTCGGAGCGTTATTTGAATGTCAAGCGGATTTGTGCATAATATCACATAGTAGGTCATTTTGAATGTTACCGCTTTGAACTTGTAAGAAATTTCTATCCTATTATTTAGGAAAAAATATTAAAATTATATAAGCTTCAAAAGGAAGCTTATCTTATTATTTCTAATTATGGAGTGACAATTTTTTCTCGATCTTATACCTTATTTGTGATCTTTGCAAACTTTTCTGTAAAAGTTTGACTTCCCTATGAAAAGCTTTAAAAATATATCCGCTATTAGTTTTAATGCTTTTCCTTGTCAAGAACAGTTTCCACCTTTTGATAATGCCCTCTGATATGGCTGCTTTTTTGAAACAGTTCATTTATTTAGGTGAGTTAACTTGGATATTACATCAGTGGCAGAAAAATATGTATTCGGCCAATCCATTTGATGTACCATCAGTTGGGTATTTGCTGGTAGAGAAGCTATCGCAAGTTATAATGAATGATGGTGGTGCATCGGTTAATCTTCTAAAAAAGCAGCAGGATTATTCATGGAATCATCTACCAGAGTTGCATCCGAAAGGTCTCGGATGTTATTTTTTAGGATCTTCCTTTGAACGACGCTTACGAGATTTCTATAGGTTGACAGAGGATATCCGTGAAGCTCATCTGGAACAAAGTGACGAAATATGTCTTTGCTTGGAACGAAAACAATTGTTGAAGGAAACGCGAAAACAATTAGCAGTAGTGCCAAATGAGATTTTCTTAGAAATGGAAGAAATGTGGATGGATTATTATTGTAAATTGTATTTTGTTGGAAAGAGAGTTGAAATGTTGATGACACGTATTCAGTACGAGCTACGTCCAGCATTAGAGTTCCTAAATCGCGGAAACGTATACGATGTGACGTATGGTCAATTTTCGTTTTCAATGGGTAATTATTTCCGATTTCTTGTCAGAGGATTGTGGGTTTACGATCACATCATTCAGGAAGAAATAGAAAACGAAACAAGTCGTTGTAAGCAGTTGGTGAGGCACTGGGCTGAAAAGGGATTAGTTTTAGAAAGAGATCTGGAAGCATTACGATTCTGGAAATCGGATGGTTTGATTTTCCTTCTAATCGCAATCTTTTTTCCTTTTTTTTGGATATTTAGAACTCTTATGTTTTAAAATATTTCTGACTTTACTGAGAGAAATTTGACTTTACTAGTTTAGGCTCAGACGATAACGAAGATAATGATTGAAAAGATAATAATAACTTAAGAAGTCATTATTAAAGACAAGAAAAAAGGTAACAGGTGTGAAGAAAGGTTTGGTATTGATTAATTAAGTTGGCTAAGCAGTATGGAGATCATACGATTTAGTACCAGCATTGCTTGTAATCTATTTCTAGCAGCAAAAAACTGCGAAAATCATTGGCTTCTGGCTGTTTCTTCCAGTCTTGCTCTTATTTGATCTCATATTGCTATCAGTGATATACTTTGTAATCCTTAAAAATGTGCAAAATGTTTAAAACTTCGTTGTCATTGTGAAATATTTCTTATTGCAAACTTTGTTGAAACTGTTAAAAGCTTGATCTTTTTATAATTGTTTCAAAAAGGTAATTGTACTTGTATTGATATTTGTTAATGTTTGTGAATTTAGATTTCTATGTTGAATATGTCCAGATAAATTTATGAAGTTTTAACATTGTATGAAAATGTTCGTATTTAGTTGTTCCTTCCGAAAAGCATTTTTAAAATCTATGTAACTATCATTTCTTTTTGCGATTCATTGCTACAAGAGTGATCTCTGCTTTTGACTTTAAATCGCTCATTCTTTAAGTGGTGAACTATGTTTATTTGAAACTTATTAACTTGTTGAATACCTCAACTATACATAAATATAAACTCATGAAAATTGATAAAATTTCCATCGAACTGTGTGGACCACTTCATGTTATGAAGAAGTCTCATCAAAAACATCTATCCAGAGTCTCTTGAATAATTTTGACAATTTAAAATTTATGAAACTAAGGGTTGAAAAGAGCGAGTGTGTGAATAGGGCTGAGGTGGAAAATAAGACTAACTAGCAATTACTTTGCATAAAAGGGTAACAAATCAGATGTGTAGTTACGTGAGGACATCCTTTTGGTGTATCAACAAGATCAGCATTACGGACAGATCAAACGACGGTTCGTTAAATAATTCATTCCACAATATATATAAATATATAAATGCTATTAGCTATCAACTATTCCATTTAACTGATTGCAACAATAAATATTTTACGTGGTTTTATCTCATCAGATTAATACCGCTGTTCCAAAACACGCATAGTGAAAAAGCCATAAACGGGCTTGTGATCAGAAGCATTCTCTTCCCATAAGCAATCATATTTCCCGGGTTTTATCCGGCTCGATTCTTTCGCATAATACAAAATTCGATCCTAAAAATTGTTAGCTGATGTGAATGAAACAATGAAACAATAAGTTCCTTGAGTTCAGCGTTGAAGTTGTGTGAATTCATACCGTATATGATGGAATCCGATTTTTTACATAATCGTTGGTGCCAAGAATAAACTTATGCGTAGGTGGAAAATTAATATGAGCCTCATTGAAACCTTCAAAAACATTACCTGAAAATGGAACGAATTGTTTACTATCTTCGGAAAACTTGGAATAATTAATCCTAACGAAAAGCGATAGATAGATAATTTCGAAACAGACCTTTGCACCTTTCCAATGTCAACTCATCGTCAGTGAGTAATTGATCGAAAAAGGAATCTGCCATATTTTCCTGGTTTTTGCTCCGTGAATCCAATGCATCAATTCGTTCCCTACTTAGAAGTCGAAAATTCAAATCACCCAACCAGAAAACCTATGATAAAAAAATAAATACATTCTTATTATCCCTCTTTGCCCTAAAATTATTAAATACGTATAAAATTCTGCGAAATTTTGATTTATATTTCGGTAGCAACATAAAATCGAAGATTTAATATCGAAATTTACACAATCAGCTTGTTTCACTCCTGAACAAGACAGTGCACCGCTCTTTTTCAATGTTGAAAATCGTAGTGAATCACAGATTTTCGAATAGTCACATATACGATTCAATACTGGCCCATCTAAAACAACTCTGAATCTCCATACTGTAATAAAAGAGGATTAAGACCAATTGAACCAACCGATATGGAGTTATTTTAACCTTCGCATGGTGACAAGATTCTAAAATCTTCCGTCTTGCTTATCCAGCATATTTAATCCTGCTGCTAATCCTTGAACTGATCTAATAAATTGTCTACTTCAGTTTTAATTTACTGTTTTAATTTACTTTAGTTTTAATTTACTGTTTAATTTGCTCATCCAGCATTTCATTTATTAATAAGTTTGATAAACAAAACTAACGAGTCATGTGACAAGTTACAAAAATGACTGATATCTGGAAAACTCGAAAGAAAACGGCAATCGCTCCTTTCGTTTTGACCGGTTTGACAAATGGACTGAAAGAAATAAACTGCCATTCCGGAGCTGCAAAATGATGTTTGAATTTCAATGATGAAACGAAATAAGTACTTGAAAACATCCAATTCATATCTAACTAATATAAATGTATGCAATCAACTGAAACCTCTTAAAAGTTTGAATTTAAATACATTTTAGTATTTTGGGTCCTATGAAGTTTACAATTTCCAAAATCCAAAGTGTTTCAAATGGCTCACTAACAAACATAGCAGAATGACAAACCTGAGATGTATGCAACCAGAGGTTCCCGAATAAAAATGACCACCATTTGTGACCATTTTCGTACCCAACAAAACATTAGATGTGTGTCTGCAACAGCTTTGGCCAGCGACTTCACCGTTTCCTGATGATAATATCTACAAATTTAAAATTTTGCTTTAGTTTTTTTTTCATTTTACTTCAACAAACTCAAAAACCAATGATACAAAAAGCTGAAGAAAAACTAACGCATTTGTTGATGGAAGCTCTTGAAAACACAAACAAATTACATCGGCTCTAGCCGTGGGCCGTTGTTCATTTGAAATCAATTTCTCGATTCTCGACAAATGATTTTGTGACTAAAAAGCATAATTACGATTTATTCTGACCAGTATGAATTGATGGCTTCTGTTAACTTCGAGTTATTTGAAGCGGAAGAAAATTTTTAGAACTCGGAGTAATTAGGACTTACGGAAGTTACAGAGAATATCATCGATTTAATGGGAAAAAAAATATAGTAATAACCCTGGTGGCAACATTCCAAGTTAGACACATCACAGTAATTGTACCATCAGGTATCAAATGCCTTAACCGGTCCACTTCCGGAATAGTAACTCCACCCGGACCAATTACTGTCATTCTAAAAAATTTGTTGAGTGAAGCGAAACAATGGTAACAATAAGCTGGAATATGAAGCATGAAGATGAAGTTATCCGACCCTTTTTACCTAATAACTTTTTAATTTGATTCCTTTCTTCATTTGCACATCCTTGTTATTAGAAGAGATTAATTCAATCCTCGAGCAAAAAAGTTTGAGACGAAGTGTATCACAAGTTTTGCAAAAAATTTCGTTTAGTTTCGATATTTCTAACGAAACTGAATGAAACCAAAACAAACAGAATTGTTAGCAAATTATTTATTCAGAAAATTTGTAAAAGACGTGGAGATGAACCTGAGTTGCGTACGCTTGACGTCATATGTAAAATACTGATTTTCCGCAGCTTCATTTGCAAGCGCTATGTTCTCCTCTACCTTCTGGGTAGCGATCACAGTACTATTCGATTCTGAACTTTCCCGGCTTGAAACTGCAATCCTTATTCAGAAAGTCAAACGAAAATTCTATGTGTTATCAGTGTTTGAGATCCGGAAAGAAAACTGTTCAACATTACTGAAAACAAAGCTTGGCATTGCGCTTTATTATTTTAAAAGTCATAAGAACAACGAATGTTGGAGAATTAAACATATTTTAACGACGGCACTTTTCAAATATTGAGAATTTCAGATATAGCAACATGGTTCAGATTGGAAAGACGATATATTCCAAAAGATTTTGGAAGTTGTAAGAAGTTTATAGAACGCATGAGAATGGCAAGAGATCAGAAAAAAGTTAAGTTAAAAGGTCAGGAAATGTTGAGATTGTCAACGTTATCGTTATTACGGTGCTGTCTGCTATTCATCGCAAAGCCAATCGTGTAACAGCGCTTTTCACGAAGCAGACATAGATCTTTTGAATGAAATTTTGGATGCAACTTGAAAATATAGCCATCCATGCTTCCCATTCAACCCATTCGCCGAATTCTTTACGCATATGTTTATCAGAAGAAGTAAGATAGTATTAAATGATTAGTAACTCTGATAACACTAATAAATACCCACCATTTTCGTCCAGAGAATAATGTTTTACGGAAGATGTAGCCGCAAAGCGTTTTATATGTGAAGTGAACGATTCAATTCGTTTCAAGGAAGGCTTCTCGATAATCATCTCATCGTTGCTCTGGAAAATCTTTTTTCCTGATAATGTTGCTTAAGTAGCTTAAAATGTTATACAAATTGGAATTATGATTAAATTTTGCTTTTCAAGTAATGAAATTTCAAACACGAGTTCAATAATTACAGTTGCAGTAGCAGAAGACGAAAGTGGCGGACTTGTCATATTTGCAGTGACCCGAGTTGCCAACGATCTTACACGACTGACCATCTAGAAAGATTTGTAAAAATAGAACTACGTATCACATTAAATGCAAAAAGACATTTGTATTAGCTGGTGCACAAAAAAATCCAGAGAACTTGCATTTTTCTGAAAGCATAATGCAGATAAACAAGGATTACAAGAATGATAACGATCATTCATTGATATATTTTGTGTTCTTAAAGAAGCTTAAAGGCATCAAATTATAATATTCAGTAAATTTTGTAGACTAAAAAAGATGCAGTACCTTTTGATGTTACGGGTGAAGGAAGCAGGTTTCAAACTGAAAAGTTATTCAGGATAGAATGTCTGCAGTGTTAACGCTACATTAATCTATAACTGCATTTATCGCCAATTAATGGCTGATTTCAAGTTTTTGTTTTGGAAACGGATAAATCATATAAATTCAGTAGTTTTATTTCAATAAGTTCCATCAAATATTTAATAAAACAGTTAGATAAGCAAATAACTTGGACGTGAAATGTCCAACTCAATGATGCAAAAACACGTTCTTGCAGAAAAGTTTATTTACACGTATTGAACATAAAAACGCAATAAAAGACTCTAATTCAACAATAATATATAAAGTGTATGAAAATTAACTTCTCTAAAAATAGAAATAGTGGTGTCAGAAAAAACTTTGTATTCATGATAAGACCAAATTCTAGATCCGAAATCTCTCTCTTGAAAGATTTAAACTTCTAAATTTGCATTTAGGATTAAAGGTCAGAAAATTTTCAACAAATAAATGAAGTTTAACGTAAATCAGAATATCGAAATGAACGCGTGAAATTACTGGAAATGTTCGAGTTCGATGTTAATACATTTTTTCTGAATCATTATAATTTTTTAAGAGATGAAAACAGGATAAAATGATAGAGGTCTTTAAATCTCACAAAGAAACTTAGAAATAACACTATTTGTACAAATGTTTGAAACCCCGAGAATTGCAATCACAAGCTTTTGAAGTATCAAAGGAATGAAATGGTAGTAAACTATGATTAACTACAGCCAAAATACTATGTTTCTAACATAGCAGAAAAAATCAACTTCAAAATTGAAAAAAAAATTCTTTCTAACAAATTGACTTCTTTAGTGTGCGATGGTTTAATATACATCTTATGCCAAAAGCATTCTAAATTAGTTGTAAAAATTGAGAAAGTCGCACATAAACATAATTTTTCAACGATTTATTTCGGTTAGCAAATGTCATGAAGTAACTAATGGCATCAGTTTCGGAAAAATATTATCCTCATCAATCTTCTCACTTTCCGGTTCAAACAAGTAAGCACGCTGAATGGCAAGAAATGTAGCCTTTACAACTGGACCTAGCGTTGTATAACTGGATGCTGACGTATAGCAATCCTGAATCCCACCTAAGTGCAGCAGTTTCTGCACTATGGGTGGTGCACTAATACCGGTACCGCGAGGAGCTGGATAAAGTGTTACTCGCACATTACAGTAATGAACCATTATCTAAACTTGTTTTCTCTCAGTAAAAATTTTCAAAATTTTAGCTTTTACTATATTTTAGTGTTTCTCTTTGAAACCATGACGCTAAATTTGTTATATGATGTAAAAGTTGCGGTTATTGAGAAATCAATAACAATTAATACGCTGTTTAGATCTTGAAAACAAAGAAAGGAAAACAGGTCACGGAAAATACCTTGCACGGTATAGTATGAGGCAGGCCGTGTTCCGTATGCCAATAAGCCCGTCGTACAGGCACCACCGCTGTTTTAGCACGATAAATCGCACGTCTAATTGCAGTGCTGACACGCTTCGCGCACTGCATTCCGAGACCCACATGTCCATTCTTGTCACCAATGGCAACAAACGCCCGGAATCGAGTGCGCAATCCACTTCGGACCTCCTTTTGTACCGGAAGAATTTTCAATACCTGCTCCTTTAGATTTGGCACCAATAGGTCCACAATTTGGTATTCCTGTAATTTTTCCTCTCTTTCAACTGAATTTGAATTGAGACAACTTCGAATGGAATCCATCAATTTAGTCTTTAGAAAGAATGAAGTAATGGTTTTTTTTGTTCGTTTCAACATACTACAGAAATTTCAAAACTGAAAGGGAAGGTGATTTGAATTCCGAAAAGAAATGATATAGTTTTTGTACTAATCAATATATTATTATTATGATAGCAAGATAACTGACAAGAATTGGTATCGATCTACGATAGATCTCATCGATTGTACCTACTCGCCCATCTTTCACCAAACGACCAAGCTTTGTTACCGGAATCCATGGCCTATCCCAGTCGAGCGTTATACGACGTAAACCACTACCTATTCGCCGTGGACCACCACCTTGATTTCTCATTGAACTGCAAAAATTTGAGAAATGGAAATTCTAAAAAGAAAAGCAGTAAAAGGGAGCGAGCCTTAATTATGTCAAAAATTAATTTGGAAACAAATATTAAAAAAATAGTTTGAACATTAATTTTCTTTTTTAAGTAAATCTCAGACAAGACATGAAAACTCATTCAATTGGTAAAGAGATCCCATAATGTTAAAATTAACTTCTTTATTAATTTGGAAGATAGCTTCTTAATAATTTTAGGAAGTAAGAAAGCATGGAAGAATTCAATTTTCACTCTTAGTAGGTCAGATAAGACGCAAACTGATAGCAAGGACAGGAATTTAGCTTGTTAAAGCTTGAAATAATAGCAACTTGAGTATTTTTTTCTTATTGAAAAGTAGTTTGGCTCAAATACCTGGACCGTCTCTCAGCATGATCAACTGAAGCGTGACTATCAAAACTACCGATACTGCCGCTACCGAAACCACCTTGAAATGCTCCGCGACGATCCATTCCATAAAACCTAAGGAAAACTTGCAGAATGGAAGTTCCCTAACTAATTCAAAAAATGCAGTAATTCATTACATAGCAAATATAGGTTTTAATATGATTTTCAAGAAAAATATTTCAATTTATTTAGAACCTAGTCATTATGGAGCAAGATTGTGGGCAGATGAGAATGTAGCTTCACTAAGCTTATCGTAGTAATAATAAGGTATACGAATGTAGAATGCGTGAATAGGCTATTGAAAAAAACAGCCTTATTGAAGCTATTACAACCTACATTAGACCAGTCCACATTTCAAACACGCACAGACACACAGACATATACACAGAGAGAGAGAGAGAGAGAGAGAGATGCAAACCCAATATGCGCAGACAATCAATATAAATTACTGGACCTACTCATTTAAATCGCCTCTTAATTAAAATAATCTTTTTTAATTTTACATTTCTTTGCAGTTTGAGATATGCATTTATTATCAATATAGCCCGCGTGCAATCTCGTTAAATTTTCGGACGGTTCCGCGGAATCCATCAAGAGAAGTGGAGAGTAATACGTGCGGTTAAAACCATAGTTTTAAGCTTACAGAAGAATTTGTAATGCACAGATGTCAAAGATTACCATTTCCCAAATCATATTTTTAAGAAAGCGATGCGGAAAGATTGTTCTTAGCTTGCTAATTTTGCAAATGACTAATTAGGCTGGATAAAGCGGGAAGTTTTGACAAACAATGCCATACAATGAATGAATAGCATTAGGCGTGCAAACGTATACCATCACTATGGAAATACATTGTATGAGTTATAGGAAGCAGTAATGGACAAATGAACATTTCAAATTATATGCAGTCTTTTCCAAATCCTTAAATGCGATACTTTTTAAGTGGAGAAAAATACTGTAACCTAAGTTTCGAAATTTTGAAGTTTAAAAATTGGTACTTCACAATTCATAAGGGACAATTTGTTACAGAATTTATTGCGTTGCTTACTAAAGAAATGAAATGATAGAGAATTGCAATGTTTTGAAATATGTTACACTTCATGTTCACTACAGAAATGCGCTTTTGCACTCGAACATTGCCAAACAAAAGTCATAGACAAAACCTCTTGCTCGTTGGGTGAGTGATACGAGATGATTCAGTTGATGATATGGGCAATTCTGCAACTCACCACGGTGATAAAAGAGAAGACTTTAATTTATTCGTTGCAATTCCAACAAAATGGTGATTGAAAGTTAGCTTGTATTAATTATGAAACCATTTGCAGCTAAACCAAAATAAGAGTATCTGCAGCTTAGTTTCCCCGAATGGTTAGTGGGATAAGTTCAAACAAAATAATCTGTGACACTGTCAGTATTCTCTTCGCCAGACATTTCCGCTATAGGAATGAAAAAATTTCAGTTTTCAGAACAAATAGAGGAGGAAATGAGAGGATGATTGGCTATTATACAGACTTATTTAATATCAACATCTAAGCAATGGTGTTTTAACTTCACTCCATTCTAGGCAGCTTCCATATCACCCATCGGTGACATCTGTGACTTTTCAACTACTCGCTCTTTCTCTCGCAACTATCATTTGTTAACGGAAAGTTTCTCTGTGAGACGTCAAATATCATAAAGTCACCACCCTCGTGACTTCCCTCGAATAGAATAACTTTGGAAAGATGATGGTGAGTTTGGCGGAGATTAGCGAAGAAATAGCGACGTTGAAGAGTGGCAGAGATTGCTATGATTAAAAGTAATACTGGCGAAGGTTACAAATGAATAGGTAGTATTATATTAGGGGGGATACAATCTTAGAAAGTCATGCATTTCTTGCCAGAACATGAAGGAAGGGTTGAGATGCAAGTTGCGTGGTATTGAATTTCGGAATTTAACATGATAATAGAGTGCTGCGAGTCTTTGTGCGTGGGTTGCACATTTTCTGATGTTAAGATGTTCTTATCAGTGAAGAATTGTTACTAAGTTTGGGACAAAATGCTCAATTTCTCAGCTAATAAGAGGTCAAGTTACAAACCTGATCTTTTGATCACCTTACTCAACAAGCAACTTATTTGCTAAGTGATTCTTCCTCAAGATAATTGCAAATGATGCTACATTAAGCATGTGTATCTGGAACACTAAATTTCGGTAGTGATTATATTTACATTATCTGTGAGCCAACAATTATCGAGTGGACAAAAATTCAAATATAAGAAGTATGGTAGTACTTCGCCTTGCTGTTGCTATTATTGGAAGCTTTTAGAAAATGCATAATACTTGAATGGCTGCTTTCATGAAAGCAGATTGAAGGTAGGCCAAATAGTAAATATGCTATCATAGAATAAAGTGTAAAACATCTTTCTTGTTAACGTATAGTAACCAACGTTTTAAAGGTGAGAGCAATTGTGGTGAATACTGAGGAATAAAGGAAGCAGTAGATGGGTATATTCAATGACCGATTTAAGTGCATCGACAATAGAAGTCATTACTGCGAGCATTAGTTCGCAAATAACTAATGCAGATGAAAATAAAACTGAGGATGAGGAACCAGTTGAAGTAATTGGTGAGCAGATTGGTGCCGCTTCGTTATTGTACAGTGACTTCGCTACAGCGATCAGCGAATCGTCTCTCAAGATATCTTCATCATCACGAGAAATCGATAAAGCTCAAACAAATGCTGAAATAACACAGACGGCTGTTTTATCCGAGATGGAAAGTATACCATCAGCGGTTCTGGCATCTGAAGAAGGCGTTCCAACACCACCACCATCACCAACAGTAAGGAAAACGACTGCAAGACCAAGGTCAAATTTTTCGTAGGTGCATGGAGAATTGTTCTTTGTTATGCTGCAAGTGGACTAGCATCTTAGAATAAAACGACAAAATCAGTCTTCATCAAACTGTTGTTGACACCATTAATGTAACGTGAGTATTAAGCAAGATTCGAAAAATTCTGTCATGATTTTGTCCTTTTACAAAACTTTAAAAATTTCAGTTTGTTTTCATTAGCTCAAGTTTCACATAAACTTGGCGAACTCTGGTCAAGCGCACGAGAACGCGTTTTTGGTGAAGATTACTGGATACCATCCGACTGTTATGAAGTATTTATTTACACCCTATATATGACATTTTTATCGTTGAATAGTTTTAGCATCATTAGATGTGAAGTATAGATTTCATTAGAGAGAAGATTGTGTATTTCACTGATTCTATTATGCAGGTAGTGCCATTTCCGACGGAATTGTTACGAGCTCATAATTCCGTCTATCCTCATAGTAATAGCAAAAAAGGATTATGCGTTGTGCAGGGCACACTGAAAAATCGACCTGCAGCACCACTATTCCATGTGCTATTTTCGAAGGAAAATGAACAAAAAAACGACAGCAGAGAGGGAGAGATTGAATTGCTTGTTACAGTAAGCATATTCCGAACCCATGAAATCCAAGAAGCTATCGATTTATGTAATCGATGCTTTGATTGTGAGGCACTGTTTATGCTTCTTGGTAAGTTTATTTTACTCTGAGTAAGCTTTTAATTCAAAAACATTTGTTTATCGCAAATGAATCTTATTTATTTCTTTCTTAATTAACTTATCAACTTCTTTGCAGACATGCAAAGCGATAACCGCAGGTTAGTACGAGATTTGGTAACTGCTCTGCGTGCTCATCCGCTCTGGCTAATTGTTCCAATTTCAATCGCGACGAATCGAGCCGATTTCTTTACAGATGAAAGTATTAAAAGGTTTCAGGCAACAAATAAGGATTTATTTGATGTGTAAGTCGCTTCAGAACTAATGTACAAAAGATCTGGTCGGTGGGTGCGCACAACCAATTCTTTTTTTCCAAAATCATTTTCAACTAAAAAATTTTTTTTTGAAATCATAGCGTCTTTTCAGGATGCTTCAAGTAACTGCTCAGCCGGAAGGTCGTTATCCGTTGATGCTTGCGATTGAAATGCACCGCTTGGAAATCGTTCGAAGACTTCTAGAACTTGGTGCCGATCCGGCAGCACGAGATATTAAGGGGAATAATTCATTACATTATGCAGCCTTAGCTTCGGTAACTATGTTAGAATTGCTTTGGGAATTTGATAAGACGCATTCTCTCTTGAATACAACCAATCACGATGGATATACTCCTGTTCTAATTGCAATCCGGAATGCTAATCCACGAATTGTATCAACGTTAATCTCACATGGTGCTGAAGTCAATATTCGTGTTGCTGGGCGATCTCCACTTTTTGAAGCAATGCAAAGTAAAGGGAAATCAGCGGAAGTAATTCGAACATTACTAGAAGCTTCTCCCAAATTGTTACATGAAAAAGATCCAGCCACAGGAAATACAGTATTACATGCAGCACAATTTAAAACACCTCTAATGGGATTGCTATCTCTTAAACACAAAGAACTTAATCTGAATGCACGCAACAATTCTGGACAGGCACCGATTCATATGTACGTCAGTAGAGGTGATGTTGGTTAGTGGTTTTCGTGATCAGCTGTCCTTTCTTCTTGTCAGTTTATTTCCCCATAATATAGGCAATATTTATCTCAGTAAGGTATCAAAACGTGTTTTCATATTTCTTACTGTTTGGAAAAATATTTATGTCAAGAGCAAGCCATCTTTGTTAATTAAAAAATAATTCCTAGGTATGGTTATGACTCTGTCATCCTATAATTGCGACTTGAATGTGTCAGATCGAAGTGGGGATACTGCTCTACATTTATCTGTTTCAAGAAGGGACTTATTAATGACTCGATTACTTCTGTGCTTAGGCGCTGATCCAAACGTAAAGAATAAACATGGTGAGACGCCGAGGCATCTTGCTTCCAAACTTCAGGAGTAAGTTTAGAGTTTGATGATTATAAAATTTTATGAATAAAGTATGTCTTCGTGAATTTGTTTCGCAGAAAGGTTGCTTTCAGGTGGGATTTAGTGAAGAGTCTTGCAATTTGCGGTGCACGCCGCTGTGAAAGTGAAGGAAAAAGTGGATGTGTTTCTGGATGTGTGAACGGCAAGAAATTGGACGAAATGAAAGATGCTTCGTGGTCATTGATAGAAAGCGCTGAAAATTATATAATTCCTCGAACTGGTAGTTCTGCTTTCATGGATGATCTGGAAACATCCGTAGATGTTAAAATTAGCAACTCTATTCAGGATTTTAAGCAGAAGGTTCGTGTGTATTGTACTTTATGTACAATAAACGGTGTTATACTTTATGGATTTACTGAAATTTGGGATTTTTCTAATACTTATTTTTCCCATTATTGCTATATTTTAGTTTTGTTATGAACGCATGATGAAAAAATTGGAAGAATTGATGACAAAGAAAGAAACTCCGGATTTTGTGAACTTATTGTCACTTGATGGTGGCGGGATTCGCGGTCTTGTTATCATACAAGTAATAAGTGTTTCTTTTTCATGTTTTTTTTATCATTTTCTATCAGTAGTCTGCAAATGTTCCTTTACTTATAAGTGAGCTTAAAGTTGGGCTGTAGTGAGAACGAAGTGAATTAAGTGATGATTTAATTGTTTCAGATGTTGCTGGAACTTGAAAAAGTTATGGGAGAACCATTTTTTTCGTATTTTGATATGGTTGCTGGTACTTCTACAGGTGGAATCATTGCTGCTGCTTTGGCTTTAGGTTTGTGTTAATTATTGACATAAGATGATTAAAGTTGCTCCAAATTTCGCTCAACGATGTAGTAATTCTCATGACTTAATTACTCATTTCGGCACATTACAGTTTGCTAATTAATATTTTGTTTGCAGGGAAAACATTGCGCGAATGCCAGCAAATTTATTTGCGGTTGAAAGATCTTATTTTTGATAGCTGGAGCCGACCGTATAATACGGCTTTATTAGAATTATTCATACAAGCAGAAGTTGGCACAAATATGACTCTTGCTTCTATACCGTGGCCTAAGTAAGTATAGACTCCCTTCTTTCTATGCGATTCATGTATTTAATATTTTTTAATGTTACAACAATGTATAAAATTTATCATATTTTCAAGAATGATTTTGACAACAGTACGAGCTGATTGTTTCCCAGTACGTTTAGAATTAATGAGAAATTTTCGACTACCGTTGTCAGACGAAGAAAATTCATCACTCGGATACACCGATCCCGCTGGTATGTTATATTTCGTGGATCCTTAGATTTCGTCTGTTTTGTTAAGAGTTTCTGTGTATTATGCAAGCAATGATAACATTTGCAGATACTTTACTGTGGAAAGCTTTGCGTCGAACTTCAGCAGCACCAACATATTTTAGTTCTGTTGATAATAGATATATTGATGGTGGTATTATTTCAAATAATCCAGCCTTAGAACTGCTTTCTGAATTAGCTTTTTGGAATACTACGAAGCATTTTTTAGTAGGTTCACAGGTTTTAATTATTGTGTACTTTTATGTTTCGAGTACTAGATCCAAATTTCAAAGCAGTTGTGGTTTTTTAATTTATAACGTCCTGAACGCAGAAAATGCTCAATTAATTGTGTGCTTTTTTCGTCCTTTTTTTTTGACGTGGCAAAAAGTTGAATATCACTATATGCACTTAATTTTTAAATATTTTCCAGACAAGTTCAGAAAATAACTCTGTACAGCTGGGATGTTTATTAAGCGTTGGCACCGGTGCTATCCCAACAATGCCTTTATCAACATCGAATTTAGAAATTTCATCAAATCCCTATTCTTCTGCTGTTGCCATTAAGAATCTGGGAGTTATACTCGTCGAGCAGGTTTTTTAGGCACTAAATGTTTTAAGTTTTACAATTTTTCGACATAGTCTTGGATGTAGTATGGTGCGTTGTGGACAATAAAACTTGTTAGCTCTATTTTCCAGGTAACAGCAACGGAAGGAGCGCCAGTTGAGCGGGCTCGTTCTTGGTGTCACAATATGAATGTGCCGTTTTTTCGACTCTCCGCACCACTTCATAAAGATATTCCGATGGATACGCGGGATGACACTGATATAGCACGTATGATGTGGGATTGTGTACAGTATTGCAACACGATGCGTTGTGAAATGGAGAAACTGAGTGGACTTCTTAGAAAGGTTTGCCACTAATGGTCGCTATAGAAATATTGATATAACGTGGAATAGACGTGGAATAAATTTTGAAGGTATTCCGGGGCATTTGATTATATTAACCCCAAAAGTTCATTTTCATCAAATAAATTAAAATATTTTCAAGTTCGATGCACATTCATGCAGACAAAATATATCAGTATGCTTTATTCCATTAATTTATGTGGGTCCTAGCATCTTTAAGTGAATTGAAAAGTGATTCAGTATTTGTTAAAGCTGGGACCCTCTTGGCGCAGACGACATCTTTTCGAAGTCAGGAAAGGTGAAAATGACCAGGGAATGCAAACGACTGATCGTTCGGATTTGCTTTAATTGAGAATCCATTTAATCTGTGTTCATTTTGACTTTTTCATTTCATACATCTAACTCTGAGTATTTATTTGCTGATGTTAAGGTCCATTAGTTAATCGATCTGGATTGAACCACTAAAATATGTTCAATTTTTAAGCTGTGTTTGTCGATGAGTCTTTGATCTGGATGTGAGTATTATGCTGAAACAGACTGAGACTATTATCGTAGCTGACAAAGTTTTTGCTCACATGAACCCCTGAAATTCATTCCGGTGTTTTTCAAGTCTCGGTTTCTATTCTGGGTAGACCATCTTAAAAATGACCCTTATTTCTATTGTTGTTTTATCAGACTATTTTTCTTAGACTTTCTCAGTTTTTATGTGGTATTGCAGGTTTACGTTTATCTTTACTAGTCATTCTACTGTTTTTCTCTCCTTATTACGTGTTTTGTTGTAATCAAGTTCTGTTTTCAAGAGGAAAAGTTTTTATAATAATATTTGGTTGTTTTTATTATCACTCAATCCGTTAACGCTTTTGCTTGTTCCTTCACTTTCTGTATTTACTGATGAAGTCTTTATTTAATGGAAGCTGTTTATGAAATGGTTACCAATGTGTTCTAATATTTTAATAATGGTTTGCGTTATTTCGAAACTGGTTGAAAAAAGAAGTATAATGTATTTTTCTGATTGTTATAAGCTTTTGTGATATGTATTTTATTTACCGGCCGCAGAGGAATTGCAACCGTGTAAAATTTTCATGATTGGTTGTGTTGACGTCTGAGTTGAGCAATGAATGGTCTTCTATTTTCGCATTTTTTTTTTATATATTTTTGATGATTTTACGCTCAAAATATCCGAATTAAGATCGTTTAGCATCTCAGTTGCTATTCTTTGAAGAACTGTTTTATTATGTAAGTATTTGCATCCATATGGGAACTTCTTTTCCTTCGTTCTTTATTTTCCTACAAGTCAATCAAGATTTTTTGTAAAGTTTGATGTGAATATTTTGATTGTTTAGTATATTTATCTGAGACTTTTGAGAGCTTTGCCTTTTATCTGTTACTAAAAATATTTCTGTTGTTTATTGCTAGTTTCACTGCGTGTAAGAAAATTCTGACTAATTAGATTTGTTAAGTATTATAATCCGAGAATTCTGAAATGAATTACTAAAATTCGTTCAGTGGTGATCATTTTCTTTTATTCCGTTTAGGGAAAAGGTTGCTCATTGCAACGTTTTCTTTGTTATAGTTGTAAACTGCCTTTAATCTTCGATTAAGTAGTGGAAGTTCTTCTGTTGTAGCGGATTATTCTTACTGAAAAGAGTATTATTGTTTTAATCTGCAAATGAAATTCTGTTGTTTTCAAATATCTTGTGCTGTGGCAAATGCTGTAAGTGTGGAACGGATAATCTAATTAAGGTTATTTGTAAACATCCTGTCAAAAGAGATTGAGAAACCCTTGTTTACGGGTATCGAGGGTTGTTGCTGTTAAGTGATGGAAGTTGTAAACTACTTTTAAGTCAGGGAGACCATAAGAGAGATTTATTATTAGTTGGTACTGGTGATGTATATTCAAAGATAAAGTTCCTGGGTACAAGTTTTCAACTATATGCTTTTGGAAGTTGGTTTTCTTTTTTCTGGAGAGATTTTGTCAGGAATTTATCTCTGGCCATTATGGTTTATGCCATTCGACCTCCCTTTTACTGCGGGAGCGCTCAACTGCTGCATATCATAGAGTGACATTGTGTCGAATGCTATTGATGATTGATATTTGTGACCTCTGCACTTGCAGTGCAGCTTCTCTCTTTTATAGCAAGTAGAGAACGTTGCACGCAGAATGCACCTTGAATATTTCATCTAATTGACATATTTGTTGTCCTTTTAAAAAAGCTCATTCAACAATTTTTTCCAGTTTTAGTTACGCTTCTGCGTCGATTGATTCCTTTCGCTTTCATAATCATAGTGTAATTGGATTGATGTCGACAGTTATTGATTCTACTTTTGTTATATTACATTTACATGTGAATGCGAAAAGAAAGGCAAGAAGTTTAATCGAGATAAATTATTTACCATTTGAAATTGTTTTCCGAAATTTCCATGTGGAAGTAAGGCTGTGCAGAGATTGGAAGTCAGCTACTTTCAATCACTTAAGATAAAGATGTGATAACATAAAATAGTTGTTTATCTAATTGCCATTTAGTAGTTCAATTTGGAGAGAATGAGAGCATTGAGAGGAAGCAGAAAGAAACTCGGGGTTGTTTTTTCTTAGCAACTTGTAACAGCTGACTATTCTTGATAAACCTCATTTATTTTTTGGTGTGCCACACACGAAAGGACATTTATTCGGTTTAACGAAGAAAATTTGGAAATGTTAAATGAGCCTATATTAGCCTATGTTACCCGGCACAAATGCATTGAGCAAACAGAAGGTGGTTCATTAATAGCTTTGTCCCCCTTCTGTCCTTTCCCAGTACTTTATTCCCTCAATTCTTTTATATCATCGCGCTTGCTACTTCTCCTTTCCATCCTTGTCTTTGACTTTCCGTTTTTACATAAATTTTGTTTCTTAATCCGTCCATTTTTCTAATGACATCCTAACATTCACATTCACATTCACATTTACAGCATTCGATAAGACTAGACTAGACTTGTTGATCCTAGCAAACTAACAATCCGATTACAAAAATGTTTTTATAGGTCAGTATGCATTCGAGGGATTATTTACGCTTTTAATGATTCTTTTATTGCGAGTGACTTTTTTGTGTAGAATTTTTTTTAATTGTGCACTTATCATTCATCCTTTAAGGAAATGGGAAATGGGCAAGTATTGCGTTCATCTCTCAATTAAAGTTTGAAAGCAGTCATTGGTGAAAGATTCTAGTTGCTTTACGAGGCTGAGTACAAACTTTCTTATCATTTACTTTTCTTCCATTTTAGTGTTTTCTGTATTTTTTGAAATTTTCCGATCTTTTCGTTTGAGAAAATTTTCACTTTTGAGATATTAAAATGTTTTCAAATAATTAAATTTATATATATATATATGAAAAAGTAGAGGAAAGGCAGTCAAAATCAATAACACTATTTATGCATGTGACTATATACGTGTATATAAAGATGAGTAGTTTGAGAGCGTTAAGACCTTAATAAACGTTGTTCTCTTCCATTTCAGCTAGCCAATTAGGCTCGCCCTCGCCCTATGCAGCATTACTATCACAAATGCACTTCTGCTTAGGCTTTTTCAGCCTTATGAAGTAATTTATTATGTGGGAAAAAGTCTTGCACTCCTTTTCCCTAACTTTTCCTTTGCTCTTCCATCGTTCTGAAAATTTAGATCGTGAGATTTTTGAATTTTTACTACGATTCTTAAAGTCTTTGTAATTTATAGAATTTTAAATTTACAATTTTTTAAACAGTATGATAATTCTGGATCAATATCCATCTTTTATCAATATCCATTTTCAATTACAACTAGATGCTCTCAAAACGACCATGTTATGAGCAGGCAGCAAACCTTCAATTTTATTTCTGCGCATGTTACGCAGCTATTTAATGTCTTAAGCAAATGTTTTGAAATATAGCATTATGAAGTACAGGCTTAACTATAATTCATTATCATTAGGTATAATTTCAAGGTCAGTACCATCTGATGGATTGTTGTGCTTTTTCATTCAACATAATTATCACGATTTTCCACAGTTTGGATGTGCAAGTAGTAGCTTCGGAAGTATTGAAACATGCCGGGTACGTCCGCTTTTTCTGGAAAATGCACTACTATATCAGACATCAGATTGTTTTACTTAAAGCTCTGAGTCTTTCCCTATTTTGGCATCTACTCGATCATCAACAACGCGTCATCGTGATTAGAGATTAAAGATGAAATATTGTTTCAAAATATGCTACTGATTACCTGACGAAGTAACAGTATGGCATTCATTTTATGAAATATAAAAAGTACAGAAAGGAGAAATATTGAATTCTAAACTTGAAAGATTAAAACTTTCATTTTTTATATTCAAATAATTCATTGACTGTTCAAAAATCATCCCACACAAGTCAGGATAGATCGTGCTGATTGTTAACTAAGATTTATTCAGCAGCGGAAAAAATAGACTTCCTCCTCTCACACATAAATTAATTCTAGTATTGATCATAATTTTGATCGTAGTGCACATATCGAGTAGATTTAACAACGAAAGTTTTTTTCATCTTCTTGTATCATTAGGCCTCATTGCATTAGTTTTTAACTCGTTTGCACTCAGTAAATTTCAAACAAATATTGCGTTATGCACCAAACATAGTTTGTTACCATTTTGCTAACTTAATCTTTTTCCACTATCCGAGATTTTAGATTTTTAAATTAATCCAATGTTCATTTTATGCATTCCATTGAATTTATTCTCTTCAAACTCAATCAGTTTAGAAGTGAATCATGAAAGAACAGACCTTTTTAAATATCATCAAATTTAAATATACTTTTTATCAACTCTTTCTTACATATATATAAAACAAATATTTTTAACAAAAACATTAGTAATAATGTATAAACAAAGGTAATGGTGAATGAAAGGAATAGTAATTCATGCATAATTTACAATGTCCAATCAGTTTAACGATGTTTTTATCTTATTGTCTATTGATGCTTTTATTACTCTCTAAATAAACCTGAAACATTTATCTGTTTTGATAAATTTGAATGAATTATGCAATTTATTGCTTTAGAAGAATATATATGAAAATGTCCAATATAGAGTTAACATTTAAAAGTTAAAATTATTATTTATAAAATTGGTCATGTGTATTATGACTTCAGATAATTCTGATTTATATTTTAGCATATTATTTTCAAAAAGTTTCTTTTATAAAATTTCTTGTAAAATTCTGTAGAACGATGCTGTGAATAGTAATGTGAAACATATTGTTGCCGGAATTTTATACCTTACTTGCAGCTTTTTTCCTGTTAACGAACGGTGATGCTTTTAAATACCCATTTGTCTCCAATCTTTCGAATGAATAGAAGATGATATTTGATTCAAATATCATCTTCTATATCTGTTCAAAGTTGAGGAGTTTCATATTTCGATTGTTTTTGTAGTTTTTTCTTTTTTTTTGAATATCCAAATTTGATCTGGAGTTGCAAGTTTCGAGTTCGGAAATGTATGGAGCAAACATTTCTGAAAAACAGAAATTTTCTGTTGAAAAAAGTAATGCATGTAATGATGCTTTTATATTCATTACTTTTGATTAACACCATTTCAGGATTTAGATTAGTTTCACTAATCCTAAAGAGGTCAAGTGGCGCAAAAATTTATGGTGTATGCAACAGTTTCTGGAATATTAGAAAAATTTTAGCAGTCAAAAACCATAATTGCCGAATTCTAAGAGGATGTCATAAAAATTTGTCGTACAGCCTTCATAGTTGGGATCTGAAAGGGAATTTCTTAGACCTCAAAGTATTTACAGTATCCCTTATTGTGTGTTCCATCGGCCTGCTAATCGACAATGTATGAATGAATGATTTGTATGACAAACGTTTGTCATACAAATCATTGATCATCCTGCTATTCATAAAAACAATAGAGTTCTGGATTCCATGATTACTTCATTTTCCTTCACCATAGCTATCATCGAGAGCGGGAATTACTTGCATCAAATGACACTAAGCTATTAAGCTTTACCGATTTAACTCATCTTAGGAATTAGATTAACAAGAAGTAGGTTTGCTAGCTGTTCTAATGATGATCTATACCGAGGATACATGCTGCATTAGATTGAAGTTTTTCGTTCCTACATCCATACCACATCCAGAAAGAAGTGGAAATTGGAAATATTTTTAATCCTGAAGTTAAAGACGGAATTGGCTATTTATCTCATTAATCAATGACCACTGACTTCATTTAATATACATATACATGGTCACATTCACACTCATTCTCTGAACAATCTGCTTCATAGCAATTCAATAAATTAAGCTTCTCTTCAACTTCAAATTTTGACTGGATTTTGAAATTTCTGAATCGGCGCTTTGATTTAACAAATCCTGAACTTGAACTTTTAATTTACTGTTCTCAGTCTTTTCATCATCGTGAATCGTCAAACTTGAAGATTTCCAAAGCGATAACTCCGACTGTATTATTTCAAAATTCTCCTTCCTCTCCTATTTTGTTTTCTTAAATTTGAAATCTCAGAATTAAAACAATCTTAAATTCGGGAAAAATAGCTGTAAGCTAAGGGAAAAGCAATTGTAAATTAAAAATGACTTTGGCAATTGCTCAAATAATTTATCAACACATGATAAGTTTTTTGAAATATTCTGTTATCTTAATGTTTTATTCAAAAACTCTCTATAAGAAGTTAATTTTTTTTCATTGCTTCATTTAATGCCCATAGCTAAGAGGTTAAATTAAATTTAAATTTATTAGTATTTTTCGTAAGAAGTAGATGAAAGTACTGTAAAGTAAAAAATATCCATCAAATATGAATGATCCTTGATAATCGACCAGATTTTTACGCTATTCACTTTTTAATAAACGTCACATTTTAATTTCTTTTAAATTATTAGTTTCCAAGTTTTTGTTTTTTTGTTTTTTTATTTGGATCTTGTTTTATTCAAAAGATTGCGAAAAACTCTGGTAAGAAATATATGTAAGAGTAAAGATAGCATAGAGCACAGAAAGTAGCACGAAAATCAATATACCATAAGTGACAGAATAAGCTATAATTCGTCCACAACGTTTTAGTACCCGCGTATTGCATCGTAGCATCCTACGAAGCATTCTGCGTGATCGAAACTTTTGCTCATTTCCAACGGTCTCTGGACGCGTGGGCTTTTCACGTCGAGACTTTTTTGCGCGCCGAGGCATCGCTTACAATTCATAAAGTTTCATGGCTATCAGGAAATTAAACTAATCACAGCATAAAGTAATGGATGGATTATAGAGGTTTCATTTTTTGAAATGAATAATTGAGCATTGCCTGCTACAGCAGATCATAATTTGTGCGCCTTGAATACATTTCTAGAAGATAAGAAATAAAGATGCGAAATTTTTTGATTAAGTATAAATTTCGAAATCTTAGTATAAAGTCATATGACATAAATTTTACTTTTTCTGAAAACTCAAAATGAATTGAAATTTGTTGGAGCGAATTAGGCTAATTTAATGATATGTGGTCTGATAGATAACACGATACTACTCATCAGGCCACTTGATTTACTAGTTATCTGGTCTCATTAGGCTTTATCAAACGTCTGCGATTTTTCGTCATGCCACAGTTAAACATGTCACAGTTAAAATTCATCGTTTTTTTACATGCATATATTGCCGGATTTTACTTACGAATCAGGTGTACTCATTCATCCATTTCTCACACAAATGAACTTCACAAATTGCTAAATTACTGGAGCTGATTCTGACTTCGTCGAAATCCTGTTTCATTTATTTATTTACAAGAACCTGCAATCTGTTACCAGCAATGCAGCATTGTTCTGATTAATTATCACTTCGGTTAAACATTGTGAGTAATCAGATATTTCGGGCGCAATTTCCAACTTTCCCACATTCACTATGATTACATCAAGTATTCCAGGCATTGTTTCACATCTCTTTCTCCATATATTCGCTAGACTTACAAAGCTATCATTCTGTAATCTTTCTATATTCTTTATTTTTCACCTTGATTATCTCATGATATCATTTTAATTTTGATTTTAAAGTTTCAAAATATTTTAAATTATCCACACTTTCCACCTCCTTTCTCATTTTCGATCATGTTTTCATAACAGATAAGTTCCCATAGTGTTGCTTCATCAATTAATAAAATGACCAGCGATTTCTTCCCAATTTTAGTAATTACATAATCTGTGCTTCTTCTCAGTTGGATGATTCCTCAGTTTTTGCTTAAATGTAATTTGTGTGTGATCCTGTTTTATTGATCCTTTGACCTTCATAGTATCATATTTTTAGCTATAGATAGTTCGTTCCTATTCGCTACCTGCAGCAAATCTTATCCGAGGCATCTGCAACAATCAAATGATATTCTGTTTCCCTTTTTTGAAATTTCTTGAAGTTATGAAATTAAAAAGGAAGCATTGATGATCAATAGTAGCATGCCAGTTTTGATCATGCTAGTTTTACAAGTAAAATAATGAGGAATGTTAGGGATAAGTGAAAGCCTGCAGCCAGATTGAGCTTGAAAGAAGGAGTGAAAATGGTTTTGTTAGCTGTGAAAGTGAAGTACATTTGTGACTAATGCCTGCGGCTAGAAAAAAAAAGCTGGTGCAAAACGTTTTCATGGATGAGCCTTTCATCGGTCAATCTCATCATGTCTAAAATATATGGAAAAAAGCTCTGTACACCTCCATGAAGGTAACCTCCATGTTATGTCTACAGCTATTATCCTTAAAGGCCTTCTTCGTCCTGACGTCTGCTGTGAAACTTTTAGACTTTCTTCAACTCCAAAAAAATAAATAAACAAAAGTTGTTTATGACTGGAATAAAACATCTCTCCTACGTAGTAAGTTTCCTTATTTTCATTATTATAATGTCAATGTTTGCTCCCATTTCGATTTTCGTTTACGATATCGCCAAAGTTCCTGAGAAAATGAACACCTCCCTTTATTAAGAGACGTTATTTGTCGCAGATGTTATTGAATCTCATATTACCATTTCTATTTTTGATATGTTACTCGCTTCAAATTCAGTCTATCGAAATTTTATTTTTTGCACATTTTTTTCCCATTGATTTCGGTAATAAAAAATGAAGTGTCGTATATCGTTAAGGAAGGTGTTTAAGATTTAAAAATTTTTAAGTTAGGTTATTCTTCTACGAATAACATCAGAATGATTTTATTTCTGATTGCTTGATTGCTGAAGCATTTAGCGTTTGAATTGAGTGGACGCGTTTTTTTATTCTCTCAACATTTTTATTATATTTTGATTGTAATTTCTTGTGATACTTCACAGCTGGTACTGTTTTTCGAAAAGCTCAGATCATTAAACAAATCTTCCATTCATATTTGTTGAAAATTCTAAGCTTATTCTATATTTCCAAAAATATTATACTAATTCTTTCAAAATTTAATCTGTACGTTACTGAGAGTGAACTCTTCTCGAATGAAAGTTACAACGAATATATCTAGCAAATGGTTAATATCGATAAGCAGTCGGTCTTTACTGCTGACTAACAGAAATTCTTCAACTATATTATTCCTAATCAAATAACAGCAGTCGATAGCCAGATGATGGGCTAATAATGTCCACAGGTATATCGTTCGCAACGGACATGTTAAACTCTTTATATCTTATTAATGAAGATTTTGGAAAAAAACTGCACTAATTCAAATGAATTACATAAATTTGGTTGATTCAAAATATACCATTGAATAAATCACTTGTTGTTGTTGAAAAATGCTAATATAAGAATAACAACATATCAGTCAGATAAAAAAAAATATCATTTATTTTTGTTGAAAAAGCTGGCATTAAAATAACATCGATAAGATGAAGCCAACCGTAATGCATTTATTTTTTGCAATTGCTGGTTGAATTTCAGTAAATTGATCAAGGATAATAATTTGTATGAGGTTATTAAGCAGATTCCATTTCCACTTTTGTTATTTATTAGGAATGAGCATTGCCTTCGCTGGAGAATATTGACCACAAGTATTTATCTCCTTCTTACTGCACTGAGATATCGACCGATATGTTGTTCCTTTTAAGAACTTTCTGTGTTTTGTTCCTCATACTCACTTTTCCTCATTGTCAGCTTTATTGGATTTTTTTTTTTTTGAATTTTTCATTCAAAACTTTTTTACGAAATTCTAAATGACAATCCCTTGCTTATTCTATTATTAATGTTTCTTTTTCTTAAATTTTGATTTAGAAGTCTTTTGAAACAATTATTATGAATTGGAAGCTAAATTCAGATAAAGCTTCCTATCGTTTCTCGCTCATTTTTCGCTACAACAAGCATTTTTTTAAGTCAACACTTAAATGAATTTCTCAAAAATTCTGTGAAAATTCGTGTGAAGACTTTATCAATTCAGCTAGTATTATTGAGTTGTCAGCAAATTTGAATATTTTCCGATGAAAATTGAATTTGCTCTACTGCTATTATTGAGCAGTATCACAAGTACATTGCAGGTTAGTTATTTTACAACTCAATTTTTTAACATGCAATTGATTCATCGTTTTGTGAAAGTGCAAGAAAATGATGCGAACAATGAGAAGAAAATCCAATGATTTTTATGGATTAAAATTGAAATTTATAAGATGAGAATTTACCCTTAGTACCATTTGAAGATATGCGATTATATAACATTGGTGAAGTGTTTCATAAATATCTTGGATGAATGGGCATGGACATTATATGAATTGAAAGATAATGTTGTTACAATCAATGAAAATCAGTGTGAACATCTAAGGCAACTCGACTTATGTATCAAAGTAAGCCTTTTTTCTTTGAATTCTATGGATCCTCAGTTGGATCCGTTGGGAGTTGACAGCTGGAATTACACGGTATTTATTATTCCAAAAAATCTTTAGATTTTTTTTTTAGAGTTTTCATAATTTTGTACACGGTACAACAGTAGCACTGTTATACCGTGTACAAAAATATGAAAAAAATCTAAAGATTTTGGAATAATAAATATACGGTATAACAGTGGCACTGTTATACTGTATATTCTAATTTAGCAGTTATCTAATTAATTTGTTGAAAATTCCCAAAAAATAGGGATTTTTTTTCCCTTTTTTTGAAGGATGAAAGAGTACACGTGAATGCTACCTTAAGAAACTATACTTTAACAAATTTTCTTATAGTTTGAAAATTGAATGCTTGGTGCATTAGTGAAGTGTATAAGGATGCAAGGGAGATTGATTAGGCCACTAAACTAACACATTGGGTGAACAATACGAGTAATTGCAGTGCTAACAAAACCTGCAATTAACTAGTATTGTTCAACTGACATCTAATTAACTATGTGACACAATGCCGAAGGTAGGGCAATTAACGCAATCTATATATTTGTGTTGCAATTGCCCTTAAGTTGTAGATTTACGACCTATTATCTTGAATTCTAAAATGTTAATGGGAGAATAAATGGATGTGGAAGGTGAATTTGTCATAGCTGGCTGTTGAATAATTACTGCTTAGTTCTTCTAATTAGGAATATCCGTTTTCAAGAATAAACGTTGCTTTCTTCCCGCGATAATATCGCAGAAACACTTCAAATTTGCGCAAATGACATGTTACACTAATTTGTAATTTGTTCCTGTTTACATCCTAAATTGGAATGCAAATTAAGATAGGTAGAAGAAGGTTGGATATAGTTTAGGTGTTATGATGCCTGAAATTTCAATATTTCAACGGTGTCATAAGCTGTTCTTAATTCCGAACGAAATTTCATAAGAAGAATTTATTGAGTTTGAATATTATTTACTATAACAAGTAATGTGATAAATCACTTCGCTCAACATATCATACATGTTGTATGCATAAGTTTCGAGGATAACTTAAATGCTTTGTAGCTTCAGTAGCGATTTTTCCAATAGCTTTTACAGGCATAACTTACATAATTTTAAATATTCGTTAGATTTGGAAGAATGTTATCTTAATTAAGTCTATCAGAGAATAGGTTGGTACATTGAACAATTTACTGCTTATTTGAAAAAGAAAGGAGGAATGAGTACATATATATATATATATATATATGTCTTTTTAGAGTATAATGAGTGTGCGAAAAAAAATTTTGTGTTGCGAAAAAAAGTTCCTGGTGGAAAAGAAATGTGATATTCAAGTTCTATGATCTGAAATAAGGAATATTCAAGTTCTATGATCTGAAATAAGGAATATTCAAGTTCTATGATCTGAAATAAGGACAGCAAAAGAATTATGATTATTAGATATTTTATTTTATCCCATATTTATTAGGAAGGAAAACTTCAGGATGCTGGACCAGTTAAGCATGAATGCGAGCATAATGAAATTGTCGCTGCATCAAATACAGTAAGCGATTTGTTGATACATCGGAAACATTCAGGCAGCTTTTTGAAGAGTTATTATCTCGTGACATATGCTTGTTCACAGGTTAGTTGAATCTGATTTTTGAAGCGACTTGGCCTATTTCTGTGAGAAAGAATAGAATATCATAGGCTTTCATTTAATTAAATTCTTTAACTGAATTCTTCCTTTATAAAAAGGAAAAATTATTTATTTTTCTTGAACATTAAACCTTTATTTTTCAACCAACTGCGTATTCGATAGCATATGAAAGTTTTAGATTTAATTCTATTTCCATTTTAATTTCTTGTAATGTTCTAAACGGATTTTATTGGCATTTTTTTTTACTTAACAGGAAGGGCAGGAAATATTGAGAGAACATCGCGAATGTTTGACGGAAGAACGAATAGGTGAAATGACATTGAGTGCTGGAACTTATTTATCCGAAAAATTTTTGGAGCATCCCGATGATCAGGTTAACGTTTGATGGAGTAGTAGATTTTTGAGATTGTAATAAATTTAGTAAAAGGAAAGCAATAAATACAGAAGAAACGTAATGAATAATTACAAACTTTAAATCTTTCATTTAATTTAATTGTTAATTCAATGAAAAAATTTTACTGATCAGTTTATAATTGATCTTTAGGTTTGCCAAGAAGTAAACAATAAATTGCAAGAATATATCAGTGCAATGAAGGGAATTTGTAGATCAGAAAGTGCACAAGTAATCATGTGTAAAAGCTTAAGAAATATGTTCAAGGTTACATATTATTTAATATCTTTGATAGCAAAATTTACTCATAATAGAAGGAGAAACTACTTTTTGATAATTTCATCTGACATTACAATCAAAATGTTCGTCTTTTTTTCAGGGTTTACATGCAGATAAGTTGCATTCCTGCGAATTTGACTGCAATATTCCACAACTTGACGAGGTGGCTGAGCGAGGACTGGCCTCAATGGTAGATCATGACAAAGCAGTAAGTGGAACAGCAGGGGAAGGTAGCCTGATTCCTGAAGCAGTTCATGAGCATGCTGCTGCAGCAACTGCAGATAGTCCTGCACCGGAAAGTCATTCGCTAAATTCTTCTTCTTCCCCATCGATATGCCTCATTCACTCCTTTTTACTTCTGCTCATATCCATTATTTTCTCATAAAAACTATTTGTTTAGGTAATTAGTCGTATCCTCAAACTTATTTGATGCCATAAGTATAACATCTGTTATTCTGCTGATAATGAAAACATTACATAAATGCCCCAAATTTTCAGATTTCAGTTTAATTTTTTAAATTATTTCACATCAAGTATTCATATGAATACGTGCAACTTGTACATAGTATCCTGCGATCAGCGGGACGATTTGAACTGATGCGCTACAGCTTTAACATGGGGTTTTACATTGTGAAGTGACTGTCAATGATGCTTAAGAAAATCTTTGATTCACGCACATTTTTAACTCAAATCAGTGGTTCAAAATTAAGTTAATTATTTGTTCCGAAAAATGATTATTAATATGACCGACTTCTCATTAATAATTCTAGAATTTCGAATGTGAATGAGGAAGCCAACTACGTTTATAATTTCAAAATGATAGAATGAATGCTAAGCTGATAGCTGACTAAATAAATATTACTGAATTTGTTTCTATGACACAACTTTCGAATAATGTCCAAGCTTAGACATGGCTTATCAAAACAGCAAATCAATCTCATCGGTCAATTTTTTGTCTCTCTTGAATTTTAAAACAATTTATATCGTCATGGATTTTAATTTCGTGTTTTGTACCACGTAATTTCCTCCCGTATGCATATTAAACGATTCCCTCTCACACTTTTATCATGTCATTTCCTCAAAATTTGCTTTTTCTCATATTTTCTTCATATAAATATAATTATGTATGCATGTGTATTGTGTGATGAAAAGAGCCATAGCCTCTGCAAATCATTAATTCTTGCTCGATAAAGCAATATTGAATATCTCATACTAAAGAAACCTCCCTTCTTTTTACCTTATATAGGTATGCTTTCTGGTTTAAGAAGAATCTTCAGCGCATTCGCTTTTAAACAAAAAAGCCAATTTGAAAAATTTAGACTCATTTCTTAATTTTCCTTAATTCTTTAGACTCATTTCTTAATTTTCCCTAATTCATAGCACATCTGTCCACGAGCCTTCCTAACATCAACCGAACAACAATGCACATTTCTCCAAGCAATGCACTACTGCTTGCTATTCGCTTTACACAGAAGTGGTAATATTAATTTCCGACCTATCTATTCATCATCCACAATTGCAACAAAATTGTACGATAGAAGTCTTTCAATCCAGTGTAAAAATTATCTCTTTCCGTTGTTGCAAAAACAAATCTTATAAATTCCCCTATGGTTGGGAATATTTCGAAACGTGCCGCATTGACACCGATAGTAATTATACTATGTTAACCACACTTCCAGACTTTCAAACATCTTTGTACTGAAAGCAATCTTTGAAATTAGCAACAATTAAAATCTGTTCTGCGTAATGCCTAACCTCATTCTGAAATTTTTTTCTGTACTCTCTCAAAAACACTGAAAAATGTAATTCATTGACAGGAGAAAGATTTGAAAAAATGCCAGTGAATAAAAGACTCGTTCTTATTGCACCAAATTCACGCCCGCTTCAATTTACTGTCATGAAGCATTTCTTGCCGATAATTCATCAGAAAACACAGGAACGTAAAACAATATGGGAATCCCTGTACCGCATTTTTTTTCTACAGTGCTAAGCACTTCGAAACAGACGAAACGATGGTATGCTTATCTTAATAGCATTTGAAGCGCTTCTAATCGGACGAAGACCTCAAAGCCATGAATAAGCTCAATCCAACTCAATTCGGATTAATGTCTCGAATAGGTAAATCGTGCAAAGGTTGAGTTATCTGTAGACCAGGAAGGAACAGGTTTACTTGTAGGACTAGGTTCACCGTTGTATAGCAGGAGAGAAGAAATATTTCCTGAAGATCTGGAATTTCTAATAACTGTGATGTGCAGTTATAAGATTGGAATTTACCCACATAACGTAACTACAGTTAAGAATGAATTTGGAACTTTAGAAGTTACGATCAGATGCATAAGGGTTTAAATTCATTCATGCTTTAATATGTGCGATTTAGAAACGAATTGAAACATAAACACTCTCAGCAAATGTATGATGTTTTTCACATTTTTTGAAATTTTTTAACATTTACATATACTTTATGAATGGTGCAACAAAAATGTGAAATCGATAAAATTAAATAAGGAAAACATTAATTCAAAAAATCTACACGAAAATAGAGGGTTAAATGAGTAGAGTAACAAAATAATATAGTCGAGCAATACTAACGAAATGGGAGGTTGATGAGTACAGTACCTCTAACAGTATGATTAAGTGAAGGATTTTTTTTCGGATAATGAAAATAATTGAAAAAAGCAGCAATTAAGATGGAAGTGTCGTCATCCAGCAACGATTATGAATTTAAAAAATTACTGAAATTTTTGAAATTCCGATTAAAGAGAAAATAACTTGGGATGAATAAAAAAAAGAAACTTCGTAAAACAAACAATTAGAAGCGTTGTAATTATTTCTCTAATTCCTCACCTCTTTAAGAAAAAGGGTTAGCAGTATTTCCTTCTTGAATGGAAACAAAACTGTTCTCGAAATATTAGTACATTACTGACAGCATAGTTAAGTGGTGACTTTTTTTGATAATCAACGATCTCTTGGAAGTATATAGAACACAGTAATCCATAAGCTTAGTTAGATTGTAAATTAATTACAAAAATCACTATTTTGAGCATATATGTTTGTGCTGCAGTAAAAACAGGAGCTAGATGCGAATTTATAACTTCAAAAGTTTAAAAATGTAAATGACTACCACATAGTGCAGCAGATTCGGGGAGAGAAGAAAATAATGAAAAAACATATAAATTTATGCTAATATATAAGAACAAGGATCTCTTGTGGAGCTAAAAAAATTATTGGAAACTTCGGAAACATATATTACATTAAAAAATCTATTAAAATCAGTACAAACAAAACACTGGGTACTAAACCGTACTGTTCGCAATGTAAGTAAATTACATGGGATGGCTAATAACGAATTATACGTAGAAGGACTCTACTCACTGAAGACAGCAATTCTGCTTTTCTTGTGGTGGATAATAAGCACGTTGGCCAGTATGTGGTCCCGGAGCACCACCGTACGGCTGCTGCGGTGTATTGCCTTGATAAGTATTTTGATGGCTGCCACTCTGAGGGTAAGGTACCGACTCCGGATAACCCTGTAGCAGTTGCTCTTGAGGATGTGTTGTTTGACCTGGGGGATAAAAGGATTGACTCTGTGAATAAGAGGGATTATTTTGTGGATAAGAGGGGTTATTTTGTGGATAGGGGGAATTATTTTGTGGATAAGGAGCCACATTCTGCTTGTTATCATCTGACACAAAACCAAGACTTGGATAAGATGGTAATAACCCATCTGCAGCCCCTGCTGGATATGGTCCTTGTGGAATAAACGGAGGTGAAGTAGGTTTTTTGGATGCTTCGTCATAAGGAGGTGGTTTAATGCTTTCAAATCCAGTTATTTTCAGAATACGCAGATGTGTTCCGGTTGGCATACCTGGCATTGGCTGATCGAAATCACCCCACAAATAAATATTTCCTGAAAATTTATTACCATTAGATTATTAGAGTGCATGAGTATGACCTAGCTTCAAACATGTTCTCATCGTTACCATAATTACCGGATTAATTCTGAAGACTTGATAAAAGACATGTAAAACAACATCACAAACTGTGAAGTTAACCTGAATCCGCAGTTGTAAGGCGTGGTTCAATCAGAGGGATCGGCATTTTCGCATGCATTTGTTTCCATACAAAAGTTGAAAGATCAAGAAACCAATAATCAACAAGATGAGATACCGAGCCATCATAACTGACCTCGCCACCAGCAAGTATAATGTATCCTGTAAACCATGTACTTCTAAAATCTTTGACAAGTCAAAAACACGTTGCAGGGTGATATTATGAAGATATTAATAGGAATGAAATGAAAAAGACAAAAAAATAACTATTCAACATACCCGCCACAGAATCAATAGCAGCCTGCTTACGAGCACATGGTACACCGTGTAGAGGATCAGGATTGCATATTACAGTACGTAACTGACGCTGTCCTGTGATTTCAAGAACATGGATACGCGAATGATCGAAATGTCCATCAGGTGACTGAGAAAGAAAGTATATTTTCCTAAAAAAGAAAGAAAAAAAATGGTGAATAACGCAAATTAAAACACTCTAGCATAAAATTTAAGGCAAATGAATCCAGAGTTCCATGAAGAATAAAAATAAATACCATGAGGAATATAAAATGCAGAACATAAATATGTTGTCGAAAATTTCATTTCTTTTTTAACAAAATTCAACGTTTTAAGTGGTTTATGTCGAAAGCGTGAAGAGAGAAATCAAACCCTTGACTTAGATAAACATCGTAAAAATGATTGAGATCGCCCTCTGAGATTGAGAAAGATTCGATTGGGCTGGAAGGCTGCTCGCTAAGACAGTTGATTCGCCAAATAGTAAGACCAGGAGCAGTAATCACCACAATTTCAGGTGCATCTTCACGCATCGAAACGATGAATGTATCATCACTGATTGTTATGAAATTTGATAATAATGCTTTCGGCTCGCTTTCCAAATTCATCCCATCACTTGTCAAATTAATTTTGTAGAGCAATAACTGAAAAAGAGAACGAGTGCCTAGCTGAAATTGAAAAGAAGAAACTTGAAAATTAAGTTATTTGTAACTAACTGGTATGTTAATAAGTTGAGTCTCCCTCATAACTGGTTATAGTTCTCCGAACTGTTTTTCCATGCTTTTTTTTAACAAGATTTCTAGCAGTTTTTATATAACTGTAGTCTTTTGCATCTCTTATCCATATGCTCCTAAAACTTCCATATTTACATGCATTCAAAAAAATTTTACTTAAAAGTACAAAAAGACAACAACTAACCCCTGTTTGATTATATCTGTTGGCTGTACAAGCAACGACAAATGATGAACCTCCAGAAGATGAAGGACACTTCAATGCAAATAAGAATTTTGGTGTTCCTAAAGAAATCACAAATATACTATGCAGGAAAGCATGCAAGTATTACTAAAGTTTTAAAAGCTTTTAAACAATTAAACCTGCAACTTGTACCTTCACAAAAGACAGGTATCTCTCGAGTAAAGCACCGTTGATACAAATCGAAAACAACCAAACCTTGGTTGCCTTTACGTCCACCACTAAAAAAGCAAGAAAATGAATACAGGTCTCAGCTACCAATATTTGACATGTGATATAAAACTGCAATTTCATTAGTAATGCTTAATGAAACTGGAAAATCCTCTCGCTTACGTCGTCCCTGAATTTTCATCTGCAACCGGATCATAAAGAAAGTACAGCTTGGAGTGGTCGAAACCTTCTTGAACATCTTGAAACACTGCCATACGCCATCGGCCCATCTGTATGTCCAGAGGATCCGGTGCCCTACCCCATGGCACTGTAATGTCTTCAGTATTCACTTGCATACCTCCCTCAAAATGACTTGTTGAATTTGTTCCTACTCCTGCATTTTATCACTCAAAAATTATACCGTCACATCACGAATAACGAAGATATGTAAGACATAGAGGAAAAATTATCAGATTATAACGAAAGCAAGATGAAGCTGACTTGGGTGACTTGCAGGGTCTAAGTGATTTCCAAACATCAGCCAAGTTCATACTACAGAAATCAACATTCTTTAGCCTTTATGTGTTATCCTTTATAACAAACCGAAATTTGCACAAAACATACATAAAAATCTATTGATGAAAACAACGAACTTCCAGTCACCGTTAACCAATATTCATGAATATTAATGGAATGATTTATCTGAATTTTTCAACCTCATTATGGGGCATTGGTTAGAGATTTAATAATGATAGGATTGGAAGACCACAGCCAACACTAAGTGCGACAATTGAGCATACTGTATAAATATTGAATATATATTCAACCCTAGAAGACACTTCACAGACCTATTGACATCACACAGCAATCAATATCCTGCGAACTTGTACTGTCTTCCCCTCCGACGTTGTTGCATGTTATTTTTCCTTTTCCCTTACTCTCCGACACCACTCCCAACGATCACACCTCCCTCACATGTATATCCAAGCGGAAACACACTTGTGAGTGTTATTGGTCATGGTATGCAATGAGGTGACTTGATGCAATTTTATATCCCATAGGGAACCTCACATTGACAGATGATAATTGTCAATTGTGTGAAATCCTGATTCAACTATTCGACACTATTCTGATAGGAAATGCAATAATCCGGCGTCTTTATGCAAGTCAGTGAGTCTATCTCTCCTCCTCAATTGACTACGTAAGTTAGCTTCCGCCAGCTTTTGATATAATTTGAAATAATTGGACTTATATTCTTTCCTCTCGTCAAAGAAAACTTGCATCCTTCGATTTTCACATAGTGGAAGATTTTATGAAACTAGTAGAAGACTAATAAAATGACACCAGGACATATTGAAACCGTTATCCAAATTGTTATAACTTTGTCAGACAACTGAATAGCTCCTCAGCAATCTGCAGATTACCTGAGCAAGTATTCACTATGGTTTCCATATTCTGTGACTACGCTCAATTTTCGTTCATTGACTTTTTATGCATAAATAAATTGCAAAACTCATATACAAATGCATTGCTTTGAAACGTAAATTTGCAGAACACTTGATTTATTTAAAAATTTTATTTAAAAAATAAAACCTTGGAAGAAAATAAAAAATAAATACCACAAAAAAATCAACCAAAACCGAAGATCAGTAAGAAAACTGCGAACATTTATTTCATAGGCCGCTATGAACCTGGCCCGTGTTGCTATCACTTCCGCAAAAGGACTTTCACAAAGGTTCTGATGAAGGTTTCATCCAACCTGCTGGCAAAGCGATATGTACTTGTATGTAATGAGATTGAAAAATCTTTGAAATTACCTAGCCAGACAAAGCTAGATACATATGAAACCGAGAAAAAAAGGTTCACCACAACGAACAGAAAGCCCTGATGTGAAAAAATCGAATAACACAGTTATCTGAGCGACTTAAAAAAAAAACATTGAGTGTGGTATGCAATTTAAAATCCAGAAAGAAGGAAGGCACAGAACAACTCATAATCCAGGAGTAAAATAAAGACCATAGGACATTACAATGATCAACAGTCCATTGCTTCTTTCCCATCATCTCATTATATCACAAAAGCTTGGCTTGGAAATCAGGAAATGAGAACAAATGAGAATGAAAGACTTACTACACAATTTTATACAAGAATATCAGTTCTGAATCAAAAAACCTGGCTAGAGGGTGATTACACTCGTTTTAATTAATGTTGCACACATCTACAGCCCTTTCCAGAAAAGAAGGAACAAAAAAATGCATGATTACTCTACTTCTTGTAATTCTTACAGCACAGAGAAACCTAGTGAAAACAAAATAAAAACAGACATGTATAAAAAGTAAACTATCATGAGAACAAATAAGCGAACGGCGAGTGAAATATGTAACATTAGCCAAGGATACCTGGTTGGAGTGTGACTATATTCGTTTTGATTGATTTTGCGCAATCACCAGCTCTGGGTATTATGAAACGACGAACTGCAGTAACCTACAGCAAGAAGGTTTTCATACATCTGAACTGAATGAAGTTCGAATTAATCCGAAATGAATAAAAAAAAATTCAAAAATACACTCAGATTAAGGCAATAGCACTGTTTTATAATCAGCGAGAATTTTTTTTTGTTTTTTAATTCCACATAAAATTGCAGAAAATAATCGTTTTCGTGCATTTATTTTTTCTAGATTTTTTACATTACACTTGGAAATGACGAAAGTAATAAATCCGGGCATTGCTAGATTTCACGAGGAGTAAACGCTAGAGTAAAATAAATTCAAATTGCCTTGTAATCATTCCCATCGGTACAATAACCGAACTTGAACGTCAGCAGCTCAGGGATTTTTTTCCTGCTTGAAACACGCAGTACTGATCCATATGCATGACGAGCTTGTAAAACGACCTCCCCAATCTATGATAAAAAAAGATAGTTGTAGCAGTAAGAAATTTTCTTACAAAAATTAAATCCAAAAAATCAGCTCCACACTGAAAAGATTTGCTGGAGTTCAAAAATAAAACTGATGTAGAAAACTGACAGGTCGGTGACCACAGTTGGAAAAACCCTTAGAGCCCTGATTTTGAAACTTATAAACCTTTTCTTCTTGATGAAAGATGAGAATATGTGTCGCTGTTAAGGCTAGATAGCATTCCACAGTACGGTGACTTGCACCTTCTGTAAATACTTCCAACCCTTCAAAATATTCCAATATACCATTTTGTTTCAGAAAATCGTCCAACTTCTGAAGTTCATTTTTAACCTACAATTTATTAAATTTTTCTGAATCGCCAAGAATTCTCGACTTTATTATTATCCTTGTAAATATTGAAGTCCTATTTCAGACGGTTCATATGGTCCAAGCACTTCGACTATTATCACGACGTGTTTAAATATGAAAAATCTAACTTTTGGTTCAGAGGATTTTGGAGCGGATGTAACAGTGACAGTTTCTGTTTCAGAATCAGAATCACTAAGAGTGAAAAGCGATTTTTCATTACGATATCGTTTACCATGCCGCTGATTTGTTTCAACGTGACTAAATTCAATAGTATTTGGACCACGTGTCATAATTGCAGGTAGTTTCCGCACTTTTTCTCTAATTGAAGGCGCCGCTGCTTTGACTGCACCGAAAATACTACCAACATCAAGCTTCCACTAAAAAAATACCTCGATAACCTTAGTTTTCCTAAGCAAGCTTTTATATAATTCTAAATAAGTAACTGAATCATTTACAAAACTGCCCCAAAATCACACATCTACATAAATCAGTGACATCTGCCTTCACTAGAGTATTTACACTATGATTTTATTTACCAAAATAATTAGATAATATGAGCTTTCTAATGGAAATCAGCTTTTCCAAAACGCTTACAGACGATTTTCTTTGGCCATCTTTTTCGACTGCGTGTGACGGTTGTCTATTACACTCATTGCAAGCGGCTGAATGATGTCCTTTCAAACGATTAAAATTTGGTGCAAGCTGTTCATGAAGAGCTAAATAACACTTTTTCAGGAAATTTCAAGTGAACATAGAAGATGGACTTAATAAAATGGAAAAGCACCTTTGTAACCTCCATCTACCAAAGCAATGTGCTTTCGTCCTTGTTGTAAAAAACTTGCAATTACCATATGCAAATAAAGATCATCTTCACGTCCAGAACCAAGGAAAAGGATGTGCTCATCGGAGTGGAAAATACATCGACAAGCATCCAGACTGGACAGAGCTGATTTGTATTGAAGTGGTGCTTCAACAAACTAAAAAAAAAAACAGTCATTTAACATACTTAGAGCTTAAAGAAAAGGGATTTTATAATGCAGAAGAATGCCGCTTCAAATGATCTATTAAACTCGAAGAGAAAAAATTAACTAGAATAGAACTGCTTAAAAATTGCGTGATAAGTTAATGAATACCTGTATACTTGTCAGTTATTCACTGAAAGAAACAACTATAAAGTGAACGTATGATACCTTATACTAGTTTCATAAGAAACTACGTCCAGACAAAACAAAAGAATCGTGGCTTAGGAAAAAAAATGAAGCATACCAATGTAGAATCCAAATTGTATGAACCATCTAAATGGCCAGCTGAATACTGATCATGAGATCGAGCATCAATAATGAAGAAACTTGGTTCTGATTCCTATATTGAAAACTATATTGATGAAACAAAGCTGAATCAGAAAAGAAAGTGGCAACTAATTCTGTGTTAAAATGAACATACTCATTGCACTGAAATATATTGTAAGGCTTACTCTTCGCCGTTATCACAGAGTGAACTTTCATATACAGTAAGAAAAACAATTCCAAATTAAGTTGTACGCAAATTCCTTACAGGTGCGTTAAGGTTTTCATCCAAACCCATCCGGATAACATTACGGGGATCAACTGGCAATGCCAACAACTTTTCAATATCAGCTTGCATTTCTTCTGCATGTCGAGAGCCAAACAACACGCGTTGAAAATCCTGGATTAAAGGTAATTTTGAGGAAATAAATGAAATTAACTAAGGTCAGCAAATGATAAGAGATGGAGAACTAAAACCTTCCAGAAACTAATTAAAATTCGTTCGGGATCAAAAACAAAAATTTATATTTCGAACAGGACAAGAAACTTTGTAGTTAAATGTCAAATGAAATCACTTGTTTGATTGACGACGGTGTCTGACTTAGAAACAAAACTGATAACTCAAAAAAATCATCCACATCATCTATGGAAAGCTCCTTCACAGAAAATCGAATCGTATCGATCAGTTCACTGTAATGGTAAAAATTTGATTGTGAGAACTGCATAACACAGAATTCAGAGTATTATGTAAAAAGCAAAGACCTTTTCGTGTTCAACGCCATAAGCTGACCGGAGCAATTGATTAAAACGACCAAAACCATTGTAAACAACAAATACGGATCACCCTCAACAATTATTTGTTAAATTCTGCAGAAATCACTTGCAGAACTATGAGTCAAATCTAAGTTCATTTCCAACTTGCTTTTCATTAATTTAAAAACATGGAAAACCTGTAGGAAATATACCTTGTGCAAAAATTTATCTAAAGACTTACTCTCTCGAATAGTTTATCCCACATCACATACAATGCCTCTTTGCAAATTTCAGGGGCGAACAGTGCAGCGAAAAATGGGCGTCCAAATTCGAAAGAAGTAACTTTATGTGATTCCAGATGTGAACTGAGCAACGGATCATGATACTGCACAATCAAGTGCATAAGCTGATAGCATACGGCACCTTTCGATATGTCTCTCAAAAAAAAGTCAGGGTGAGAAAGTTAGAATATGCCACTTAAAATATTTGAGTTTACGCTGAGTAGGAACGCCTGCCAAGAAGCTCCTTCGAAGTTACGTTAACAGATTGTCATCAAAATCAGAAAGCATATCCAAGCTGAATAAAGTAACGAGAGAACCTTGGCACAAATTTCGTAGTTATAGCATAAAATATATTGTAGAATTCATCCAGATTGCATCGTAATGGCACCAACATTTTTAAAATGGTCGCATAACTCTCATCGAAGTCACATTCTTCACGCTCACAAAACAAGGTTAGTATAGCTTCCAGATCACTATTTCCCAACGCAGATGGACATCGGTCAAGAACTTTCAGACAGGTTGTATGGGCTTGTTCATTCTTCCGGCATGAAATACTTGGCTTATTCTGGATACCGAGATTCCTCTACAATAAATTTTTTATCGAATACTAATGAAGTACAACCTGACTTGTAAAAACTCGAAATTCTCAATTTCTGAATTTTCGACTTTCATCACTTTGCCATAGCAAATTGAACTGCTCATTGTAAGCTCTGACAAAAGGATGAAAAAATGTACCACCCATTTCTGGCGATATGATTCCAAATTTTTCGGATATTCGCTGTTGGATGGCTTAGCTGATGATTTCGTTGTCTTAATTTCTTCTCCATTCATATTTCAATCCTTTCGGCAGGTCAACCAGAAAGACTGGACAACAGCATGCCTGGAATAGACAATTTTCTGGATTCTCAGTGGACTGCACTTCTTCCAAATATGAGATCGATAAGGCCAAACAATCCCCAAAGACGATCACGATTCAGAAACTATTAACTACCTACCCATCCAACCGCAACAAATGTCCAACTATTTTAGTCGTTCGTCAACCAATGAAAACACCTGTCTCAATGCTTTTAATTCCGTGAGGACTATCCTTGCCTAAACACTCAGCACTTCGCGCGACCTTTTGAGGAATTGAAATTTATCACAGACACATCAAAACGGTTTATCTAAAAACTTGTCCACCACAGGTATCTGAAAAATATCATCGTTAAGTGCTTCAAGATGACCTAAGTCAACAATAATAAAAATAATAATGTTAATAATATTAATATGTCGTTACATGACTATGTTATAATATCAATATATTTTATTATTATTTATTTATTTATTTGTTTATTTATTTATTTAATTAATTTATTTACTTATCATTATTTATTTATTTATTATTATTTATTATTATTACTATTATTGTTAATTATTAAATTATAATATTATTAATAACGATAGGTTTAATAAGAGTATTAATGTTATTATTTTCATTATTACTGTTGGTATGACCACAGAATGTGCTATCATTATCAGTGTTAATTGACTTGTATCATGCAGCATGATTGAAAATAAAGATAGTACAGGTCTATGGTATGCTTCATATTTCAGGATAGGGAAGTAATTGTGGAATTAAGGATAATAATGGAGCATATTAGATGAAATGACGTCATCACCCATGATGTATTCAGCTTTTAAGGCCTGTCTCATTGCAGCTTGCTGCATAGTATGAGTGATGTAGTGCGGCCTTAAGGATGAACTAACCACACCCACAACAGGCTTCATATAACCAAGCTCGGCTAGTCACTTCTTCAATTGGTTCTTATGTCATGTATCGTCATGATCTTTATTTCACTTTTGAAATATATGAATTATCATTTTTTTCTTTGTGCTTTCATTAGAATCAGCCAACCGTTGCTGTGAATTATCAACCATTTATTCTGTTTCCTTCTATTTTTTTTCATCTAAATCCTCAAAATTTAGTCAATGCATCCACAATTACATTGGACAACAATTTGTCATTTCCATGAAAGATTTTCATCACATCATCACTATAAATGCTATGAATTCCGAATTATTAGACAAACTTCCCGATTTTTGAAACTTTCAGCTGTGTTGTATAATCAATTGGCATTTGACAGCATAAAGCAGACTTTCAGTTTCCAACGAAGTACATAATAATATTGATAGCGATTAGAATAATTACCGGAAAAAGCAAGCAAAGATTTGAAGTAGAGCAATTGTGTTAATTCATTTGTTTGCAATTCATTATTTGTCAAGATGAAACAATAGCACTCATATTACTTCAGAGAAAATTAACCGGAATGATGGCGAGGTATAGGAAAGGTTAGTTAACCAATTATAATCTTGATCTATAAATATCATGAGATTTAAAATCGAAGTTTGTCTTGTGTCCATGTCTTGGATTAATTTCTTTTGTCAGTTTCTTTTAAAAAAAAAAAAAAAAAATTCGAACTGAAAAGTTAGAAATCATGCAAAGTTCATAAAAATTCATTTAATTAAACAATTAGTTGAATTTTCATGCTAATTTCAATACCATCTTAAATCTTCAAATCTTGAAAAATTGATTAAAATATGATGCGAATTGAAATACGAGTATATTATAAACAAGAAGTTTAGATAACACTAATGTATAAAAATAAGATATCTTTTTAAGGTAAAGATGCGAAATATGCGGAGACAATTAGCGATGAAGAAGATCAAAATGGTATCGGACGTTATGCCAGGGAGAATTACTGGCAGAATGAAGTCAACATTCCAGTACATCAGTCATTATTCAATGTTTCTGAACAACCCTTTTCAGCAATCAATTCAACCTTATTGCCCGATCCATTTGCAGAGATATCAGAAAAGTGAGGCTAAAACAACAACCAGTATATCATTTAAATATATTATCATTTTTGTATAATTCGAATTCACTAAAATTAAATTTGCTTTGAAATTGAAATAGTGAGCTGTTGTAATCCACATATCATCGCCAGTCAGTTTAATTATAATTACGTTGTTATTCTTGAACTGCGTGAACAGAAGTAGGGAAATTGAGGTGCATGATTTAAATATTTAACATGCACAATAGAAATTAGAAATTCACAGCGAGAAGTGAGTAATAATCATTAACAACGATTTAGTAACACTATTTCATTGGAAGTTCCCCAAAAAATTCAGTCAGTGACGGAAATTATTAAATAATTTCGAGGTTTGATCATAGTGATTTGATGTTTGTTAAATCTTTATTTCTGATTTTGAAGAACTGTTGAAGTTTTATTAACTTCTATTAAATTATTCTGGGCCAAAAGAGTGATCGTCACTCATTTTCGTCAGGATGACGTATTTTCCAAAGTTTATTTTTTAGTTTTGATGAATTTGGATTCCACATTGATTGCAAAGTTACTGATAACAATTTGCCACCAATTGAAACATCTCAAAATCGGTATAAATTTTAAATCTATTACTCTGAGCTTCAAAAAATTAGTGCAGATGAATGTAAGATAATCATTTTACTATTTCTAGCAGTGCTGCATAACTGTGTATTTCCTTTGAATACAAAAGAAGAAAACGTTGAGGTGGATCGTATTCAACAAATTAAAATAGTGAATATTTGCGAAGGCAAAAAATCTAAACAAAAAGTAAAAATACAAATAAGTGTGGTAATTAATAGCGTAATTCTTAAGAATGCGTTGGATAGCACTGCTTGAATTTGGACATAATGATGTAAAAGAAGAGTTAACATGGTCGAAGGTGGATGTAGAGAAATTGGATTATGAGAAGTTGATCAATCTTATTCATGAAATTGGAATTGCCCATTCACTCCGACCTTTTCTATGGCCGAGATTTTGCGGTGCAACAAAAAAGAAAGCGGCAAGTGCTTTCAGCTATGTCGACGTAATCAAGCAGTGCGACATGGATAAGTCATCAATAAATGCGCAGATTGAAAAAGATTTATTAAGGTGAAGGATGGGTTATTTTCAGCTATAAAAAAATTTTTCGGAAAATTAGGTTTCACCTTTGTTAGAAAACTTCAAAATCATATTTCGATCAAACTTCTTTCTAATTCTTTTTGAATTTAAACGTACCTTATGTAGAATCTTATACAGATAATGTTGTGAAGTGTTTTAATACATTTCAGGACTTTACCTAACAATATATGTTTTGGGGATCGTGGCAGTAAAGGTGTTAAAAGCTTGCGAAGAGTTCTGAAGTCAATTGCTTATATTTATCCAGATATTGGATACTGTCAAGGAATGGGTATTATTGCAGCTTCGTTATTACTATTTTGCCCAGAAGAAACGGCATTCTGGATTATGGCTTCATTAATTGAAGATATATTTCCACCCAATTATTACAGTCGATCGTTCCTTGGTTTACAGGTAATGAATTATGTTTCTTTCATTTTCATTTAAAAACTACAAGTCTTATAAATAGCGATTTAATCTTTAAGTCTTATTAATTTATCTTTTCTTAATATTTCTTACTCATATTATCGTTTTTTTCTTTTTTAGCAAAAGCTATTCTTTTTTACTATCGACTAAGATACTATAGTAAGATTATCAAATTATCGAAAAAATTCCGACGATCTTCAACATTTTCATACATTAAGTGTCAATATTTAAGAAAAAATAATAAAATTTCAGGCGGATGAACGAGTTTTGCAGCAGCTAATTGGAATACATCTGCCTGAATTGAGTCGTATTTTAAAAGAAAATGACATCGAGTTATCATTAATTACTACTAATTGGTTTCTAACAGCTTTTGCATCAGTTCTTTCTATTCGAGTTTTACTGCGTGTTTGGGATTGTTTATTCGTTTTTGGCGGAGTGACGATGTTCAGGGTGAATATTACTTCCAGTAGGATCTTTCTGATGTGTATTGTACATTAAGTTGTATGCCATCTCGTTGGGGAAATAGTATCAAAGAAGTAAATGGAAAAAATCTGAGCTCAGAATCATCAATTTGGCGATTACGCTCATTATTACCTGTATTCCGGGCATTAGTTTTCTGGGAAGATTTAGTTCTCCAAATATCTCGGTTTATCAGCCATTCATTTGGATTATCTGTAATCCCGGTAAATTTTTCCACCGATAGCCTAACTGATCGGCAATTTGAAAGCAATTTGTTAAACAGACGATGTTAAGACAGAGCTAGTAATGAAATAATTGTGAAAATCATCAAATTTCCGCTATTTTATTAGGTTGTGATCTCGATTCTGAAAGTCAAGGAGGATGATTTGATAGAAATGAAATGCAATGAAAACGTTACGGTAGATTTATTCAATACAATATCGCAAATTCCATCATCTCTAAGCAATCCAGGTAAATTTCTTTTCTTCCATTTGCATAGTGATCACTGTTAAAAAATTGTTTACAGGGTACTTAATGGAACTGTGTACATCTTTTGAATTTTCAATAACTGCGGAATTTATCAAAACAGCTCGGAGACATCAGCAATCAATTCTATTAGCTGGTCAAGGACTTATCATAAACACAAATAATGTTACAAATTTACCTAAACAGCGTGTTCGAAGGCGTAAGCTAGCGGGATCAAAAAGTTTTGTGCAGCAAATATTTGCTTTATCTAAGGAACAGGTATAATTTTTTGCGATAAACTTTCATTAATAATAAGGGATGCGGAAAGTTAACCCAAACTTATGTCAGAGAGTTTGATTAGATGTTCATCAGTTTGCATTTCTAATCGTCATTGTTTGACTCTTTTCTAACTTTGCGGTAATCGGAGTCCGAAATTTTCAATCCTTTATTTCTAATTCGAATTTTTTTGGTAAAAATTTGTTGATAAAAATTTAATACAATTAAAATTCTCCAAGTGTTATCATTTCCTGACTTTCATAATTATTTACGCATATTTGAACCGATATCGAAACAAGCAGAAAATATTAAATTTATTCGAATTCTAAATTTCTTTATTAATTTTATGTGCTAAATTCGAAGCCAAATTTTTTAAATCACATCATCTCTTAAACTTCAATGGCTGCAAAAAAAAATTTTACCTTCTATATAATTCTTAAGTAGTCACTTAATATATTAAAAGTTTTTTCATCTGACGATCTTTTCTGTGTTTCAGAGGCAACAAGTACTTGAAGTGTTCATTTAAAATTTCAAACACCTTAAATTCATTTTATACAATTTCTAGTGATGAAGCTATTGTTTCTAGGAATTAATATCTGTTCATGAATTGTTTTCAGGATATGGAAAATGATCCGAAGATGAAAAATGTCCGCCTCACTGAACTTATTGTCGATTTACGAGATGCCGTTTTGCATATCTGTCGATATTTCATTGAATGTGATGAGTCGTTTAAGAGAATAATCAATTTACAGGTTTATATTTATTTCAAATTATTGCTTCACAACTTTTCTTTGTTGTATCACAAGTTTGCTCAGACGAGTATTAAACTGTTACACATAATTCCATTTGAGGCAGACTATTCACCTGAGGATCAGCAAACTGAAAAGGAATATTTTAAAATGCGACATCACGAATATCGTCGTGCGAGGGCGTTATTAGATTTTAGGAGGCAAGATGAAGATGAATTAGGATTCAGGTGCAAGTTTTTAGTTTTTTATTCGGCTCTAGTTTTTAGTTTTATTAAAAAAAAATCCTACATATATAAGTAAATTTGCTGATAATGAATATTGATTGCTGCTTGAAGGAAGAATGATATAATAACAGTTATTTGTGAAAAAGATGAACATTGCTGGGTTGGTGAAGTAAATGGACTAAGAGGATGGTTTCCAGCAAAATTTGTTGAGGTTGTTCTATTCTATTTCATTGTTTATTTATTAACTCATGAATATTGAATATTTCATTTTGATAACTCGAAATTCTGTTAGCTTTATGATTAACATTTTTAGATAGTTGATGATCGCGGACATGATTATACTATATACGGAGATGAAGCGGTTTGTCCAGAGCTAACGAATAAGATTCGTGGCCGTTTGGCTTCAGCGTTGAAACTAATTTTAGAGCACGGATTGCGAAAGCCGGGTGTACTTAATTTCGCTTCACATCCATGGCTTTTCATTGGTATTTTTTCATTATCTGAAAGGAAAAAATGAAAGATTTCCTCTCCTTTTACGTAATTTGAAACGAGTCATTTTTTGATTTTTTTAGAAGAGATTTCGCAAAGTTTTGTGCAAAAACATTATAATGCCGTATATTCTCGTCTAACACTTTGTTCAACATTCAATTTGGACCAAGACGGAGAGGTAATTTTAGCGTCTTCTCTCGAATTAACACTTGGAGACGGGACAGTTTGAATGCAAAGAAAATTAACAAATAAATTTTAATGGTAGAAATAAATTTAAGCACTGCTCTAAATTAAGTTGTAGTTCAAAAAGACAGGATGCCTGTCTGTTTTTGTCAACTTCTACACTTATTAGGTATTAACGTCAGAAGAATTGCTATTCCGGGCTGTAAAGTTAATCAACGAGTCGCATAATGCAGTTGGTGCCCAAATGGATGTGAAATTTCGATCTCTAATTGCTCTAGCAGTTTGTGAGCAATGTCTTCACTTATGGTTTGATTTGCTGTGCAGCTGTCCAGAACAAGAACAGATCAGAACCAAATTTTATCATTCATGGTCATTTATACGATCACCCATATGGAGGCAGGTTGGTATTTTTGAAATTTCTTTTTTAAATGTCAAAATTGCTCAAGTCCTACTATTCATGATAATGTTGAAACTATCCTTAGATGCCAAGACTACTCTTAGATTGTCAAGACAAATAACTTCGAGGGTCAATTAGATGGGAAGAAGACATGCTTAAGAATCTGATGAAATATTGAATGTTTCCGACTTCGCATTCAACAAAGTGCACTTATTCATTTACATTTCCCATAATGAAAAGATTTTTTTTTCTTTTTTGCAGATAAAATGTGAATTACGACTTCTGGCGCAATTCTCCTTTAAGTTAAGCGTTGATTATGAAGTCGCGGATATTATCCGAAAGAAGAAGAATTTGACTTTAAATGACACACTGAAAAAAAAGGTATTTCTACAAAGAATATATGTATTCTACACGGTACAAATCCCACTGCTTTAAATACTTTAGCTGTTATATGAATCAAATTAATCCGGTCCAATATAATTCAAACTTGAATTTCACAGCTTCGTCGACTTCAATTAAAGCTAATTGGAAAAAACAGTTCTGCTTTTAAATGACTGAATAAAATAAAAACATATTTTTCTACAAACCATATGAATTTCCAGGCCTTTTCGAACATGCTACCAACTACAACTCGGAGTTCGTTTGATCAGCCATTAAAAGAGGGCGTACGAGATATGCTGATTAAACATCATCTCTTTAGCTGGGATTTATAATTTTATTGAATATTCAATAACAATTTTTAATTGATTGCTGTTAGGATCAGCCATGAATCTTCCTGATTAGGATCAGTTTCTGGACAACTACATTTTAAATAAAGAAAATATTACATAATTCAACTGATAAAACAGTTCTTGTAATTTTGTATTATTATAATAAGATATAGTAACTCTTATTTTAATCTGCCGAATTAAGAAGACGAAAGCATGATCGCTTTCCAAGAAACTCTACGAGCAAAAAACTGTCATTCCTGCTCTGATCTATTTTAAACCAGAAGAATCAGCATAACTGAAGCTTTCTAAGAAACTAAAATCTTTTTTTTCATACGATCACTTAAATACGTCCATAGCATCCTCGTACTGTGATACATTTGCTTCTCTTCCTTCTATCAAAGAGAGTAAATTAATACACAAGCAAAAGAAGCGCAAAATCGTAAATACGTAGTACGTTAATGGTGTGCGACTTGCTATTGCGTAATATCACCATTGGCTTCACTTTTCTGATGGCATTTTATCATAAAAGAGTGGTAGATTTTATCAATTGATAGATTATCTCTCATTGTTTAAATTGAATAAACAAAGGTAATATGAACCTTCGTTAAATTATATTTGGAAAAATAATTTTATATAAGCAAACCATCCTAATAAAATAAAATCTAAGCATAATAAATGAATCAATTTCAGAATATCCAGAGATTCATAGTTAATCATAACTGACATCGGCTCGAAGTGGAAGCAGGCCCGCATGGACATTGATCCATGCAGACAACCACTCCCTGCGGAGTAATTTGATGCTTACGAATTTTTCCACTAGAATCGAGTGGCGATAACATAAATGGGAACTGGAAAAAAAATTTAATTTAGTTATTTTTACAAGAAATTTCACAAGTACATTCATCGTTGGGAACAGCTCAAGCATAAGCAACGTAAACAAAATTGTATGTGTATATTAATCCACTCAATTAAAACACAACTGCAAATCTGCATGATCGTAGTTCGGCCTTAAAATTAATTTAAAAACTATGCCAATTTTTCCCTAAATAATCAAATGATAGAACCAACCTGCCAAGGCAAACAACTAGCCAGCGAAAAGTCAGCAGTATCATTTGCGAATACTGGTTTAGCAAGCCGTACTCGTAAATTCCCATTATGTAATGAAGAGTATTGAACAATTATATTTTGTTTAGCATCCAATTTCGGTTGCGTAAAGCCCCGAACAAATTCATCAGTTACTGATACGTTGTTATTGAATATACGTATGCTAATGAAATCAAGACCATCATTCTAAAACAACGCAAAAACGATTTAAATTCAGTACTGTTATAAATCTGTGTATCTCGTGCATTAACTGCATAACATGTTTAAAGATATATTAACCATTGAATGTCCAAAAGCAACTCCAGTCCAAGTGTTAATTCCTATCGGATAACGAAAATATGTAAGTTGAAAATGGACATATTGTCGATCTCTTGCGAATTGTAATTGATATTGTCCGTTTTGGTACTTACATGCTGCTGAACATCCTAAACCATTGCTTAAATTTAGTCCTTAAAAAAAATGAATCTAATAATTCTTATCTAATTTTATCTGTTCAAACATTGACTGCTATTTTCTTTGTTCTCAGAATTGATTGTATTTTTACGAGCTAATACATAAATATGAAAACTTTTTTTCTGAGGTATTATGCGAGAGAATGATTAATCATTATTTCATAAAGTATCACAGCTACATCTGTTATTAATTACTATAATAAGAAGTTGAACTGTATTCACAGGGCTGAGAAATAGAGTTGGCATTTTTGATTTCACCTTCTTTAAAATAATTTCTCATGTATATAAAAATAATAAATGAAGAAAACATTTGCAAAGTTATTCTTATGTTTGATAAAAGAAACTTTCGGGCTGAAATCTGTGATAAAGATTAGTAAAAAGAAAAAAACGCTGGAAAACGACTGATCAGTGATCAACTAATTAATGTTATGAATTAAAATCGTTTGGTTTTCAAGAGAAAACGATATAAACATGTAAATACTTACAATTAAATTAAAAAAAAAAAACCGTACAATTAAATTTATGATAAATAAATTAATAAAGAGCGATACTAACAATCGTCGTTTCTCATTCAGCCAATATTGATGGAGTGATTGGCTTGAGGAGAGTTTTTTCGGTTTTGAAGAAAAAGGAAGACAGGCATAATTGATTGCCTCCTTAGCAACATTATGAAATGTCCATGTAAGGAGTCTAAGATATATATATAATGCTTGTATCATAATTAATTAAGATTCTTTAGACTAGCTAATCCATCATTTCTCTCTATCTGCCAACACAAACTAGGTAACTGTTTGCATATTCTTTTTAGAATAAGATTTTTCATCAATTTTTTACCCTCTTTATTGTCATTGGCATATACAATCACATATTTCCTCCATTTGATAATAACCCCCTCTTACTGATAATTTTGGCTGTATTATGAATTTGGCGTTAAATGACTACAACTATTTCTTCACCTTTACACACTTGGTGCAAAAACTATTATTACGTGAATTCAGCTACGAGACGATCATCAAGAAATTGACTTGGTTTGCAAATTTGTCTTTTTTTGACCGACAAATTTTAATTTTCGATTGCGACTGCAGATTTTAATGCAGACCTCCGCACATATCTCTGACTTCTACTGTTCAAAAACTAAATTTGTCGTGAAATTTGCTCAAATAATTTCTTTAATTTGCCTAAAAAATGTACATGTTTAAAAAACACACCTGAAATGAAATAATTGAGACAAGAAATCTGAAGAAAAAGAAGCCAACTAGCCATCAGTTACTCTTGCACAACATCAAAAAAAACTGTGCAACAACCGTCTTTTTTCACAATAAAATGCTGAAAACCTGCCTGTGTGGCCCTATGTCGGCTGGAGAGAACCTGTTAGATGACCTCAAACCATCCAATTTGTCCTTCGAATGTATTGCAAAGCTTCGAATGCATTGCGAACGTACTGTGTAGCAGAAAGGAATTTTTTTATTTTTATTCTCCCCCCATCTACTGATGTCTTCAGAAACTCTTACAACAATATCAATATTTTCAATATACGACATTCATTTCTTAATCAATCATTCCTACTTTTCTATCGGAAATAGGAATTTTAATATTTCATATATTCTCTCAGTCTGACAGATGAATCCTTCATTATTAATCTACAACTGCAGCATTTTGTATACCTTTAAAGCACAACTTTCCCGTAAGACAGCACTTCTTACATAATAGTAATGATGGTAGGACGTATTTATGTACATAATACGAGACTTTGAATAAAAACAGGATCAAGTTTTGAATGCGAGTACAAGTTTGCACCAATGCTACCATCGAATATTTCGATATTTTACTCGAAATCGAATCTCCCCTTCAACCGGTTAAAATTCAGTTCACAAAAAATACAAATTCCATCAACACATACATTAAAGGATACACATCTTATTACAATATTATACTAAAACCTTCAGCAATTGCACCATATGTATCGCAGTACACTAAAAAAAACGACCCATTGCAAAAACAACGTTAATGGCTTCTTAAAAAATGAAATTTTCATAAAACTACAACAAGACCACGTCGGCAGACTACACAGACAAACTTGCACGTAAACATTCTATTCATGCTTTATTTACAAATTTATGTCAAAGATGCTAACATGTGCCGAACCAACCAAAGAAATGCTTTCCTTAGACCGTAGAATGTTAATGGTAGAATTCTCAAACGAAGTTTGAATTGCAAATTAAGTCGAACTCGTAGTTGAAAGCGCCCTATATCGAGAACCAAATATTAACTTCTTTCGGAAATTAAATTAGCACGAAGTACGACAATGTAAAAAAATGAAAGGTTTAGTTTAATCTAACAAATCACATAAAAATAACGAATCGATCAAAAGAATCGGGATATACACATTATAGGATGACTTTCAAATGAGGCGCTCTCTAGGCCCTTATGCAGCTTCACCATTATTACTTTACATAAAATGTACGGGGAAGAAAATTCAGTACTCATTGGATGTTCCAAAGCATTCGCTTCTATTTTTGAAAATTTGAAGAGAAAACGTTTCATTTCTTAATGTTTGACAGTAGTAAGAACAATACTAAAAACTCCATTTAAAGTATAGACTGATTCAGGGAAAACCCGATCATTGAAAAGATATTCACATTAGTACAGCCGGAAATGGAAACATAAAGAAAAAGAATAGCATTCACAAAATTATCGCCAACATATAACATACTAATCATGATGATAACACATCTATATCCTGATAAGTCCTATCAGATCATTTTTGAGCAAACGATGCAATCACACGTGATTAGGACAATCAGAGGAAAGTCTTATTCCAATGTTCTATCACAACAAACACACCACTATTAAAAGAGGTATATAGTATATAAACGAAAATTAGCCCAAAAAAACAGGAACGACGATGAAACACTTCACTGACACTGTCCATGCCTTTTCAGGTGGAACTAATAATTGAACTAGAATTTCGTTGAAATTAGGCATGTCCCAATTAAAGCAGCATATACAACCAGCTTTTATTCACAGACTCGACTTACTTGTAACACTTTTTTCTCAAATTTTATAACGCTGCATTCATACAATAACGAAAACAACCATTAGAAATAATTTATTACTATTAGATCGGTCAACAGGTCGATGATTTCGACAATGCAAAGCAGTACGATGTTTTGACAAGCCAAAATCAGTATGGAGACAACCGCCATCTTCAAAAAATTACTAACTAGATTTTTTCGAAGAAAAGAGCCATCATGTTGGAAAAATGCTAGCTAGACTTTTATCTGGACTGCTTGCTGCTAATTCTTTCGAGCTAGCAATAGATGATGCAACAGCAGCAAGAGATGAAAATGATGATCTGCATGATTCCAATGAGGCCACTGAACCCCTAAAATCAGCTGTTCTGAAATTATCAAACTGGTTAAACATTAAAGTAAAAATGCAAGCACCACCAGCCAACAAGGGATATGTGCCAAAATATTACACTTTCAACAATATACTATAGTACACTTACAACGATATTGGTCATACAAGTGGAGGTAATTTCCTTAGTAAATGAACTGCAATCGGGAAGCGAGTACCACAAAATAATCATCTAACAGTTATATCAAATAAAATTTGGTAAAATCATTAACTTACCTAAAATCCAAAGAATCCAATAATTCGTGATAATACATAATTTTGCATTTATGACCAGACAAAGAAAAATCGAACGACTGATTCTGTACTGTCTCGAGATGACGCCACTGAAGGATATAATAACCCACCCGAGGACAATAATGTGATCCTTGCATTGAATCGCCCTCTGTGAATTGTACAGGCCGTTCTTCTAACCTGCAAACTTAGTTATCCAAAAAAGCAGTAACAAAAATATCGAAAGTCCAAAATTTTTCCAAATTTTAAACTGATACCTAGCAAAACAAAAGTAAAAACATTTTCTAATTTCTTTTCTCGAAATAATTGTTCGTTAAATATGAAAAATCAATCAAGAACTCACTTCAAACTAACTCCAATAGTCAACTTCGAGTCGCAAAGCAAAGCAGAGTTTGTAAGAGTACTTCCGATAGAAGTAAGAACGGAAGGTGAATTCGATGTAGTGGCTGTTTCTACTTGTTTTTCCGTATAGTAAATCAAGAATTCACATTCACCCTGAAAATATTAAATTCAAAGTTGCACATTGAGCCACAATAAAACAAGATCTAAGAGCCTCTGGTCAACTTCTCTATCGATAACGTTAACCCCGTTAACTCCACAAATTATTTAATGATTAATTTTGCACTGTCCACATCGATTGACATTATTAACCAAAATCAGCAGTAACAAACGACTATTAAAGAAACCTTCAAAATATCGAAGTCCCATGTAAGAACGCATCCCTCAGCAGTCACTCTGACAACCACTTCGTGTGGTATTCCTTTATAGATATTCGCTGACTGGTAGATTGATTTCAACACATCATCTTCTATTACATTCTGTAATCACATATTATAAATAGTTCCTAACGCAGACGAAATTAGTTCATGCAGCAATTAAAATCACTTCGCTAGCTTGCCAGATCAAACTTTTGTAAAAAAAATTCAACTTCAAAATCTCACTTCTTCCACCGGTTTGTATAAGTTCTTGGGAATATGACCACCTTCTGGTGCCATACATGAGCACGTTCCACCCAAAAATTCTGGAATATATTGCTTCTCAATATATTTTTTAAGCTCAGAAATGACTGGTTCACCCGCATTTATCATAAATTTTTTTCTTGTATTTTCATCAATAAATGGTGAGATCAGTGTCCACAGAACTGGAAAGACACGTGGTGCCCGAGCTATCAAAACCAGTCCCATTGTTTCCGGATAATGTGCTTCTGCAACTTCAATTATACGTAATAAGGCTTGAATTCCTGGACGCCATAGGTGTCTCATGCTCAGACCTTCCAAATCAACCAGCAATGTCCATGTGCTGAAACTATTCCATTTCGTTGGCTTTTCCATATTTAGCTTTCGTCAAAAGTAATTTGAATATATCTCCTGTCCACAATAAATGGAAGACCAATTTTTTCTAATTGGGCAAAACTGCAAAAAACACTAAGAAGCCAGGAAAAGGTAACCTTATGGGTGCACCAAGCATTTCTGTGGCTTTAGCCGTTTTAATAAGCCCTTGCTCGACTACTGATAATGTGAATTTCATAATCGTTTCCATACCACATGTGCGCAACAAACCTTTCATATCGAGTTTGCCCAGACGCAGAACGAATACCGGTCTAGTTATACGAAATTCGTTAGACAAATTAATATGACTCCTTCTTGAGTTAATTATAATCTTGTACACATAAGAAATTTTCCCGATTTATTCCATTATTTTGATGACATGATTGAAAACAGCTCATACTGAATATATAAAGTTGTAAAAAAAAAATAAAAAAAATAAAAATCTCTTACCTGCCCTTTTTATCGTTATGATGCCAACAACCAGGGAAAAATTGTTTCAAAATAGAGGGCGCTTCGAATTCCTGCAAAATTTTATCCACATTATGTTGTTTTCGCCATTTAACACTCTTCTGCACCATATCGCTCGCTCGAGCCACATCAAAATCGCGTGCACGTAAAAAACGCAGTAGATGAGCGTCATTTGGGAGTTTCCCCTGCAAAAAGTTTCTAACAAATTTCGAAACATTTTCATCCCAACAATTTCAAATCAGTACGAAATTTGATAGATCCTTACTATTCCCCAAATGTTAACGAATTTACAGCAGAAAAAAATTATGTGGATGTAAAATATGCATAAGCTAAAACTGCCGTATCATACTGAATTGAAAAGTTTGTTTCCAACATAAAGACCTTCTTAATTTAAATTGCCTTATTGAAACCAGAATTTAACATGATCTCCCCAACTTGAGACATAATACAGCTTTTAAATGGAAGCAAACCTTAAGAGTATCCTGTAATCCATATTTCAATTCACAAAGACGACTTTCTTCTAAAGTGCTGAGCTGCCCCAAGAAACGATGAATGTATTCTGCTTCCAGTCTTGTTTCAGCTACAATAAAATGTATATCACGTCGCGTTCGATCACTTCGATGATAAAGTAGGACCAAAAATAAGCTGTCTCGGTTATTAATCAAGTCTTGGTGCTGACTCATCGTTACGGCCTTAGAACAACACAAACCATTCGTAATAGAAGGGTGTGGCCAAAATGGTAATTTAAAGATCATGAGACAATTAAAACAATGGTAAAGTCAAGCAGAAAAACATTAAATGCTACGCCAAAGCATATTATGATTTTTAAGAACAAGTCAAAATATGAAATTACAGAAACAATCTTGGAAATGTAGTCTCAACTACAGCGGAAAAAAAAATCAGCATATAACTGTATTTACGTTTAGAGCAAATTGAATAATCTGGTACCTAAAAACAAAATAACCAGATGTTTTTCTTGGATCACTGATGAGTACAGATAATTGGAGAAGACATCAAGGAGTTTACTCTTCAGTGGAGTTTATTTAAATTGGAATTAAAACGACGAAAGCACAACTCACGGCATTTGAATATTGAATCTAATGGTGCAAGTAGCAACTCATTAGATCGGAAAAAGTATTTCTTCAATACATAATAAAATGAAGCATGTTTCTCAACACTTGATTACTACCGTTTGTTTAGGCAGTGATCCATTAAGGGACACAACAAAAATATGCTAATTCAACATGCTTCATCCTATTTTTTCCCTCCTTCCTTATTCTTTTTAAAACTATGGTATAGAAAAAGACAAAACTGACAAAAGCAAATAGCGATAATCATTTAAAAAAGATAATAGATTAGATGAAAAGCTATGCTGCTAAAAAGATAAAATCATTCCAATCTACACTTCCGGCAAGTTCCCTCTGATCACAGTTTCAGTGACTAAGAGAATTTAGAAGAAAGTCAACCTAATATTGTATCTTGTAAAAGAATTAAACATATTTGTCAAACTAGAAATGAAACTAAGAATTTCTTCCTTCGTTCTCTTCTCTCTGATCCTATTTATACTTCTGCACAAAACAATAAAACAGAGAAATAAAGCGACATAGTGATAGTGATGATTTCGCAAATTTTACTTACAATTTCTTCCAGTACTTATTAGTTGAAATGGAAACTTTACACACTGCTCTAAAGAAATGATAAAAAATCGGAACTTGATATTGAAGAAAAATTGCTGGATCTGTTTCTAGCAAAAACATGAAATTTTCGGAACAGAAATCAATTCAAAAAAAACTTACAATCATCGATGGAATTTCGAGGTGCAATTGACTTCCGAGGTGGCAAACCAAGGGTTGATTTTCTAGTAACAGAAAATTTTCGGCTATGAGAGGATGGTCTACGCTGTTCCTCTACTTCCGACCCAACTCTACCCGTCTCTTTTTCCTCTTCATCAGCAGGTCGCGAAACATCAATCGCAGAATCAGCAGCTGATTCCGTTGTATCACAGTATGGAGGGATAAACGTTACACCACTTTTGATCAGTTCGCTGATGAAATACTCCAGCACCTCCTTTCCCTACAAAATAAATTTCTGTAGACGGTATCCATGTGAGATGGAAGCAAAACAAGGATCTCAAGTTTCCCTAAAATATCCAAGACTTACCTAATGGAAAATATTTCTTCAATTTTCAAAAGTGATACCTTCGCAAGATTGGCTGCATATTGTTTCACTGCCAATTTCTCGACTGTAGATTCAAAACCAAAGAATGACTTAACATCCAATGACCCACTTTGTTCAAAACAAGTCCATTCATTGTTTTCAGGATGAACCTGTATAGAGAAATTCTATATTTACACATATCCATAAATTCAATTCCTTTTGCAGCCAAATTAAAAAAAAAACTCCAGGCATCACTTTTGAAGCGCAAAATGAACATGAAAATTTATTTTTTGATTCAGTAATAATTCAGCAGTAGGAACTCGATAATGACATTTATCTGATAATCGAAAAACGTGTTAGAAGCGCAATATAACAAGAACGTTGTGATAAACAGAAACTAAATGAAACATACGTAGTAAAAACAAGTTTCTTTGACATCGATTCTGGTCGCAAAAGAAATATTCTTTGCTTCAATGATAAGAGTACGCTTTCTGCGATTGAGCGAATTTTTTTGCGTAAAATAAACATAATCAACACCCGCTATCTGAAAAAAAATTAACCATAAAATTTTGAAAGCTGTGAATATATCTACCTCAAAAGTAACGATTTCATTTTAATGAGAAATTCAAAAATAGAATTACTTTTTTGACAAGGTATGGAGCATCGATATTCAGCTGACATTTGCGCTCAATTACTTCTTCGGCACCGTCTTCCGAATGATATTCATAGGTAATTTCAGAGCCAACAAATATCGGAATTTGGGGGGAAGTTGGAAAACGTTTTTCATATGCCTGAATGGATATTTAAGCATACCAAGCTGTGTTCGAGCAAACTGTATTCGAACAAAGCTGTGTTCATATCATAGAACTTTTCACAAACAGTTCAGAAAACTCCAATCGTGCTCAATAACGCTTAATAACGAATAAAACAATAACACAAAGATTAAAAAGAAAGACACTGTTCCAGAAAAAATGATCCCAACACAACCAGAAGAAAAACTAACTGCCATCACAATTTCAAATGGATATTTGTATACACGAACCGGACTCTGATAAGTTTGCACCATTGTTTATTACCTGAAAATGATCTTACGCTGAAACCAGAATTCTGTTTCATTTGCACACTTAACGTGTTACATTCAACTTTGTGTAGATGATGCAGTGATGCAATTCTAACAAATGAGTAAACTGAGGGGAATTAGCGAAGACCGGGATTTATTAAACGTATACGAAAGTTCAACAAATAGGAAAAATATAGCTTCTTGAAAGAAAATACAACGAATCAATTTCAATATAGATCACACAACACATCAAATTGCAACATGCTCCTAACAAGAATAGATAAAAACTAACGGTAAGATTGTGGGAACGTATTAGTGTGTGAATGTTTGTGTATGATGTGCGTGTGTGTGCGCGTGTGTGTGTGCGTGTGTGTGTGTGTATGTGTCGATCATCGCTGGTGTTAATCCATATTAAAGAACAAAAAAAAAAGTGAAATCAAATCCAGACATTCAATCACCGACTTTGACCACCTACATTTATTATGAGGCAAGAATTTAAAATGTTGTCAGACTTACTGCTGCTTTGCACTATCCGATTTAGTGCGATTTAGGTTTGATAATTTAAGCACCAAAATAAACTGAGCTTTCAGCCTAATTTTGGCTTTTATCTTAATGTTTGTATTTTAATATGTTAATTTTATCTTGATGTTTGTATTTTAATATGTTAATTAATGGTTCCAAATTCATCAAGAACGGAAAAGCCAAATGTAAGTTGCTTCCATTACCATTAACAAATTCTTGTACAACTGGTTCAAATAAATAACGAAGAAATTTAATCATACAAGATATTGTATGCTCACATCTATTTAAAACCTAATGCTCTATCAATAATCGTTTAATTTACCACATACGGGTACAACACGACCCTCTTCACTGAATAACAAAGAATACAATCTTTTAAAGGAATAAAATTAACTAAGAAATCTATAGAAAACAACTTCATAAAAGTAATTATAATCAAGTGGAAAAGAGAAAAGCGGCGCAAAAGATTAATATGGCAAGGGAGTAAAGTTGAATGCAATTTGAAATTTCTTTGAACGGAGCACCGCTGTTCCAAAGTTATTTCAAAAAGTCACTTCTGCATTTGTAAGAAACAAACGCCGTTATACTGGTATTTTGCAACCTTTTTTCCTTTCCACTACATCTAACTTCAGAGTTTAACGTGATTTTTTCCTCTTTTCGAATTTTCAATTACTTTAACGGCTTTGAAATTCCTTGTTTGCTTTAAGAGCACTCAAAAATATGCCATGAAACAATATTCCATCACAAGTGACATTGGATCCAACAGCTTATGAATCAGGCACATGAAAGATGCACGAGTCAAAAATGTGACAAACAGCCACTGTACTCGTCAATTAACTTATTAAAACTTTAAAACGACAAAAAGGAATAAGACTCGAGTCTCTGCAAGCATCGCAGAAAAGGAAGTTTAGTTTAGCAAGAAGAATAAATTAGCAAATCTAGTTAATCTAAAAAGATTATATTAAAATGACGAAGGGAATTGCAGACGTAAGGGATACCTACAAAACCTTAAAAACCAAATAAAAAATGGGCAAGAAAAGACAACAACGACTTTGGTTAAATGCTCACTGCACTCCAAAAAAAGAAAATGACTCCAACCGAACCATAATACAGAAAAAGTAAATGACTTCGTCATTTAGAAAAACTCTCCTATAATATAATATAAGTATGCAGTACATTTAAATACGCAAATTTTTAGCTGATCGTATTCTAAAAGAGAGTTATTGAAAAAAGAAAGAAAAAAGAGAAACTATGCCAGTTATCAATTTATTGAGCTATTTTTTTTTCCGAAATAGTTAAAAGAAGCAAATGAACCAAAAAGGATTCCAATCTTAA